ATCAGGTATTTGAAAGAATAGTCTAAGTGAAAGTAACAGGTTTTACCTGGGTGTGAAAAGTCTGCAGCTGAGCCATGACGCTGCTGCGGACAGTCTGTGAAGTGGAAAATTGCTCATCCAGAGTCGTCTGCACAGACCTGAGCATCTCCTCTAATGCCTGTGTGTGCATGGCCTGCTTAGCTTCAGAAAGCTCCCTGAAAAACACACACACAACAGATATTCACATTTCCTTGGGAATTCTGCAAAACATCGCTGAGGCATGCAGATAAACTCTGTATAATGAAACTCACTTTATTGCAGCCATCTCCTGGTTGTTTGTATGAAGTGCAACATTATGAAGGTGCATTGACTCTTTCAGCTCACTCAGCTCTAAGGCTTGTCCTGCTAATTGTGCATTAAGCGCCTCCACTGACGCAACCTGTTTATCAATTCTGGAGCATGCACTGGACACAGTAGCGGACAGCCTAACAACACTTTCAGCCAGTGCTGAGCTGGAGCTCAAACCAGCCACTACGCTCTTCTTCATGGCTTCGAACTTCTCACTCTGGTTCTTGAACATGGCTTGGAGAGCTGTGACAGACAGGGTGACCTGCTTTATCTCAGTCAGTCGAGTGTCCATTTCATCACGAAGGGCTGAAAGCTGTGAGTGGTGTCCGGAGTTCTTTAACTTCTCTGACGTGGCCAGGGCGACTTCAGCTTTCTCCTGAGCCTGTTTCTGGGCCTCCTCCAGGGCAAAGATCCTCTCCTCCAAACCGAACCCTGTGTCAAGCTGGAGAAAGAAATGATTTAGTCAGTTCAAACATCTGAAATGTGTCCTTGTCATTGATTTATGTCAGACTGAGCTGTCATGTTGCTGTAGCTTGTAGAGTTGTGCAATATGATAATATAGCCTTCCATTAGATGATATAAATTTATCAGCTAATTTTGAATAGCCCATCATTTATTCTGTGGTAACTATCCTATTAATATCTCTTGGAGTATTAGGCCAGTGGTTCTCAACTTTATTTATGTCAAGGACTGCTAAGTTGATACACATTAGGTCACAGAGCCCCTCCATCTAAAAAGATTTTGGCTGTTAGGTATGATTAAGAGCAGAATTTCCTAGTTGTCAACTACAGTTGAGGGAATAACCGTGGAGGAGGAAGTTTATCCTATGCTGATCACAAGTGACACTCTTAAGACTCTTAAGCCCTTTTCTCACAGAGAAGGCCATTCGAGCAGTGCTCAGACATTGTTCCAAATTAGTCAGCACCAAGTTTGAAAGAGAGACTGAATAGTGCCAGGTTCAGTTCGATTATAGCCGAATGCGGAATCGTATGGTGTGGGCTCAGATTGTGAACAACAACCAGTGTTGTAAGCAATAATCTATCGTTTCATCTCGTAGTGTGTCATAGTAGATGACAATCGACACCAGCCAGTGACTGAAATGATAGTAATAATGACAAAAGCAGGACAAGAATAATCAGATGACATCCCACATGTCCCACAGGGATGATTGGTCGTGGACCAACGTGAAATGTGTCATGTCTCTCGGCCAAGTCGTCACTAGATTTTATGAATCTACACTCACCTAATCTGACATAGTGATCGTCGGAACGGACAAAATGTCATGTAGTCTAGTAACCACTGAAACATTTTCACTGGCATCCATGCTGCTTTCAAAGAGGCATACTCGTCTACTACAGTGCCTGTCAATGTGAAAGCAGTGTATCCCTATTTTTACTGTTTTCCTGCATCCAAAAAAAACCCTGCATATATGGGCTAATTTTAGTATAAAAAGGGTACTACTCATGCTTGGCTCACTTCTATAAATGTGAATGTATAAATTTGAATTAAATCGTAAAAATAAACTATTCCCCATTTTATGGGGACCCCTTGCAACTCCCTCAGGGTCCCCTGGTAGTGCCTGGACGCCTGTTTGAGAACCACTGTATTAGGCCATTGTGGACAGTTCTGCTGCAGGATATTGGATTTTTTTAATGAGTTCTGCACCAATGTGATGTGGCACCCTTATTTTTTTAGGTATTTAACTGCCTGAATTGGCAAAACGCAGATATTTCAACAGTTTATTAGTAATTCTCGTTAATTTTACAGAAAATCTACAAAGGTCATATCATAATATTGCTATTGTGATACAAAATTGTATACTATGACTAAGCAGTTAGTTGTAATTACTGCTGATAATGATTAAAAATATCTAGTTGTTGGGGCTGTGAATGTCTCTGAAACGTGACCACGAAGTTAAAAATAACAGGTGTTTCTATCAGTGTCAAGTCAGCCATGTTGAAATGTCTTACAACCGTGGCCTTTCAAAATAAAGTTACCGAACAACATTTCCCGTCATATGATCCTATAAATAGCACAAAATACACATGATTGAAAGAGCTTTTGTTAAATAGGTTTTTATGTATATGTTTATTGTTTGATATATTTGTGTTTTGTTTATAAACGACTAATGTAAGTAGTTTATTTTGAAGGCATATCACCAACTTCCGGTATCGTACAGTGCCTGTAGCTAGCTTAACAGCCGTTACTAGATTGCAGTTGATAGACAGCCCCATGACACGCCGAAATCACGTTCAAGTAACGGTTAACACGTTGTCGACTTAATTTCATGTTGGTGCACGATAAAACAACATGAAATAAGTAAATGTTATTATTTTACAATGAAGTAAGTAACTCTCCCAGCAGAAAACACGGGTAACAAAGTTCTTACCTGTGAGTCCGTCATCTCCATCACCTGCTGCAGGTTTGTGATTCTCTTCTGCATTGTTGTAAAAGTCTCTGACAGTTGGTCGAGGCTGGACTGCTGCTGTATACAAAACCACCCCATTATACAGACTGTGAAGATAATAATGAACACCAAAGCTGGAGCAACATAGGAGTTTATCCTCCTCTTGGACTGCGACACTGTTGACTCCAACAATATGGAGGTGTCGTCTTCTTGAGGTTTCTTTGCCTTGCGTCTGGCCATGGCAGCAGGAGGAGAGGAGACGAGGACTGGACGGACTCTAGGAGCAGTGTGTCCTCAGTGAAATGGATTCAGCTAAGTGTGGCGTCTCATCTGGATTTGCAAAGGTATCATGTTCACTATTCTGTTAGACCCTTTGACCTAGTCATTCATTGGACCCCCACAATATTCACAGCAACTGCAGTGTGGGGGGCGTTACAGCATGTTATGTAACTGCAGTGGTGGAGTAAGAGGAACTTAGACCTACTATTATTAAAGTATAATATCACAGGGTGAAAACACTCCATTACATGCTAAACTCCTGCAGTCATACACTTTCAGTAGAAGTGAATTAGCATTAGCAATGAAGTTAAGACAACTTAAATAAATAACTACTTTCAGAGTGTCCAAATGTGCAAACAGCACTATCATGTTGAAGCCAGTCCCTGTGTGGCCAAAGTTAACTATAGTACTGTATGTGCTGTCCTGTTGTGTAGTTGTAGTAATGCATCATATTTCATGATCCTATAATCCCAGCATGAACTGTATCCGCACTATAGTAAGGCTGTCAGGTAGCCTGAATGTAGTGGAGTAAAAACTACAGCATTTCCCTTTGAGATGCAGTGGAGGCCCATTTCGATCAGTGTAATTAAAAAAAATAGTTTAGTCATTATTTTGGGAAAGTTTCTCATTTTATTTAGATATTAAGCCATCAATTAAGCCAGAAATCTCATCATACTAAGTCATTATTTTGACAAATATTTAATATTTTGAGATACTGTGCCATTATTTTGACATAGTTTCTCATATTTTTTTTTATATGAAGTTATTATTTTGAGAAACCTCCTTATACTTTGTCATTATTTGAAGAGAAAATGTCATTATTTTGATATACTAGGTCATTATTTTAACAAGTTTCACATTTTTTTTTAGATAATTATTATTTTGAGAAATCTCATTGAACTAAGTCATTGTTTTGAGTAAGTTGCTCATTATTTCTGAAATCCTACTAGTCATTTTTTTTAATTTAAGTAAGTCATTTTTAGATACGAACACAGTTGTCGAGAAAGTTTCTCATTATTTAGAGAACTAATTTCTTAATTTACAAAATCATTTTATTTCATCAAACTGGAAGGAATGGGCGTCCATACTGTGGAGCAGAAATGGAGTTGAAAATCAAAACACTCCAGCTAGTTCCATGCACCTTAAAACTGTACTTCTGTTTAACATTTGAGTGCCACTTCTTCTCCATGGTGCTGGGTTGTAGGGTCATAGGTTGAAACATGCTCACAAATGTACCTATGTTTAGCAGTCATTTTCAAAGCAGTTTGTTGCCACCAACCATGGATTGGTAGAATAGCATGAAACCATGGGCAGGGATGTGTATCTTGTTCTTGTGTGATTGATCTCTGACCGTTGTATAGGGGGCAAGAACCACATTTCCAAGTACTTTGTATTAGCAATGTAATGCCAGGCACCAACAGTGGCAACAGTTATGTATTTGTAGAGACACCCCAGTCTGTTGTATCAGATAAACAATGTATTCACAGGGTCTCTTTCGCTTAATGTTCGTTGTCCAGGGAAATTTTGTCAGCTAATCGGTGTAGTAGTGCAACATGTGGTTTGAAGTCAGTTGCTAAAATTTTACTTGAAATGCAAGACATTACCTTTTTAGAAAGCTGTCTGATTTCTCCATGAATCTTTATCTCATGTACGCCAACAGAAATATAATATATTAAAACTTTAGGCAAAGTAAATGGAATATAACAGGGTGCGTGTTGTTTGACAGTCCTCACCCTTCAAAGTAAAAGTCTCTGCATAAGATACAAACGAAACAGCTGTTAAAAAATTATCCCACAGTGCTACTAGTGGTCAGTAATTCCACAGGCTTCCCTCTAAGAATAGTGGTGTCTGTAACTTCAGGTTGTTTTATATAATTTAAAATCATTAGACACAGTGGATCTCAAAAAATTGAAAACATAAAACCTGCTGTTTTACAGTGTATTTGACGGCATCTTTAGTAAATAGACGCAGAATGGTGAAAGTCTTCAAAGTTTAATAGAGCAGCATACAACATTTCTGTGCATATTTTCTGTAGCATTCTTAAGTTAAGTCTTTAAATAGTGCTGCATCACGCTATTGGGAAATAGATTAACTTCTAAATTAGGTGCAATTGATTTAAAACACAGTAAGACCTCTGTTGGTTTGGTTCAGCTTCTGTCCAGCAGCTGCAGCTCCTCTTCACTCTGCAAAGAAACATTAATACTGTCATATTTCCACATAGTACACTGAAATGTTTAATAAATGTTTTTATGTAAAAAAAGTATCTTTGTTAAACCGTATACAAATGTTAATACCTCTGACGTTGAGGGTCATTGAGGACTCGGCTGTCCCCAGTTTGTTGTCAATGACGACCTTGTATTCCCCGTTGTCTCTGGGTCCCACTCTCAGTATAAGCAAGGAGCAGACTCCACATACGTTGGTGATGTGGTAGTTGGTGTTTGTGTTCAGATTGATATTGTTGCAGTACCATGTCACACGTGGAGCTGGATCACCCTTAATTGCGCAGCTCATGTTGCACTCATAACCCTGTGGAGCTGTGCGCATCTTAAGGGGAACGATAAACGATGGAGGTGACTGGAAGTTAAAGGATTTTGCCTCTGGCATGTTTACTTTGAACTTTCCTGAAACACAAAGACATGCACAAAGTTTAGAGTTTTACAGCACTGTAATACTTAAGTTTGTACTGGTGGCCTTTCAAGGCAATTTTCCAAGATTTTACACAAAATAGATCACAATTTTATCGAGTCAAAGACCTGACATCACATCCCCGCTATCTTCTCGTCTTAAGTGTTCTTTGTCTTTCTGAAAAAGGGATTACCAAGAGAAATAAGTATCTACTACAGCAACTTGTTATCAGAATTTGAACAATTTGTGATTTGTGACAGAGTTAAAAAATTATGGATTTGGTAACACTCAAAATACTACTGGTCACGAAAGTTTTGCCAGTATGGTGGTGCAAATACCGTACATCAACTGTTCTCCCTTCTCCATCATATCTGCCCATGCTTAGCAGGGCTCGACAGTGCGAGCGTTTCACTCGCATTTGCGACTAAAAATAGGTGTGTGCGAACTGTAAAAAATATTTAGGGGCACATGTGCGCATAAAAAAAACAGCCGAAGCAGCCTATATTTTTGTCAATAAAAAAATATGATAATCTAACCGCAAATGTTGGAGGAACTCCAGCCGCCTTCCCTCTTCCCTCTTCCCCGTGTGACACGGTTATGGGCGGTTTCCAAGCCACTGTCGGCACAATGACAAGTCCCACTGTCGGCAGCGTGGAAATAAGTCAAAGTGTGGAGGAAGCGGCAGACCTACGTACGGGGAAGCCTGCTCCGTTCTCCCCGCAGTTAGGGACTGTTCGCCACGGTACCGCTGCTGGGCAGGGTGGAAATAAGGCCCTTTTCACACAGAGCGCGCAAAGCACAGACCTCCGCCGACGAACCCATTCATTGTGTATGTGCTACCGCAGCGCAAGAGTGCACCGCTCTGCCCAATAGCAATCTCTGCGGTATCAAGTTTCCCACCCATACACCTATTGCACCTGCATATGCTCTCGTCTGATGTCAGCTTTCCAACTTCTTAGCTGTAATCCCTATCTCCTAAAATGTGTCTGTTCAATCCTCCCTGTTTTGTCTCTTTGTCTGCATCGTGTAATTCAGTAAACTAGTCGACTCGCTTTAGTCTGTCAAACCTTGGATGACATTTGAACTGGGCTTGTGGGAAATGGTGTTCATTTAAGAATTCTAGTGTGTTTATTGAGTTTGCTCATGGTGTTCAGTTTACTCATCACAAGGAGTACAACTATCCAAAGTTAAGAAAACTATCCAGATAATGACTATAACGGAAAATGCAGGATAAAATGTAGCTCATACTGGAGACAAAAAAGACTGGATATCTTTGCCTCAGCTGCTTCAATTTTGAATGTTCCTTTTATTTTAACACTCTCTTGTGCTTCCTCCAACTGAGTGCATTATGAAATTTCTTATGTAACCCTGTAAAAATGTACCAACCTTGTCTAGATAAATGGAGTGAACTGTATGACATATCTTTAGTAGTGAGCAAGATTAGGTTTTAGGGTTGAATTGTTGCAGTATTGAAAATATAGCTGTGAATGAGACTTTCTTATTTCTGGAACAGAGCCCAGAAGCTCCAGTTTTACTTCGGCTTTCTGTTAGTTTTATTACAGCAATATCTGTTCTGACTAAATGGTTAAATTCACAAAGAAGTAAAACATTTAAAATTGGCCAGTGGGATGAGACATTCAAGTTTTAAAATCCTCTGTAAGTCATTTGATTTATAAGGTGTGCATCTTCCCAAGGTCAGTATTTACCTGAGGGCGTCATTAGAGTGAAACAGTCCTGAGATCTGGTTTGGTGAACAGCGATTTTAAATTTGAGAATAGAAGTGGAATACTTAGGCAGCTTTTGCAGCAAAGGAACCATAGTTATGGGTGCATACAGGAAAGAGAGAACTGATTCAGATGCCTTTGTGAACTGGAAGCACAAACCTTTTTCCTTTGGGGTTCCAAACATAGGGGATTCAGAGGGTGGTGAAAGACCCATGTCATTTTTAGCAAAGACCCTGAAGTTATACTCCCGTCCGGGCAAAATATTGACAACTGTGAACTTATTGTTGAAGAGATTGTCTGCAACTGTCCTCCAATTGCGTTTGAAGGAGTCCCGCTTGGATACCATGTAGTGCAGTCTGTCGTCCCTCTTCTCATCTGGGGAGGGAGTCCAGGACAGAGTAACTGTTCCTGGGATGTTCTGATCCAGCTCCACTGGACCTGGAGGCCTGGGATCATCTACAACCACATGTAGAGGCACAGAGATCTGAGTTACAAAAATGTAGCTTTCTATTCAACAAAGACTGCTTGCTGCACGTATTCAGCTCAGTCTCTCAGTTCATGGCCATGCACACTGAGATTCACCTGTAACTCTGATTTCAACATTGAAGCTCTCCTGGCCGACAATGTTCTTGACAGTAATGGTGTAGATGCCACTGTCAGACCGCTCAGATGTGGGGATCAGCAGCTGAGAGCCTTTATCAGAGTTGGTAATGGTTACATGTTTGGGTAAAGGAACAGCATCTTTTAGCCACACAATTTCTGGCATGGGGGAGGCCTGTATAGGTAATAAGAAGAATCACAGATTAATTTGTGAAATGAAAAATACAGTCACCAGTGAACCCATTCGGAAGATAACTTAGAGCATGGGACCTCAAAGTTGATGTTCAGGCGGACTGTGTTTCCAGATCGTACCACCACGAAGGACTTCATGTTGCGATCTTTAAACTTCGGCCTCACTGTGAGGGTAGAATTTAGAATAAAAATGATTAGCTTCTTTCCCAATACCCAAAGTGACATTTTCAGTTTGCTTCTTTTGTCCAACCAACAGACCGTCACCCCAGAGACTGTTATAAATGACAAAGAAAAGCAGCAAATTCCCATATATAAGAGGCTGGAACCAGCAAATGTTTGACATTTTTGCTTGAAAATGACTGAAATGATTCATCAATCATCAAAATAGTTAATTTCCTTTCAATAAACTAGTCACTTAATCAACTAATTGTTGCAGCTGTGTTGATTAGATTATTGTAAAACTTAAATTAACAGCCTGGGATATTATTTGCTTAAATCACTGAACTCAACTGGCTTATATTTGGGACAGGTGTCTTATATTAGACAGGCCTTTAACCCTTTCACACAAAACTGTTTCTCAACAAAGATAAGAAATATGACACCTGTTTCCCGGACGTACTGACACAACACCTCTTTATCCTGATAAAAATATGTGCTCACAACTTGAATCCATTTTTATGAGAAACCCTTTCGATTTTTTTCATGGGTGGACCCTTACAAACTAAGGGCACATGATATAATTTACCAGGTATTCAAGGTATGGACACCTTTTCTGACTTGACTGCTTTATTTCTCTTGTCTACCAGGCTGCTAAATTGAATTAATTATTGTATTCTTTGGTGCTCATGGTTTCAGTAAAATAAACTTAACGATTCAATTGTAGAGAATCTAACTGAGCTTACGTTGTGTGTGGCATTTCCATATTGACAAATGTTTAAACATATATATTTTTATGTGTGATCTAAACATCTAACCAATGTTGGCTCCATTGGGTAGCCAACAAGCTGGTTTTATACAACTAAAGAAAACTGAACTGCTTGGCCAGAACCAGAAGTCTTTGTTTGTCAAAATGTGTATCCACACCTGGCAAGTAAAAGGGACTTGGCTTTTAACTGAAGTTCTACGGTAGATAAGAAATTAAAGCCTTTGTATAAATTGTTACATTTTCTGTTCCTGTAGACATACACTGCATAGGAATGTCTCAAGGACATATACTGTTCAGGACTGGTTTAGAGACATTTTTAAAAACTGATCACTATCTATCTGTCTATCTGTATCTGTATAACTCCAGGTCCATTTCCAATCATTTTACTGTAATGCATTGTTCCACTGTGCTGGGTACACCAGCTGTCAAATATACCACATTGCAATCTGTTACTGGAGCCTGTTTCTATCCCAGATTGTTGCAAATGATTGATTCACAAGGTGGTGTAGCGAAATAAATAAATACAGATGCCAGCAGTTTGAAAACATACATATATCTACACAGACAGCCTCTATCTTTGGTTAAAATACAACAACCCAGGTCACTTTTTCTGTTACAGTGAGGTTTTCATGTTGGACCGTGCCCTAAAATTGCTACGGTTGCTTGAAGCTTGATTTCAGCGTCAGTGTTTTGTTCACGCTGGGCTGTCCAGAACCGTGTTACAACACCTTTCCTGTCGTAATTGACTTGTCACAACGATTCCACCCTTTAACTCCAGTATCCACGGATGTGAGACCAAATGTTTTAAGACACAATACAAACACTACAGAAAAAAGAAAAGCTGTTGTGCTGGCTGTATTTTCTTGGTGCAGAGCAATGCAGTAGTGTTGACAGCCGTAGGGCTATTTTTGGTGCACTGTGCAGATGTATTGTGGGAGAAAAAAAAAACATTTGCTGTGACATTCTGCGGACACTGAATATAACTTGATCAGGACATTTACAGAATCTAGAAACTGTTTCCCTTTAAATTTCAAATTTTCTTACCAGGAGGAGGCATGGCAATGATGTAATTGTCAAAACCTTGAGGTTCTCCATCACCTCCGTAATTGGTGGCAATTACTCTCACCCAGTAGGTGGCCATTGCCTTCAAGCCAAGCACGGTGTAGGAAGTTAGAGTAATTGGCATGGCATTACAGCGGGTCCATTCAAGGTTCTCTATTGGTCTGATCTCAACGTAGTAGCCTTGGGCTTCATCCTCTACCCCTTTCATTTCTTTAGGTTTAGTCCAAGCCAGTGAAAATGTGGTGTAATTGGAGGATGTTAACTTCAGGTCTGTGACTTTGCCTGGGGGTTCTGAAATTACAACAATGTGAGGTTATTGGCTTTCATTGCTGTGCTCTTATATTAACCAAAGAGCTACAGACAGCATTATGTTGAACAGCGTGTGGGTTCACCACAAAGCATGACTTGCATAATTTTCTGTAAAGACATGCAGTGGGATATGAGAATCCAGTGTGTCTGGCTTACTCATTGGATCTCTCGCGACTACTGTTTCACATGGAATACTAGGATCTCCAGCACCAGAGAGGTTGATAGCCGACACCCTAAATTCATATGCTGCCCCTTCAAAAACATCTTTCACTGCATACTTTGTGTCTGTGGAAAAAGAAAGATGGATATCACTCAGATGCACAGCAGGGATGTTGCTGCAGCTTGTTGTACGAGTTGGATACCTGTAATGGGCCCTCCGTGGTTCACAAGGCTCCAGTAATTAGTGCCTTTCTTGTTCTTTTCCAAATTGTATCCCACTATTTTGGTTCCTCCAGTGTCACATGGAGGACACCAGGTCAGATTGATGCAGTCTTTAAAGGCACTGACAACTTTAGGTGCTGTTGGGGATCCTGGATAACCTGTGGGAGGGAACATGATGTTTTTACTATTCTGTGTTGCTATGTTGTGTTTCTCTTTTGCTTTTTATTACCTTCCAAATTAAAACATGTCACACAACTCCAAGACACCATGATTTATTCACCCCCCAAAAAATTGATATATAGATGAAACCGGCAAGAGAGCTGAAAAATGTTTGGCGATAAAAGCATAATGTGCTTGTGAGGAGCATTTTAATTTTGAAGGATACATAATGGCCTGCAAATCGCTGTGTGTGTTCTCAAATTAGAAATTGAATTTTTTTATTACCTCCACCATTGGTGACTTTATGTTTTAGGGGTGTAACGATACATTGATCTAAATTCATATCTTGATTCAGTGGTGTAAAAACATGGATACATATCAGCGTCTTTAAGATACACCTTCATTGTAAAATTCCAATGGCATGTCTGTGTCACCATTTCCGCCCAATTGCACTGCCTTCCCAAACCTTTAAACAGTGCAAGCGGCCTAGCGCCAGGCAGACAACAGCAAGCAGCTAAGGATAGACAACAAAGATATTAACTGCTGTTGTCACTATGGTTTCAAATAATATTTATTTTAATTGTCCTTTGTCATTTTTTCTGTCAATTGTTTTGTCAATAAAATGTCAGGAAACCAATAATGAAACCAAAAATCCAAAGCTATTTAGTTTATCATGTATGACAAAGGAAAGTATTATATTATCACATCTAAGAAGCATGAAACCAGCAAATCTTTGGCATTTTTCTAAAAAAAAATTACTAAAACAGAAAAGTTGGTCAACTGGTCAAAAGTTGTGATTTACACTCCTATCATGTTTTCGTCTAATTGAGTATTTCTGTAATATATTGTTGGAAAAGTTGGTCATGTTGCCAGGTAGAAGTGATTAAAGCCCCAAAGTATGTGATTTGATCTGAGCATTGGAGGATAAATGGGCAGATTTCGGGTCTGATTCAACAACAACAACATCAAATTTAGGGTCTGGTTGTGTGATTTACAGACATCATCTTAATGTGACCAACTGGATTGGAATCTCCTCAATTTTGAAATGTAAATATCAAACAGTCAATTTTTACGACCTAATCCTGTAGTGTGAAAGGGTCATGCAGTAGCCAATGCGAGCAAGCTGACCGAAGAGCTTCACCAACACTTTTGAGACTAACAATTAAACTTTAAAAAAAAGCTGATTCAGTCTCCTCAGTCATGACTTGATCCACAGTTGCTTCTTTTTTTTTTTCTTTTTTTTTTTGGTGCAAAACACAGCACACACAAGTGCAACCAGTTGATGATGACAGTCTGCCTCCAATGGTTTTGTTTATTTTTTCTTAAGCCACATTTCATCACACGGGTTTCTGTGAGATCCCAAGTCCCTGGAATCGCCCCTCTGACATTGTTATATATAAATGCTAAGTGCTGCTAGGTGCTGCGTCTTGACTGAATCTTCTGGTGTGTGCGTTTTTTATGAATAAAATAATAAAAAATCAGTTAAATCTGCCGTCATGCTTGTGGTCTCCCTGTTCCTTAAAATCAGTTCATGATTTTGAAAGTCCTCTTGTGTACACTAGGCAGTAGTGAAAGTATCAAAAATGACAATTGTCAATAATAATCTTCATTTCTTTAAATATTTATTGGCCATATACAAATGTTTTAGCATCTAGAATTACAAAATCCTGAGATACTACATTTTCTTAAAATAAAACAAATTGAATGTAAACTTTTTTGCTCGTTTCACTCTATGGTTATTTTACCTGCTTCCCAAGAAGTTAACTTTTCATCGGAAGTAGCCCTTATAAAGCCTAAATTAGGCTCCAGCTACAGACTTACGTAATACACCAGCTGGTATGTCCTCTGTCTGCAGGTAATCACTGATGCCTTCTGCGTTCTTGGCTCTGATCCGGTAGCAGTATCTCCTTCCAGGGTCCACATCTGAATCTTTGTAACTTGGGTTGCTGCCAGGGATCTCACCCAGATTCAACCATTTATTGCGCCCCACTTGTTGGCGGTCTATAATATAGTGTGTGATTGGGCATCCGCCACTGTCTTTTGGTGGCTTCCATTTGAACTCGACAGATGTCACAGCACTTTCCATAATGTCCACAGGTCCTTGTGGTGGTGTGGGTTTGTCTGTCAGTGAAATGAGAATAATTTCTACTGATAGCAAAGAGCATTTATCTCTTCACATGCAGTGCCAGGATAACACATGGCAAACCTTACACCTCTTCTTGTCAACTCACCCAACACAATCAGTTTGGAAATTGCCTCCATTGTACCAAATTCGTTTTTGATTTTGATTTTGACCTCTCCGCTATCTTTCCTTTGACACTTCATGAGGCGTAGTTTGCTCTCTGTAGCTGATGTGTCAATCTTCACATTGAGAGCGGGCAAAAGCTCGTCGTCGTCCTTGTACCACTGTATATTCATCGGTTCCCCACCTGAGAAGGGCAGCTTCCATTCTGCATTTTCACCTGCCTTTATAATGACTGGCTGAGTGAATTTTCCAAGTGCATCAGAGTCAATTTTTGGTGGGTCTACGGTGTGAGAGAAAAAAAAGATTTAGTTAAAAATCTGAACCATTTTAAAGCATGGGATAAATCATCATTTGACACTATTTTATTCTGACCTTGAATATTAAGTGTTGCCTCTGATTTACGGCCTTCAGCTTCAAAGCGGTACTCAGCTGCATCATCTTTTGAACAGCAGTCAATTATCAACCTGTGACAGGCTCCATCTTTGATAATTGTTACCCCGTCCCCATTGGTAAGCTTGTCAGATAAAAAGATTCAGTATTCATCAGACACACATAAAGATAAATTAGGGCTGCAATGTAGTGTAATATTTTTGACTGTTATGGACCTTCGTAAGGAAACGGAGGAAACATTAATATGTATGGCAGTAGTCTTATACACTGGTGATTCTTCTAAAACAGCTGACTTACCAGCTTCCCATTTTTATACCAGCGTCCCTCAGAGGTCTCATTGCTTAGTTTGCAAGACAGCTCAGCCCGTTCACCAACATTAGCAACAGTATCTGACAGCCCACTGACAAACTGAACACCACGATCTGCAAGAGTAAGAACAAAGTAAACATTTAGTTATTATTGAACTGACTATGTGCATTGTACTTGTCCATATGTAACCCCTGGTAAATATGACACAGTATTAAAATATGCCATTTCAGTGTTTCAGATAAATGGTATAGAATAAACAGAGCAAACAAAGACAGAGACAGTGCAGAGGGCACATGAGCATGCAGTTTTTTGTTTTCCAGCACAAGCAAGGCAAGGATAGCAATGACCAGAACACCTCTGTTCCTGTCAGGGCCTCAACACTGTCAGTTTTCTTGTTTACAGTGTGTCTCACTCTAGTGGTCAACATGCAGCACTGCACAAGAGGTTTTATAAAGTAGATCTTAAAACGTTTTAATATTGACTTTTGATGGTTAATAGTTTGTTTGGTGACCCCCAATAGTTAATTTTCTGTCACTGAACTTCTTTGTAATAGTGAATTATGTGCAACTGCAAAATCCAAAAGCAAATTTCTCAGATTATTTTGATCCAGAATTGAACTTCCACATATTCGACTATTGATTTAAAGTTCAGCCCAAAATGGTCAGACCTGTCAGAGTGATGGCTGACTCATGTAAATGGATCCAGCGAGGGCTGACTGCACATTGGCAGGTCCGTGTTATATACGTCTAGAGTATGCCATGTCTGTGGTATCTCTGACCTTTTTATAAACTATGATATTCCGGTCATGGATCACATGCCTCGCCCACTTCCAGGAGCCGTCTCACTTCCTCTTTCTCTCCTCGAAGCACTTGTACTCATACAACTGAAATCACATCCAGTGACTACTGTTATTTACGGTAGAACGTCGCCAGCAGAAACACCAGGAGCCATATTCACAAACATTCTGAGAATACTCTCAGAGAGCTCCTAACTTGGCCTAATAAATTTAGTAAGGAGTCCTAGCTTAGGAGTGATTTAGGAAACTTCTCAGAGCAACTCTGAGCAAGGAAGGGACAGAAACTTTAACCTTGGTAAGGAGGTGTGATCTACCCCATTAGTAGGTATAATGCTTTCTTTTAACAGATGTGATTGGTTGTCACAGACACATATAATCACCCTGCATGATCTTATCTGTAGCATTTCATTTACTCACTCTCATCAAACGTTTGGAGAATATTTCTCCGAACTCTTTGTGGTTCCACCGTTTTCGCCTCTGATTAAGAAACTCTTAAGCCTCTTAAAAGTCCTCCTCCCGGCTCTTTTAAGGTCTAAGATGCTCTGTGAATTACTTTTATCTTTACAAGGCCCTAGTCTTAACTTTTAAGGGAAAGTCTGAGAAAACTTCACAATTTTAAGAATTTTCATAGAATTTCATCACTGGGAGCAACTCTTTGTACGAGGAAGCTTTGTGAATATGGCCCCAGGTGCTTTTGCAACTTCAGCTTACAGCAACGCCAGTCCGCATTTGTCTTTGGTCCACAGCACAGCAGCCTTCACTGTTGATAAGCCATTACTCGTGAAGTGTAACCAATCAGATGGTGCTGTGAGCAGGACACAGGAGTGATCAGAGGCGAGACTACAGTGTTGAGGGCAGGCTGAGAGTCAGCGGTATGAGAGCACAAGTTGCACATTTTTCAGCTAACTTATTTTATCTGCTTTAGGATAAAAAAAAACTTTAATCAACCAGGTCAATAATCATTCGACCCATAGTAGAAAGGTTCCGTCTGTAACTATCTCTCATATTTTGCAGTAGGTTGGGACCTACCCCATTCTTAGTCAGACCTCCAGTGCAGGACCTAGTAATTCTGAGACACTTGATAAATATGGACCCAGATAGCAAAGCTGATAATATACATCATGCTGTGGCACAAATACATCTTAAGCACTAGAACCAAAACTATGTTGACATATTCATATATGAACCTCTCCAATGAGGTGACACATGATTCAGTTTTTACATAATGCAAAGATTTTACCTATAACCGAGTCTGGAACCAAAGGACCACTTCGTGCACGCTTCTTTTTCTTATCATCCGCATCACCATCTTTATTTTCATTATCTCCATCTGTCAGGAGGTTCTTATTCTTGCCGTCTCCATCACCCTCGTCTCCATCAGTCTTGCTACCAGAACCATCACCAGAACCATCCTTTCCATCTCCCCCATCTCCCCCATCTCCCCCATCCCCTCCATCCCCCAGTGCAGCGTCCTTTTCAGCCTGAGCTCGTCTGGCTGCCTCCAAGTCTTCCTTCTCTTTCTGTAGCTTGGCCTGTTGTGCCAGAGCCAATTTAGTCAGGTCTTCTAGATCCCCAGTTTGGTTGCCCCTGCGGCCTTTACCATTTGGATCAACTGAATTACAGAGAACACATACAAGTATGTAGAATAAATACTTGTGCTGAAACTTTTTTTAAATAAGCAATGAAACAGCCTATTTAAATGAATGAATGAGCAAATTAAAAAAAGAAAGAGATCCTACCTTCCACTTTGAGAGAGGCACTGCTGGATGTTATCCCAGCGATGGCATAATATGCTCCGTTATCTGCCATTTTACAGTCTTTAACTCTCAGTGTGTGAATTAGTTTGTCCTCTGAGACAGTGATCTCATATTTGTCCCCATGTTCAAGTGACGAGTCCTGTGTGGACCACGTTATTCTGTTGAGGGGTGTTGACAAGACACACTGAAAGACGGCGTCCTCACTTTCAAAGGCCTTCACATCCTTGATCTTGGCTATGAACTCCACAGCAGGCACTGGGGAGGCGGAAGGGTAGACGTGGATTAACTGGTGGATTAACTGACTAACCTTTCATTCTTGAATGTGCCTTGAATCGTCAAAACAATCACTCTGTTTTGTGCAGGTGCTATACTTGCACCTTACCTCTAAAGTCAGTTGTAAGGACATTTGCCTCTTCAACATCAACCTGGTAAAATCCAGCGTCTTCTGGCTGAGGATCTTTGATGCTGAAAAGATAATTTGTCCCTGATTTCTTTAGGCTGTGCTTTGAATTTTCATCCTCATCATATGGAACCATTGTCCCGTCCTTTTAAGAGAGAAGTAGTTAGATTCTTCTTCTTATTATTATTTTTCAAGCTGTAATTGGTTTTATAGTCTGTCTAAGACTGCATATTACTCACCTTGAATAAGTTAATGGCACTGTTGGGATCATGTAGTTTCATGTCGAAGCCAAATTCAGCTCTTCCACTGGGTTTCACTTCTATTTGTTTCACATTTTCCAGTTGCTCTACAACCTAACGAAAAAATTTGAAATGTAATGATGTTACTCTCAATTTCACTTCTGAAGCCGTGGCATTTTTAACTCGAGGGGCCTTGAACAGAGTATGGATGTTTACTTTTTAAGATTCACTGGGCTAGTTTGGCCTGAGGCTACAAAAATCCTTTAAAATCCCTTTTTATTCATCACACATGCTTTTAGAGAGTAACTTAACACCTCCTGAAAATGTTGTCCTCAGACCCTCAGTGGTTTAACATTTCACCTTGCTGCAGTGATGTACAAGCGTACTGTAGGACTCAATAACATGTGGTTATAGGTGCAACCAAACTGTGATAAACTGCATACAGTACCTTTGCCTGCTCATCCTCCCTTTCCTTCTTCATCTGGTTGAGTCTCTTCAGCATCCAGCGAAAGTCGGTAATACCAAATTCAAAACAGATTTTTTCGTAGTCCTTCTTTGGGGCAGAGATAAGCAGCTCCCAGAGTTTAGGGTCAATTTCTCCGTCTTTTTGTGGTGGGAGTTGTTTTTTTCTGGTGACAACAACACTGAAAAGAGAAGAACAGAGTAAAATTGGAGATCTACAGCAGTGTATGTAAATAGGAAATAACTGCTTTGACTCTGACTTGAACTTACGTCTTCTTTAGCATTTTTCTGAAATCTTGTGCTTGTCCATTGGCTGAAAGAAAATGAAAAAATGAGATACAGCTTTTCTTAATGGCAAATAATTCCACGATCATATTTATTCAAACTCTATAGTTCTGTCTAAACCTTACAGTGGAAAAACAAACAAAACATGCTGGATTAAATAATGTGGTAATCTTTGAATCCATAGAATCTTGCTTTTTAATTACAGCATATGCCTTAGTATCTTATTGGCATGTTCAACACACATTATTGTAATTGCTGCTGAGATCCATATTCAAGAAGAAGAAGAAAAAAAAACCACAATTATGAAATCATTAATCCCTAAAAAGAATGTATGGCTGGACAGATGATAGAACAGAAAACTTAATCTCAGTTTCATACCTTCATGGGCTTTCTTTTTGATGCCAGCTGGAAAAAAGAAAACAATATCAAAACATGAAATCTTTAGCAAAGAGTCAAAGCTACTTAAAGCTAATTAATTTACAGGGTACATATATCAGTGTTTCCCCCTTGATCAACTGTCTTAGAGGAGTCGTGAGGACAGTGCAGGGCTGATGGACAGGGTCAACATATTTGCTGGTTCTTGGAATTAAGTGTTAGCTATGTAGCTGCTGTCTAATGTTTGCTGGTATTAGTTGGAAACATAGCTGAACTGATCAATCTTAATAACGCCCTAAGTTTTTGGAAATTAAGTTATTTTAAGGTGTAGATGTGAGGCTATAAGCCTCTTCAATTCTCCAAATTGATGCAGTAAGAAATGCTTGATTTTGAGTCTGTATGTCGTCAGAGAAGTCCTTAAAAGGGGGACTACGCCCATTTTCAATATTCATACGTTATTCCCATGGTCTCAGACAGCCCAAAAATGTCAGTAAACATAAACAACTCTCTCCCAAATCTAAAAACTAGAGTGTTAAACACTAATTTGTGTAATCATGTAAAAAATCTAGAGCTGCTTCATAGACAGTGAATTTGGAAAGATACCATATGCCACACCATAAAAACTGCTCAGGAATTGCCTGTGGAACATGACAAAAAGCTCAAGGTGTCGACCTGGCCTCCAAATCTCCCACACCCCTATCTGATTGAGCATCTTGGGAAATGCTGGTGCCCCACCTCACAACTGACAGGTCTCAAATGAACCAAAGCCAACACCCCCAGTGCCAGACACCACGGAACACCTTCCAGAGGTCACGTGTCCGTGCCTTGACTTGTTGGAGACAAATCCGATCCAGGGAGGCCCCACTGTGGGTTAGGGGTAGCTCTGAGGTACCAGCACGTCTCACGGATGCTCGATCAGATTTGGATCTGGGGAATTTGGAGGCCAGGTTGATGCCTTTTGCTTTTTGTCACATTCTTTGGGCCATTCCTGAGCAGTTTCTGCAGTGTAACATGGTGCATTTTCCTGCTTGGGGGGCCACTGCCATCTGGGAGTACCGTTGCCTAAGGGGGGGTTACTTAGCCCATAGCGGTGTTTGGGTGGGTGGAGGGCGTCAAGTGGCATCCACATGAATGCCATGACCAAAGGTCTCCCAGCAGAACATTGCATTGCATTGTAACAAAATGATCAATGTTACTCACTTCACCCACCACTGATTTTAATGTTTTGGCTGATTGGTGTAGGTGCACTTTAACTTTAGTGGGAGCTGGTTTGACCATGGAAATGTGAGTGACAGCTGGCTTTACTGCAGTCTTTTACTTGCTCAGTTGATGAAGGGGCATTATGCCACATTTATTTCTTAATATCTATATAATGATTTATTAGTAAAAAACTAATGAATTAAATCCATATTTCCTTGTCGGTCAGGTGGGACGGGGCGTCTCAAAGGCTGGGCAGGCCGATTCCCCAGTATAATGGTAGGGGAAACACTGATTCTGCATAGTGATAATCTGTCTTTTACCTTCTGTAACAGAGAGCGTTGCAGTGGCGACAGCCTGTCCGTACTCGTTGGTGGCAAAGCATTTGTAGGTGTCAGCATCCTCTTGTTTTACATTGAGTATCTAATGAAGGAATATTATCACAGTTAGATTGCATTCTTAATGCTGAATATTAGTTTCTGAGCTTTTCTAATTAATTGTTTACTGTGGATGTCATTGAGAACAAAAAGTACTTATCTTAAGTGCACTTCATACAATTTCAAACAATTGTATTGAAATACAGAACAGATTTCATATAAATCAAGAGGTGTGGGAGTACAGGAGAGTGGAATGTTTCTACGAGATGTGGAGCATTTGCTTTCGATACGTAGATGAGGTTTTCTCACCTCTAAAATGTGCTCTTTGGCTCTTGCATCACATCTGGTGATGTACTTCTTTGGGTCATCAACGTCACCTTTGTTACGCCCCCATGTTACAGTTGGTGTCGGTTCTCCACTAACCATAGCTTTGAACATTCCTTTCTTACCTGTAAAATCAAAATACAGAGAGCCATACAGCAGGGACACAGTTGTAGGTAGTGTTTGGTGGCATAAGTTCAACTATGTTGGTGTTATTTACCCTCTTGAGCCGTTGTTGCCATTGGCTTCCGTGCGAAGTCAGGTGTTGACTTTCCTAAAGGCAGCTGCTCAACATACTGAGTGATTGTAACTCCGGGAACTCTGGACTTTTTGGTGATAGCCACTGTTAAGACCAGAAAATAACAGTAAAAATCAGCTGTGTGAGGTTGTTAAAGCAAACACAGACAAAAGGAACAGAAACACAAACTTTGTACATGTTTTGTTGATTACATGAGCTGTATTTATCATTTTTTGTGATCAATTGTTTATTGTTTATACTGTAGGTGGGAAAAGCAGTGTTGCAATCACAAATGTGGTACAATACAAGAAAAAGAAATCTGGCATTTCTCTGCCCCTCATTTCCCTTCTTCCTTTTCCCCTGCTCCCCTCCACCCTGACCCCTAAACCCTGACAAGGAGACACCATAGTACTGGAGCTGCAAATACAAGTCGCTTAGTTAATTAAGGCAAATACTGCCTAACAATTGTCATCGTAATTACAATCGCCATCATTACTATTAATTGCAGCCCTACAAGACAATGTACATGGACTTAAAACAAGTACAAGCCAAAAACCTGCAAAAAAAAGAATACAATTAAATTACTAAATAAATAAATAAAAGCAATATTAATAATAAAGTTGTATTTATTGTTTACACTTTTAAAACATACCTACTCAAAACCATGGGGTTGAATATGGTTAAAAGTATTTTATTTTCCACCTTTACTAGTGCTTTTATTTTTGGTTGCAGCTACGCTAGAATCTCACAAGAGGTCAGTATTTACTTTCTCTTTGTCAGCCATTACAGCTGCCACACCATGGCAAGACCTTTTATGTCTTGAACTGTGCTGATTAAATGTACTTTGGATTAAACAATATATCTATAGTTCTCTATAGGCAGACATACATTGCAAAAATACTCAAACCCAGTCAACTTTGTGTTCTTCATTGATATATTTTAATACAAACTCCCATGAACTAATGTTTTTCTATTGTCGAATAAATAAGTAAATTTTATTCATGACGAATGACATGCATGATGACAAAGTGGAGGGGCCTCAGTGTCAACAGTGTTATCACCCAAGGAGCCATTAAAGGTCCCCTCCTGTGGTGGTGGAGACAGCAAAAGAGATGGGTGACACATTTTTAGTCAGCCTTATTCCTCTCTAGGATTTCAAAAGTAGGATGACTCAGCACACAACAGTAAGTTCGTCCAACAGCTGTTGAAATCAAAAACTCCAACCCGCCGTCTGTTACGCCAGCATCGCACCTCGTAATGACTCAGAGCTGCTTCATTCATTCTGGGGCCTGAACCTGTAAAGTGAATTTACCGCTGCATAATACAGATAGGCTAAGCGGCTAATTACAGTGAGCAGAATCAGATGAGTCCCACTATTATTGTAGTGAAATCAGGTCTTAAGCCAACTGGAGCTGTTGTAATCTTACAGTAGGATTCATTATATGATTCTAAAGGGTGCCAGGGTTAACTATAAAGATACCAAAACTTAAATCATATTCACATTTAGTTGATAAGAAAATACTGGCTACAGTTTTCAAATGGATGTTGCAGGCTGGTAAGTTGGTGGCCACTAGAGGACCATTTTAATGCAACTTAATACAGGATTTTATTCAGTTTTAGTTTGAAATGAGACACCTACATTTCAATTAAATAATTCTGCCCTTGTCTCACTATCTTTATCAAGTTTGTAATATAAGTCCTTCATACAACATTTAGACATTAAAATACTATTTTATCACTATATTTTTTAATGTTGATATTTTACTAATTATACCCACAACTTGTTTAATCTTCTATAACAGGCAGTTAAAGGGATAGTTTGGATCTTCTGAGGTGTGGTTGTATGAGGTTCTTATGCATACTTAGTCTATGACATGCAGTAGATGTCAGTCTGCATGCCCCCAGTTGAGAGGCACACAGAAGCCAAGCACTGATCGCTGTGCAGGGATCAGCAAGAAACATATTTTAGCCACTTAGAAAAAGTCTCATCTGAAAAAAAATGTACGCCATGTTTAGAATATATTCACAGCTGTACCTTGTGACAGGGATCTGAAGCTGTTATAGCTAGAGTTAAAGCTGGACTCAGTGGAGGAAAGTAGTAATTTAAACTGAACACAGGAGCTGGTGATCTGACGCTGCCTCGATCAGGTATTTTGTTTGTGTTACTGTGTTACTCTGTTATTTTAAAGGGTTAGTTCAGATTCACCAAAGTCACACAATAACACAAACAAACTAAATAACTGAAGCAGCAGTTCACCAGCAGGTCCCGTGTCTGTCTGTGTAAAGTGGTGGCTGAGGCACCAGGTGGCTTAGTGGGTAGAGCAGGCATCCCATATACAAGGCACTGCCCTTAACGCAGCGGCTGCAGGCTTGATTCCAGCCTGCGGCCCTTAGCTGCATGTCATCCTCCCTCTGTCCTCCATCATGCTCAGACTGTCCCGTCTAATAAAGGCAAAAAGCCAAAAAATAATCTTTAAAAAAAGTGAAGTAGTGAAAAAGCATTCAGTATAGTGTACACTTGATATTGGTGGGACTTTTTTTAAGGTGGCAAAAATATGTTTTGCTGCTCCCACTGTCCACAGCTATACATTTCTTACACTCTGAACACACTGCCTGCGTGAGCAGCAGGACCGTGTTAACAGGTTAGAGCAGCCACAAAGCCCATGTGAGCAGCACTGCTCAGGTGCGTCTCGGCTGCTGATGAGCTGCGGAACATGTAGAGCAGTGGTTCCCAGCTGGTCCAGTCACAAGGTCCACATTCCTTCTTAGTCATTGGCTTAAAGGGATAGTGCATCCAAAAATGAAAATTCAGCCATTATCTACTCACCCATATGCCGAGAGAGGCTCAGGTGAAGTTTTAGAGTTCTCACAACACTTGCGGAGATCCCAGGGGAGAGTGGGTAGCAGCACAACTATACCTAATGCAGGCTGAAGGAACCCCAGATTAAAACGCCCAAAAAACACATAATTGAAACCAACTGAGTTGTGCTGCTACCCACTCTCCCCTGGGATCTCTGCAAGTGATGTGAGGACTCTAAAACATCACCTGAGCCTCCCTCGGCATATGGGTGAGTAGATAATGGCTGAATTTTCATTTTTGGGTGCACTATCCCTGTAAGGTCCACACAGTGTAATCTATTCAGTGTCAAACTTGTGTTTGGCTGTGTCGTTGAGCTGCCGGATATTCACTGTTCTCCAAAATAAAGTGTGTTTTTTACAAACTACAAACTTTACATTCACGAGTCACTGGGATCCACCAGTTGGGAGCCACTAATGTAGAACAGAGGAGTTTTGCGTATTTATTTTGTGTGATGCGTGCAGTTTTCAGCAAAAACAGACTGAGAGTATCGACTTTTAATTGTGAAATGTAGTGGTTACAACAGCGCGCAGCACTGCAGCAACAACGCTGTCAGTGTGAACACAGCACGTGCACAAGCCACAGTGGTGCAGCGAAGTTGCCGTCACACGCTGCTCTCGTAGGCAGTGTTTTTTGAGCATTAGCTTGCGTGCCACCACTCCTGCGTGTTTCTCCAAACTGGGGCGTGCTGTACTGTACTGTATGTAATACACTAACTGTAGATATGAACCTCATACAGTCCCATTTCAAAAGATCTTAACTATCTCTTTGAGATAGGTAAACCATAGTAAAAACAGGTAATGGAATTTGAAATATAATTTCTGCTGGCAAACCTGCACTCCCCCATGTCTTACCTGTACCTTACCATCTATCTGCTGTAGTTGTATAAAATAAAATGGAAACACATGTAAGAAGAATAACGCTCACAAAACATACAGATACAGGTAAAAAAACAACTGATTAAATGATTTTTTTTCCCTATTCAGAACACTTCAGAGTGAAACCATGTCCTTGTCTCTCTGAAATAGGTCATTTGCAGTGACACACAGTAAGCTAAGAGTTGACTTATTATGTCCCTGCACCCATTGTGAGTTACTTTTAGGTTACCCATTCTTCATCACTTTTCCACAGCAGCCCTTTTCCAGTTAGAGGGCACGTATTGAATATTCATCAAACTGTATGTGTCATCTCTCCAGGGATTGGTTTATGCTCTTACAGTATATCATCTGAATGCAGGCAGGATTCTTGCTCCTCAAGCATTGATTCACACATAATCCAAGTCTGGTAGGACAGCAGTCAGTCGTTTGCCTCTGCATACCAATCACTCCTGGAGGAAACTGTTAGATTTGGACACCAGCAGACTTCGGGACACCTTCAGTAAAATTTTGCTGGCTGTATAAAGCTGATATCCTTTTCATAAACCACTCTGAGTCTCCAACACTAGGCTTCTAGAGTGACTGTGAATGGTCTGACACTCTGGGATAGTATTTCTTGCAGGTATAAAATGAAATTGGTGCACTTGTCCTTCATAAATCCATGAAAGACTCTCCATTTCAAGTACTGAAGAAGTGGCATTTGTGACGTCAAATTAAGTTCAAATGCAAGTGTACAGTATATCTCTGCCAGGTGGGCACATGACCACCAGAGCTGATCGCTGCTACAGTTCTTGTTATTCCTGCAAATGTGCCATAGCACCTTTCAGAGGCTTTCCAGAAAAATCATCTCATCTACTGTTGCTCAAATCATGACTCATGTAGCAATCGCAATATCCATCAAAAAAATATGAATGATGATGATATGAAAAATTCATATCGTGATACTCACGATTTTTGACTTGTTGACATATTGACGTCATACTGTTACCCATGGAAACAACAAGTATCCTGAATGTTTTATGAACAGACTAGGACTTTTCAGACTCTTCTATCGAGTTACAGCTCAGAGGAAACTCATTCAGGGGCTCCTCCGGCAGCAGCACAGTGTCTCTCCCTCTCCTATCTCGCCGTGCGCACACGGGAGTAGCTGTCGTGTAGTGATGTTGTCATAAACCTACGCGCGGCTCGACAAAAAACCACATGTATGTGAATGTGTGATAGTTGTGGTATCATAACAGCCTGTCACAGGTTACAGCGTGATGATTCGAGGAGAAATGGAAGAGCATAAAGGTCCAGGTGGGAAAAAAAACAACTCAATCATTTAGGATTTTACTAAAAGAAGGAAATCACTTGTTGATTTATATATATAGATCCCAGGGTACATTTTTTGTATTTGGGAGCTGTTTAAATGTGTAATTTGTGGTGGATTTTATTTTGTTGAACTATTAATATTGTATACAGAATCTGAATCTCGCTCTGAGTTACTGTTGTTGTTCACAAACTAAAGAAATGAGAGGTCATTTTTGTTGAGTTTTTACTGAATATTTGAAGGCAAACCATTAGGTTGACTTGCAAAACTATCACTTATTTTGTAGCAATTCTATGCTCTTGACTGATTGTACATTTTTTTTTTTACTAATTTGTCATATCTCCAAAATTATCATTATCGCAAAAATACCCTGAAATATTTTGATATTATTTTGGGGCTATATCTTATGGCCCTATCCAATTTTGTGCCAAAATGTGGTCTACAATAGACGGTTAGTCTTGCTGTTTGAAGCTGAGCCATTTTCTTGAGAACTTGTGGCCTCTATCGGCCAGCTAAGAGGAGTGAGGAGTCAGAGGTCAATGACAGTATAAAATAGTCAAAAAGACAGGTTTCTAACAATTGTGAATCACATCATGCACAAGAGGTGCTTGAGCACACAGTCATTCATATGCATGCAAAATATGAGGCCGATTGGCCCGGAAGTATTTGAGATTAGCTGTTGACAAACGCACACACAATCGAACACATGGTCCCCTCCAGGCTTGCATATATGCCTGGTGGAGATAATTACTTTATTTGTTCTCTCTTCCTCCTCTGCCTTTACTTTACACCCACTTTCACAAGTACTTTTTATGAGTGGATATACATTTTGAGGAAGAAGAACTTCTTCTGTTTAGCTAGATAAAAAGTGTAACCTCTGTGTTACTTGACTTGATACCCACAAGTTTGTTGTTAAGACTTGTACTAAATTTGTGTAAATTATTAGTTAATAATACAAAACGGTAGTCTTTGCCCTCAACACAAACCCATACTAAAAAGTTTTTCACATTTAATTAAACTTACCTGAGGCTTTTGGGTCGTGGTTTGTTTTTGAACTCATTGTAGCGTTGGTGATTGTTTGTCAGCTCGAAGTGTTGATCGCTTTGTGGCTGTAACAAAAAGAAAAGCTCACAGTTGTATGTAGCTAAGTCAGTATGCGTTGTTGGTATTCAGAACCAAAAATTCATTTTCATTGTTTACAGTTTTCACAAGGCTGACATTGAATAGTAATGGGGAAAAGTTGATCTGTGACTCAGCCAAACTCTGTGTGATAGACTCTGTTCAAGACAAGTCATTCTTTGAATTATCAGTTTTCCAGATTTGTGGGTTCTACACTCTAGAGTACACAAAGTATAATGTGAAATTGTCAATTAAATACTGTCAAATGTTAGGTCCTTCACTTTATGTAACTAACCTTCAGACATTCTGTTGTCTATGTGGTCATCTACATCGCTGATTATGACTAATGATTGTGACATTTTTTAAAATCAAACCAAAACACACAGAGGGCAGTAAAGAAAAATTAACTAGGCTTGTTTGTGGTTCTTTCTGGGATATAATAGATATTCCTATGACAATAAACTTAGTTTATGTTGCACTTTTCTAGAAGTAATAGTAAAAACAAAATGCAGAAACTGAAAATTTGACAAAGATAATGAGATAATATAGAAAAAGCATTAATATTTATAATGCATAATAATTAAAACAGTATGCTAATAAAAAATTAAGAAAATATGTTTCAAATATATGCTATAGAGCTGCAACTAAGGATTATTTTCTCAGAAATAGCTGAAATAGAAAATAGCATCACAATATTCCAAAACCCAAAGATATTAATTTTACAGTTACAGGAGACTGAAAGAAGCAGCAATTATTCATTTTAGTAGCTGAAACTGATGAATTTTATGCATTTTCTGCTTAAAAAATGACTTAAATGATTAATCGATTATGAAAATACTTGCCAATAAATGTTTCATCAACTGACTAATTATTTAACGACAAATCATTGCAGCTCTAAATAGTATACCGTAAAACTTTAAATAATAGCCCGGGCTATTATTTGCTTAAATCACTGAAATCAATGGGCCGGTGTCTGTATCGGAGAGGCGTTTAATTCCTTCCACACAGAACTACTGCCCAGCAAAGATTGGGAAATACAATTAGACTGTTTATGTAAACCAGTATAAATATTACTTTTTTAAAAATTAGGCTTCAGATATTATAACAAATATGAATCATTCATTAGATCTAGCTCCGACAGACCGCGCAACGAGACCAGGCCTTTAATTGAGACAGTCACAGCCACACTGGGCTAGTAATAGGGACTGGTATTTAATTGGGACTAGGTTTTTTTTTAAATAATTTGGAGCTCCCGTCATGGTCACAAGTACACTCAGTCAATGACTCAACTTGACCACTCTGTAACTGCTGGGGTCATGAGAATGGGAGATTCCAAAATGGGGTCATGGGCCAGAAAAGGTTACGAGTCCCTGCCTTGGAGCTTCTCCTCATGTGTCATCTATGTTACCGTATGACATCAGTCTGTCAAAGTGGGGATGCCATGACTCCTGCGTGACTCGTGCAGACACTTGGAGACATGCTGGGACACAGTAAATGGGGAATGTGAAATCCCACCTATTGGCTGACTCTGCCCAACTGCCTGTGGAGTCAAGTGGCTGTGCCAGCAATTTAACTGCTCAGGATCCAAACATAGACAGGGGCAGAATGTCTGCGATCAAACTGTGAAGCCAAAGCACATATCTGTAAATCTCTTTCATACCACCAACTATTAAAAATGATGTTATTCACAGCGAGGTGCCTAGTTGTTAACTACTAGCAAAAGACTGAAAGTAAACCTTAAACTTAAACTGCGTTTGTCCTGAGCAGTCATGTGGATTCGTTTTGTGTTTGAAGGTGAAAAAGCACCAAGTGTGTACTTGATTTAGTCATTTGAAAAACAAAGCCTCTACAGAGAGTTAAGATGAGGTACAGAATTTATTTATATCAGGTACTCAGCTTATAGGGAGCAGACAAAAGAAGACTCCCACCTACTTTGACTGTCGCCCAGTAGACCTTCAGGTCAAGCACCAGTGGGTGACAATGACCAAGAAACTGTTAGTGAAGGGTAGTTTAAATCTTAAAGTTAGGTGAGTAATTCTTTTAGTATCTTTAATGCTGGGAGCCTTTTAATTAGAACTAAATGAACCTAATATCAAGATAATGGCCATAAGGCTTTTTAAATGGCTCTTTAATTTTAAGGACCATAAGAGGAATAATGAAAAAATGTGAAAAAGAATAGTTGACCTTGAACATCTACAAGCCAGCAAAAAAATAAGTTATATTAAGGCTCTGATGTGTCACACATCCTGTAGTGCAAAGCGATCACAGTCTCCTGCTCAATCCTTTGTTAGTCATGGGAAGCCAGTTGGGAAGGTCACATTTGTGACTGAAATATGGCACCCAGTTGAGCTCTTTAACGTCAACGTTACAGGATGATCTCAAGAGGTTCGTTCTTTTTTCCCCCCTCCTTTTACAGGGTATGAAAATTCTTGAGACGTCACTGCTTTAATTCTTGAAATGTGGGAAAAAAGAGCAAAATTTCAGGGCTCACTTTTGTGGATCCTGTGTCTGTGGCAGCACATACATTACAGTATATTATGGCATTGTTTGTTGTTACGGCCCAGGTTAAAGAGGCTATGCTAACATACCAGCCACTAACATTTTAAACAGGTATATACAATAGCACAATGACTGCAGGTCTTTAAATGTTAAAGTAAAAGCAAGGACATAGGTTTTAATTCAACATTTGGGGGGTCAGATATAAAATGAGGGTTGGGGGTCCCCTGCCAGACAAATTTAAGCATTAAACACTCAATTTCCTGCAGTTTTTATGCTCCAATTTATGCCTTTTTTGCTTTAATTTTGACAAAATAAGACATTTACACAATAAATTAAACTCTTAAGGCTCAGCAAATTCACATGTTCTACATATTGAGGGGGACATGTCCCCTGTGTTCCCCCGAAATCTGTACCTGTGATAAAAAGTATTCAAAAACCGGTCAACAGGTCTTTTTTTTTTTTTTTGTCAGGATTAGTACATTTCTGCAGCAACAGATTTGAAAACTTAGACAGCTTCTGACCTCTATAAATATACATAAACTATAAACTATACATATCCCTCTACTTGTCTTTATGAAATGATGTATGAAAAATGATCATTTCAAACCTACCTCATCAGCTGAAGAATAGACTACAGCTAGTCTGTACCGTTGTATTAGCCTCTCTCAACAAATGATTCCTGTCTGTTGTCCATATTTGATAATCACACAGTTGCCCTGACTTGTACCTCTTGCTGATTTAAGCCATTGCATTTCTTTCATGGCATATAAAATGTTGCTTTTGGGCAGTATATTCATTCAATGGAAATTACTGATGCAGGAAATTTGCTAAATTTGTTAATAAAAAAATAAATCGGACTTACTTTCAGTTCTTCGTCGTCTACATTCAGCTGTCCGTCTTCAGTCTAAACTCTTCTCACTGACCAATATTTCAAAGGTGACACCCCTTTTTGTCCGGTGATAAAAGATTGGAGCCCACAGAAACCCATACATGGGTGAAATGTAGTTACTGAAAACCCATGTTACAGCAGTGGTAAAGGGTGGAGGTTCCTCTTACCGATCCCTATGAAAGCGATCACTTTGCAGTTCGCTCTGGAAATACATTATGACTGTTCATTCAATCTGGTATTGGAAGTATCCAGTCTACAGTTTTCCACCATTACTGTTGACAATATAAAAACAACAGGTGCATTATATACTAATATCAAGATTCACATTCTGGCAGATTTGAACTCAAATGAATTAGTGATGGATTTTACTGGACTTCATATTTATCATCGAGACGTTTTGATTTATGGATCCACAATAGCCATGTAAGAGTCAAAGCATCAAACCCAAAGCTGTAGCCTGGCAGCTTCACAAGGTCTGTAGTAACAGGATCGCTGCACTGTGGACTTTATTGGCCAATAAACATTAACACGAGACATTTTATTTGGTAAAATAATCTCCGGTTGATACGGATAAATCAGCCTTTCCAATTAGCCTCCAAAAGTATAAACGGAGATTCTCACAGCATGCCGGTAGTGTTTGGTGAGTCACACCGGACCTGTGGTAGCATTATAAAAAGATGGTTGCTCATGGCGTGGCGGTGTGATGGACTTGTTGCACTGAGCAGGTTTTTGACTTCACATCATCAGAGGACAACCAAGCTTGAGTTATCCAGACAGTTTGAATAGTCACCCCGACCTCATAAAAGAGACATAATGGCAAGAAAAGCCTGATGACACGCGTGGAGAATAAACACAAATATCACCTCTGACCTGACAGAGGGAATAAGGTAAGCACTCTAACATATAAAAAAGGCATCTTTGCTGTATATGTTTACTCAAAAGGTTATATCCAGCAGCAAACCTGTGTTTTACAGATGTCACATTACGTGCAGTATGGACTTGATTTGTGTTTGCCCTGTCAGAATGTATGTATGAGTGTTTCTTTCAAATACGTATACAAGCTGTTGAACATAGTTGTCTCCCTGAAAGCTTTGCCTTCAATGGTTATTTGACTGTAGATATAAAAAGGTCTAATTTAAGGTTTGCAGCTGAGGATCTTGTATAGACAATTTAATAGAGAAGTCAGGTGGAGATATATATATATACGTGTGGAAATGCAATAAAAATGTGCACTCAGTTCATAAGGATGTAATGTGGTACTGTGATGTGCATGATATCGTGGGTTCAGATATAGGAGCCATAGGCTGCTGCAAACATCTTTCTTTAATGACAGCCACTGAGTTTGTTTCTCATTATTCATTATTTAAAACAACACCAAAAAGAACGTCACACACACAGTCAGTTTGTTAATTTATTGCAATTGCTACAAGAGAACATTTTGACAGATGTCTTTGTACTATGGCTTTTCACTTCACTCATGCTAAGTAGCTATTATTTCTGATGACAGCATAACAATTGTAGAACAGTCCCATTTCAAATAAATAAATTAGTATTTAGACCATTTTAGACATTTTTACCAGCACTTAACAATATCACACACTTTCAATGCATTTTTCTGCAGTAAATCAAAACATCCCACTTTCTTATTTTCCAGAATATCTCAGTACGAGGAACGCGTCCAAAAGCCTCCATGCCCTATTATTCTGTGGACAAAAAACAGAGAGAAACACTCATAATCATAAGGATTAATCAAAGCAGGTAGCTCAGAAACGACTCCAACTCTAAAGTTAAACCTCACCTTTAACAGCAAGTTTAGTCGAACACTCTGCCTTTCCAAGAGGGTTGACTGCAACAACCTTGTATTCACCGCCGTCTTTCGGTTGCACTCGAAGAATGTACAGGGAGCACACACCAAATGAGTTGGTGATGTAGTAGTCGCTGTCTGAGTTGATGCAGACGTCGTTGAGGTACCAGGATATGTTGGGCGCAGGGCATCCTCGTACAGCGCATGTCATGTAGAGTTGGTAGCCTTTGGGTGGTGTGTGGATTTTCAGAGGGACCAGGATGGACGGAGGCCTCTCAAAGCAGACCTCTCTTGAAACAAGTCCTTTTGTAGTTATTGGAACTTTATGGAGGAAAGTCAAAGAGGAGAAGGATTGAAATTATCATTAAGGTCAGATGAGTATCATATTGACACAAATCCAGAGATATTTCAGACATTGTTTGTTACCCAGGTCTTAAAATATAGGTCCTGTGCAATGAACTAATCCGAGATTTCAAATAATCATTCTTTTGAGCCTACAGTCATGCCTACGACTCTGGGAGGTTATATTTAGGCTTACAGTATATCAGCATAGCAATACACTCAAAGTCGCTATGCTAACAAGCCTATGTTTAGTAGGTATAATGTTTTCCATGATTACCATCTTGGCATGCTAACTAGGGCTGGGGATCACCAGAGGCTCCATATGATATGATATTATCACAATACTTTAGTCACAATACAATATTATTGTGACTTTAAAGGTATTGCGATATGCTAAGTATTACGATAAAATAAATTGCAATATATTGACTTTTATTACCTGTTACCTGTTACTTTCATTGCAAATAATGCCCCCAAAGACAAAAACACTTTGTCAATATCGGTTATATCTTACAAGATAAAGTTTTCAGTCTGTCCATCTCACTCCAGTTGTAGTGGCACCATGTGACGATACGATATTGCCATACAAAAATATTGCGATACTACGCTGTATCAGAGGGATGTCATATGCTGTAATGTCCTCTGAGGCAAATTGTGATTTATGATATTGGGCTTTATAAATATAATTGAATTGAATTATCAATTTTCCCCCCACCCCTAATGCTAACATTTGCTAATTAGCTCTAAATGCTAAATACAGCTGACTGAGGCTGAAGGCAGTGTCATTAGTTTTAAGTATTTGGTCATAATCACTATTAAACAAATAGAAATTTTGGCCTGATGGATGGTGCTAGATTAAAAATCAGGGTATGACCTTAAAATCAGAGTATGATCTTAAAAATCAGGGTATGACCTTAAAATCAGGGTATAATCTTAAAAATCAGGGTATGATCTTAAAAATCAGGGTATGACATTGAAAATCAGAGTATGATCTTAAAAATCAGGGTATGATCTTAAAAATCAGGGTATGACCTTAAAAATCAGGGTATGATCTTAAAATCAGGGTATAATCTTAAAAATCAGCATTAATCCATGCAGTACATGAGATATTTCACTGGATAATTGAAAACCTTGACTTTAGAAGTAATTGGATTCACTGTGAATCCAGTGACCATGAATATCCGTACAAAATGCAGGGAGAATCCATCCAATGTTTCGCAATGATATTTCAGTCTGGACCAAAGTGGTGTGCCCACCAAAGGATGGATGGATGAACTGACGTTGCTATTCCTAGAGCCCTATAGCCTTACTGCCATAGTGTGGCTAAAAAGAGTGTTCAGGGCATGTACATCACATATTCACGTCTTTTTGGACTGTTGCAACCACTCTGTAACCACAACTGAATTTCTTTAAGAAGTAGTGCACGTTCATACTATACTGGGGCTCTTCGGGAGCATATTACAAAAACTGTAACGGGTAGGAAAGGAGAGAGCAGTTGTGATGGTGTGATTGTTCCGAGGTCTGGTGTGTTTTATGTAGGTATATTATTAGGGCTGGGTATCATTTATAAAATCACCAGTACCAATACCAGTAACTTTTACATGATGCCGATGCCAATAGAATACTTCATATGATACCTGTTTTCCTACATTATTCGATAGCCATCATGTGAATGAAAGCATTCAGTTCAGTAAAATGCCACCAGACGCCACACGAGTGTTGTAAAGCCGTACTTTTGAAGTGTTGGTGGCACCTCAGCATGCCAACTTTGTCAGATATACTGGGTGGGCCTTCACCACACCACAGACTGTATGGGTTTTAGCCGCTGTGGTAGTGGGGCAATCAGACGTCACATTAAATTGACTGGTTGGAAGCAAAACCATACAAATTATAATTATTTCTAGACCTGGGTACAAAGAGGATGGAATGCAGGTATCATTTGACTGGAGGAGTTTCGAGACTTCTTGGCACAGGGTTATTTTGGTCGCCACCATAAAACTAACGAGTACCTATACCCAGCCCTGTATGGTAAGGAAACGTATATGTCTGTGTCTGATAATAAAAAGGCCCATTTTTCAAACACAGAAGCTATGATATTCAACTGTCACTGATATCAGCTATTGTGTCATATAAACATGCTCATGCTATTTAAAACAGATGAGGTCTTATCAACAGTATAATGTATTTGGACATTATGATTCTGTAGTGTAGAGTACACATTTGTATGCAAGATATTTCATGTGAAATTGTCGAAGCATGTGCTGTGTTTGTTTTGGTTTACTCTAACGGCATAATCCAACATAACTGAACTGGCACAACTATAGTAACTGACCTCTGTTGCAGTTGGCACCCCATGTAGGTGAAGGAGATGGATCTGAGAGGCCCACATCATTCTTGGCGTAGACCCGGAAATGGTACTCTGCCCCAGGAAGGATGTTATTGGCTGTGAATGTGTTAGCAAATAGGCGGTCTGCCACAGTCCTCCACATTCTGCTGTTGGTGTCATATTGAGACACCACGTAGTACAGGCGGTCGTCAAGCTCCTGGTCTGGTGAAGGAGCCCATGACACCTCCACTTTTCCTTGGACTGTTTGCTCAAGCTCCACTGGCCCCGGAATCTTGGGTTCATCTAGTAACAAATCCGATAAGATGAAGAGTAAGTTACCAAGACAGGAAAAATATCTATTGGTAAATATATGTCTTGGTTTCTTTTGGAGCAAGTCTCATTAATTTCTTTGTAATGTGGCAGCTTTGAAACCTTATCTTACTTTACTCGAGAGATGTTTTACTCCTCTGTGGGTTTTTGTCGGGATTGCATTTGCATTTGACAGCTGTTATAAATTAATCACATCCAACTGCATGTTACACAGTAGGATTTATGTTTCTCACTCCATTTAGAAGTTGTTCACTGTTAATTAGGGTTTCATATTGGGTTGCCAATACATCGGTGTGCCATCTGCGTTTAATTGGCTAGATATTTCCCAATTAATGTTGTCCAGTGTTGATTCAAATGGAGTTCTCCTCTGACCTGAGGTACATAATGCGAGCAATTCAGTTAATTTCTCATTTCCAACAAATTAATTCCTCATTTAAAGAGCTGAGGATTGTGAAACTAACATGCAGTTCAAATCAGCATAAAACAATTGCCCCCAGTAGTTTCAGCACAGAAATAATACCACTGTCTCCACAACTTTCCTGTGCCAATCACAGTGTGTCATTATTCGTCCTTACCTGTGACTCTAACCTCGACATCAAATGATGCCTCACCCACAGAGTTTTGGGCTTTGATAGTGTAAATAGCTGAATCTGAGCGCTTTGATGAGGGGATAACAAGCTGAGACATTCCCTCTGTATTGATGATAGTAATCCACGAGGATATCGGCTCATCATCCTTCAACCAAGTGATCTGAGGTGGAGGTTCACCCTGGAGATATCAGCATCAGATAAATGAGATCAAGTGTGAGTCATATGCAGTCATGTCACACTCTTCATAAACTCATCACTCAGGAAAATGACATGGCTGGAACGAGGGAATAAAATACGAAATACACTGACTTGAAAAGATAGGTTTAGGATTCACACCATGGAAGAATGGCTCCAGATTTTCGGCTTATTCATACCTCGTAGCAAATTTTGACACGTGCAGAATTTCCTGCTCTGACAACAATGAAGTCCTCTGGGTCTTTAAAACGAGGTCTCACTGGAAGAAAACACATAAAACATGAAATGCAGACAGGGAGAAACATCGCTCTGGATAACAAAGTTTAATAATTAAATACTCACAACGGGGAAAGTTTGCTACTTACTGTTGGGATTCTTTGCACACACCATTGCAGAGGGAGGGCTTGGGTCTCCTGCGCCTGACTCATTGATCGCTGAAACCCTGAACTCATATTCTGCCCCTTCAGTGACATCTTTAACTGCATAGCTCAGGTCTGAAAATAAGATTAAAAGCAGTGCAAATGAAAAAGAAGTGCATTATTTTTTCAATTAAAACAAGAGTATGTGTTTCTGACTAACCTTTAATAGGGTCACTGACTGCATTCAGGGCAATCCACTCGTTTGTGTCCTTCTTTTGTTTCTCTAATTGATAACCAATGATCGGTACTCCTCTGTCGTCCTCTGGGGGTGTCCAGGTCAAGTTGATGCAGCTCTTAGAGGCACTCACCACTTGGGGGGCACCAGGTGGACCGGCGAGTACTGAGGAATGACAAGTGGTCTAATTAATCAAGTAAGGCCATTATTAATAATTGAGAAGTAATTAAAGACGTGGAATACATTAAGGACGTGTACATGTTAAAACTGCAGGTTATTACAAACTATTCCTCTCAGAGATAGAGCGACTATTACAGCAATGATAAAAGGTGAGCTTTCCACAGTGACTAAACAGTGCCGGTGACAAATGATTTGAAGCAAAACTATTCAGAGGCATTTTCATTTATTACAACCTGAGGGAGATTAGCATGCTGAGGAATGCTAAATGAGACTTCTTTTTTTTTTAAATGCTCACTCATTATGCCAGCCATAATGCTATCAGCTGTCTCCAGGGCGTCGCTGAGGCCCTCAGGGTTTTCTGCATAGATGCGGTAGTTGTATTTCTTTCCATGAGTCACATTCCTGTCTCTGAAGGAGGTCTTGTCAGCCGAGACATCCCCAAGTTTTGTCCACAGATTCTGTCTTGCCTGCTGCCGTTCTATGATGTAGTTGGTGACAGGGGAGCCCCCGTCGTCTTTGGGGGGGTTCCATTTAATCTCAATCAAAGATGAGGTGGTTTCAACGGCCTCCACTGGACCCTCAGGGGGACCTGGGCGATCTGTGTCAAAAACACAGTGTTTAATTTCAGATGTAGTGTTTTAATTTTTTGCCTAGCAAGGTCAGAGTTGTGTTTATTTTTGAACGTCATATTTATCACTTTTCTCGTCAGATAACTTCTTGTTTCATACCAAGCACAATAAGCCTCGATGTGGCCTCTGCAACTCCAAATGGATTTTTGAGTTGGATCTTTATTTCCCCTGCGTCTGTCCGCAGGCAGTCTCTGAGCAGCAGCCGGCTGTGATTGGGCTCCCTCACGATCTTAACTCCACCTCCGTCTTTGATCTCAGTTCCGTCTTTGAACCAGCTGACCACCAAAGACTCCTGAGGAGGAAAGGGCATCTTGAAAGCAGCGTTCTGGCCCACTCTTATGATCACAGGCTTGGAGAACTTGTGAAGGTCGTCTGGGTCAAACTCAGGTACGCCTGTGAAAGAGTGTAATTGAGTTTAATAGACAGCACCTGTTGTGACATTTAATACATGTTCTACAGCAGAAAGGGGAAAATTATACCTCCAACGGTGACCTTTCCCTGTGTGCTGAGATCCCCTGATACAAAGCGATAAACTCCAGAGTCGTCGTCGCTGCAGCTTTGAATTGTCAGCTTGTGAGATGTTCCATCTTTGGTGATGGTGATCCCAGCACCTGACTTTAACTAGAAAATCAAATATGAAAGAGAGAATGTTATACTTTGTTGTGTTACATTGACGAATTTGCAAGTAGAGAAAACTCAAATCCAAAGACACAGTTATTACTTTGTACTTACAGCCACGATTTACTCTACATGTCAAATACGTAAAGTGATAACAATAATACATTTTATTTATATGCGCCTTTTAGAGCACTCAAGGACACCTTACAAGACACAGTTAAAAAAACAAGCAGCAGGGCATCCATAGATCATTAAATTAAACAATTCCATAATATACAATAAAAGTTAATAAAATGACTAGACAGAAATCATAGCAGTAAATATTGGGTATAAAATCATCATCAGTGCAAGACTCAATATGTGTGTCACCATTAAGTCAGACTGAACATGCCAGCTTGGAAAGGTGTGTTTTCAGACGGGATTTGAAAGTGGAAAGGGAGTCAGTATTGCGAATGGGGGCGGGGAGAAGAACAGCTGAAGGCTCTAGAACCCATGGTAGTCAAGCAGGCAGATGGTGATGTGAGATGGATTGCAGAAGAGGATCTAAGAGTACGGGAGAGCGTGTCGATATGAAGGAGTTCAGACAGGTAGGAAGGGGCTTGGTTATGAAGGGCCTGCCTTCTCCCAGTATAATGGAACTAGATGACACTTGGCTTGTGTTGCACATTTGCAACATTTTGCACAAAAGCACATTTGAAGATTAGTTGAAGTATGTTAGTTCGTAGGTCTCACCTGCTCTCCGTCTTTGAACCAGGTGCCGTCAGAGTCCATGCTCATCTTCACAATTAATTCTGCCGGGCTCTCACGAAGAGCATAGATATCAGAGAGTCCACAGGTGATTTCCGGCTCTGGGCGACATAAAACAAAGTTACTCTCCATTTTGAATATGCATGTGCAGCAGCTTTAGGTTAGGACTACATGTGCGCTGAATAAAAGTACACAACAATAAACCAATTACCCACACATATGCTTCAAATCTCTGCTCATTAATGTGATATTTGAGATAGGAAGGATAAATGGTTCATCAATATTAATGATTACTATGGATGTAGTGCACATTCCACTTACCGATACAGTCCATGATTGAAATATTAGATAAGTGTGATCGGGTTAGAAAGTTTATGATGAACACAAGTTACAAACCAAGCACAATGAAAAGCAGCAGACATAAAGCTTTGTTAACAGAAACCCAGTGAACTCAGAAGAGTGAACACGTTTGAGCGGTGTGATTCTTTGGATCCGTATTATATTAAAATGCTAGTCATTATTTCACAGCACCAACAGTTAACCTACAGAGCTACGATGTTACAGAGAATACAATAGTTTGATTAGATATTTTGTTAAGTTTTTAGATTCTGTTCTGTCACCAGTGCAAATAAAAAGTTATTTTATTAGTCTTTTAATATCTGTGTTACGATTCTACTTTCAGTATTCGTTATCTGGCATACCGCCTCCTGCATCTACAAGTGGTGGATCGATCTTTTCATCGCCAGCGGCTTCCTCAGCTGAGGGGCCTAGCAGCAATGACAGCAGTAAGTCATTTAAACTTGATTTAGTAAATTACTCCCTCAATTTATGCTCCACTGTTGTCTCTCTTACCACTTCCTGAGTCTTCAGCTGGAGCTGGTGCTGTTGGTGCGATCACAGACAGTATGAAAACATTTTAGATTTTGCTCATGAATTTGAGGACATGTGAAACTTGTTCTGATAAAGGGTCAGATACTTCTAAGTGTTCTCTACAAATCAGGTATAGTTCAGATTACTCAAACATACCACAGTGTTCTAGCTTTTCCAACATCCCACTCACAGATGGCCACAGAGTAGTGGAGTGGGTGGAGTCTAGGTTTACTCCATTATAAATTTGCATTTCAAAGTTCTCTTGTAATGAATAGTTCTTAATGCTCTCCTGGGAGTAACGCCACAGGCTTTACCTTTACCGTAATTGCTTCCAGAATCATGCTGCTTTTCGGTCCAATGATATTTTCAGTTTTCATCATACAGAGATAAAACAAAAGGAAGTAGAAACGGCTCCCCTCTTTCTTTCAAAATGATGTGTGTGGTTTGTGAGGCTGTTTTGGCTAGTTCCCCTTTTCAAAACAGCAGTGGTAGAGGGTGGGATACGGTTCGAGGCACCTTCAAATTATCATATTCATATATTCTCAAATGCTCAGTGAAGAAGAAGAGGTAGATGTGCTAATGCATTTTCAGTAGTTTGAACTTTTTTTTTGTTTGAAAAAAGCATTCTGTACAAAAAAGTATTAAAGAGCATTTTCAAACGACTTAATATGTCTCGAGGTGAGTTTGAAAATCAGCTTACTTAAGAGACCTTACTTTAGCAAAGTAATCCATGTAAAGATCATGTCTGTAACTTGTCCAGCCAGTCTGCACATACAAAGACACTAAAGCGATAATAGCATTAACATAAGACCAGACATAAATACTGAGAAGGATCAGTGAACAAATTCATGTTTCAAATGTCTGCAAGATGATTTCCATACGGCAGTGACATGAATCAGGGTCTTCTTCTTAAATGGTGGGAAACAGTCATAAAAATCTTTAAAATGAAATATCTATCTGCAATCAAACCAAAGCAACTTAATTCGGAACTGTACACCGTACATATATAACACCTGCTCTCAAAAAGAAAATGGATGCTAATATTTCTTCTCTCTGCTCCAAGTGTAACTCTGAGTCTGGAAGCTACATTCACTGTTTTCGGCTATGTGTAAAGCTACAAAGCAATTGGTCTGGTATTGTGGATGAGCTGTCTGTTATATTTGGTGTTCAAATAGAGTTGGACCCTATGCGCCTCCTACGTGGACTCCCAGATGGTCATAAATACCAAACACAAGAGACTTTCCAATCTTTTGACTTTTGCTGCCAGGCAAAATATTCTGCTCTTCTGGACCAAGGATGCTGCTCCAACTAAAAAGTCGTGGCACAGTCTTGTAGTGCAGGGCGCTCCCTTGAATATATCTCTTGTATTCTTCACTCCTCAATAGAGGCTTTTAATAAAGTTTGGGACCCTTACTTACAGTACGTTGGACCTAAATCAGCTTAGCCAGCCCCTCTGCACTTCCTGTAAATTAGTCCTCTTGTAAAAGTTAAAGTTAAAAGTTAAAGTTCCATTGATTGTCACATACCTGAGTGTGTGAAATTTGTTCTCCGCATTTGACCCATCCCCTGAGGGAGCGGTGAGCAGCAGTGGTGCCGCGCTTGGGAATCATGTGGTGATATAACCCCCCAGTTCCAACCCCTGATGCTCAGTGCCAAGCAGGGAGGCAATGGGTCCCATTTTTATAGTCTTTGGTATGACCCGGCCAGGGATCGAACCCACAACCTCCCAGTCTCAGGGCGGACATTGTAACCTTGTTGTTTGTCTATATAGCCTGTTTGTTAGTCTGTTTGTTTGTTGCTGCCTTTATATGGTTGTAGTAGGTGATAAAGGTTGGGGATGGATGCAGTGCCCACTATTATTTCTTCTTTTTTTTCTATTAAACCCTTTATGACCTACCATAAAACCAGAGCATATCTTCACATTTTTACATGCTGTAGTGTCATTTTTGGAGTGGTCGAATATGCTATACATCAATACAACCTTTATGTCCCAAATCTTAATAATGAAATAAATTGCTAAGTGCAATAAACCACAAAAAAGAGAATTTTTTTTTTTTTTTTCTTTTTACACATTTTTCTAAATACATGCAAGAAAACCAGCTCATGCTCACAACATGATGACACTTATTCTATCGTAGGAAGTGCTGTGAATACGCACGGTCTGGATTTTAATGTTTTTGTTGTGTGCGCTTTCTACTGGATTCCTACAAACCCATTAGTGCAAGGAAACAGCGCTCTTGGACATGATGAATGCGTGATATGTTAGTGTAACTCCTCTGGTTTTATATGCAAATATAATTATTGCTCTATCGTATTTGGTTGCAATTCTACTGGCATTTAAAAATAGATATGTAAATGGGATCGCGGGCACTCCTGTCTTTGTCAAAGGGCTGCTTCTTCTTTTGTCATTTTTCCCTCATTTTCTTATTTTCAACTGCGCATTCTTTTCGCCACTTTATGTCTGAGCTGCTGTGTTCTGTGTTTAATGTAAATAATGCAATAACTATATTCTTTAAAAGAAAAAAATCTTTAAAACTACGGCATGCCTCGAAAAATTTTATGGGATTTGTATAAAAATGAGCGAAAAATGCAGAGGCACTGTTGCATCGCCTATAACAGAAATCCTGTCCTTTGTTGATACATCTTTATAAGTAACTGTGATGTAAACTTTACAAAGTAAGTTGCGACAGGTGAAAAAAAACTGCATTTATGAATTATGTTGTTGTAATATTCAAGTGGTTTTGAGTAAATTTCAGTGTAAAATATCAAAACGCAAAATTGACATGTAATCATAAAGTGCAGACAACATTACATAGCTGTGATCTGTGATGGAGCATGGCAACCTGTCTGTGTAGAAATCCTAAGAATATTGATTGCACCATCTGTGTTAAGTAATACTATTAGGCAAAGCCTGACCTTAACGAGGCAGACAGTCACATAATGAGCTGACAACACAACAGAAAATAAAGCCAAAACATTAGACTGACCTTAGCGATGGTATAAACGCCTTTTTTTTATCAAAGTATATCAGGATAAAGAAACTGCAATGTCTGTCCAACTTTTTTAAGCTAACAATCTTGCAAATAGTCTCTGCAAAATCTTATCTTAATCTTATAAAAAGTCTCTGACTCATGACACGTTGTCTTTAGATGTGAGAGTGTCAGATTTTAGTCTTTTAAAATTTTTTTCAAAGTATTCTAGTGTATGATAGACATTAATCACTTATGATGCCTCATAGATTCTTATAAATACATGAAAATGCATCACACTTTACTGAACACCAACAATGAGATGTTTGATGAAGCATGCATTATTATAGATACATCAATATGTACTCCACTTTACTTAACACATACAATGATAATTTACAGCATTGCATGGACTGTTATAACGCACCTATGAGTCCTTACTACAGTTCATCATTGAGGTGCGTTTATATAGTAGTATAGGTATTCATAATGCATCATAAGCTCCATCAGTCAACCTCTAGTTTATAACTAGTCAAGAGCATCCAAAAGACAGTTATAATTCATTATAAGTGACATCTATAATGTTTTACAACTGTTGATATGGATCAGGAAGTATTATGTGTGTTTACGAGTGTAGTCATAGAGCATTATAAATGAATTATAATTCACTATGAATGGCCTTATATTGCATTATAGATGTGGTCTTTGTAGAAAGTGCTACCGAAACGTATTACCGAAGCCATTATAGTTGTAATAGCTGTCATAACCACCTTTGAATGCATGCAGAGGTTGTCACAACCATTCAGGTTTCTTACCAGTGCTTACTGGCTCTACAACGGGTGGATCCGCTGCTGGTACCGGCTCAATTTCTGAAATTATTTGGAAATAATGAAATCCAACAATATTGTTTCTACAAATTATGAGTCACAATGTTGCAGTTAATAAAGATGAAAAAGAAATAACAGAATAACCACATGGATAAGTATCCATGTAAAAAATGACAGATTGACAATGTAGGAGTTTCCAACATGGTTTGTTATATCGACAGTGTTTCATGAACCTTGTGGACAGCATTCTTACTTGGCTCAGGCTCCTCTGGCGCTTTAGGTTCCGGCTTAGTGGGTGCTGGAGGTGGAGCTTTAACTGGAGCCGGAGGATGCACTTAATCAAAAAGAAACAGAAATAACAAAATCACCACCAAGATAAATATTCATATCAAACGTAACAGTTTTGATTATCTCATTAGCTCTAAATAAAACTCAGGAGTTTCCACTATGGTCACCCTGTTTGTGAATTCCACACAGTGTTTCATAAACCTTGTGGTCGGCACTCTTACTTGGCTCAGGATCTTTTGGTGCCTTAGGTTCAGGCTTAGGAGCGGGTGCAGGGGCTGGAGGGGGTTCAGGTGGAGGGGCAGCTTTAATCTGTTCTCTCCTCTCCTCTCTCTTCTTCTCTAATTTTACTTGCTGCTCTTTGGCGACCTTCTGCAGATCCATCCCAGATCCCCCTGCCGTTGTTGTTTTCCTTGCTGACTTTTTGCCCTGTTGTGCATCTTTATCAGCTGAATCATGAAAACAAAATCTGTGAGTGCACACCTAAAAATGCCATATTATGATATAGAAGGCAATCATTGATAAGATAAATTAGCCATCTTGTTACTTTTCATTATCATTCTATTACAAATCATTATTATTAACCATTATTGAATATTGTCAGTCAGTCTTTTGTTTGGGTATAATGTCTTACCTTCAACGACAAGCCATGCGTTGCAAGATTTTATTCCTGCGCAGGCTGAATAAATTCCTTTGTCTACTATCATGCAGTCTTTGACCACCAGCCTGTGAATGAGCTTGTCCTCCGAAACCTGGATATCATATTTATCGCCTTGTTCCAGCGGCAAATTTTTGCCAAACCACAGAATCTTGGAGAATGGGTTTGACAGGACACACTCAAAGACAGCATCTTGCCTCTCTATTGCCTTCACTTCCTGAATTTTCACCAAGAAATCCACCATGGGGACTGAAAAAGAACAAGCGATGCATTTCAGATTAAAATAGTTTGTTACATCTGCGTGAATTATTCCAATCACAGTCTATGTTATTTATTTTAATTAGGGCCACTTTGTTTTATGCGTCAAACACATTGTCTTGCTTTGCTTTAATTAGCGAGGGTAATTTGTCACGTGTGCAAGTGTAAAACTTACTTTTAAAATCAGTGGAAAACATATTCACATCCTCTACATCAACCTGGTACAGTCCAGCATCGTCTGGCATAAGGTCCTTCAAACTGAAAATGTATTTTTTCCCCACTTGTTTGAGGCTGTGCTTCATCTTATCTCCCAAATCCTTTGTATATGGAACCATTACACCATCCTGTCGGGGGAAATATACATTGGAATTACCTTTCAGACTGCTTCAAATTTTGCTTACAAAACAGCGTTCAAGATAATAGCTGAAGAAATGTCACTCCTTTAAGTATAGCAAGACTCCATCAAAACATTTTGAAAGTCAAAGCCATAAGCTTTAGTAGATACTGTATACTAATGGTTGTGTTGTAAATCTCTTAATAAAATGAATAGATGAGTGAGTTGATGAGTTTATGGGCTCAGTGATGTTGGTTCATCTGTCTGTGCAGTCCTACTCCAGTGCTAGAAATCCAACACAGTTGCCTGAAAATTTATTTGTATTGTACATTTCTGCAAAACATGGATACGCAACACATTCTCACTTTGACCTTGTCAAATATTGACTCGCTTGTTCGTGGATTTTTTCCACGTCACATACAATGTGTAAGGTATTGGGTGCTTTGGTTGTTGATGTTCTGGGACGCCGTGTCAAGTTCTGCCTGTTACATGCATTGTTTTCTCTTTAAAATATACTTCTGTTTTCATTGGAAATTTAACGTTTACATACAGTCTCTTACAAAATAAACCACAAGTTTACGTTTTCTATCCTTCAACAACAAAAGCACGTGGTTGGGTTTAGAGAAAAAGAAGAGGGTTTGGCTTTAGAATCTTACAGGACGCGAACACTGCTCTCACAGGTGAAGGTCAGTGTTTGTTGGACCCACTCACCACCCCTCCTGCCTGCCCCAGTTGGACTTTTGCCACAATAACTTTTGTCCTTGTCCTGCTGCATTTCCCCCTGACGCTGCTGGGCGCCGTTAAACTATATTGGCAACCGGCAGCGTATCATGCCGATGTTAAAGAATGCCTTTTTTCATTGGTCTCTGACGCTGCAGGTCACTGCCCAAGCGCCAGGTTTCGGCAACTTCGAAGTGAGACCAGGCTCAGATACATGACATTTGTACATTATTTTGTGTCTGATACATTGAAACTGTGTTTTTTAACAATGCTGTGGTAAAGGTGTGGTTAGGTTTGGGCATAAAAGCTACTTGGTAATGATTAAGAAAAACACCCGTTATCAACCGGTATTGACGTTTCTTGGTCTCGAACGCTGATATGCACCTTGGCAGCCATCTTGCCATGGTGACACACCATCCACCATCTCCTTCTCCTGAGCTCATATACTACATCACTTAAGAAATGTTGATGCACTGCCTATAAAACATACAAATGTGATGTATCTGTGGTTTGCAGAAACGCACAATGCCAACATTTTCTTCTGGCGACTGGGCTGAGATATTTGGATGCATACTGATGCATGTACTGGCTAAATTGCAATTAAATTAATAATTTGATAATTAATAGTCAGGGTCCTGTTGAATTAACCTCAGTACGTCTTCTGTAGTACGAGTGCTTGGAGTTGTTGAGCTTGTTGAGTTATAATTTTGTTTTGACACTGACCTTGTACAGGAATATGGAGCTGCTGGGGTCAATAAGGTCCATGTCAAACTCAAAGGATGCAGTGTTATCTGCATTGACTTGAATAGATCTCAGATTGGACAGGTTTCTGACAAACTGGGACAAAAACAGAATAAGTTGAAGTATCAAGATGAAAGCAAATGAGCATTGTTTCTCATTAGTGATGACAGCATTGCCATCTGTTACTTGATTAAACATTTGTTTGAATGTATCTAAGCTTCAAATGTCATAATCAGAAAAAGGTACACCAATCAAAATGCAAATATCAGAGATAAAAAACCTCAGCTTGTTCTTCCTCCCTTTCTTTCTTCATTTCATTAAGTTTCTTCAGCATCCAGCGAAAGTCAGTCACTCCATACTCTGCACAGATTCTCTCATATTCTTTCTTGTCAGCACTAAGTAAAAGCTCCCAAAACTTTGGATCAATCTCTCCATCCTTTCTCTCAGGCTGCTCAGATTTCGGACGGACCTTACTGGAAAATAAAATAGGCTGCATTTAGTTAAAAAACCATTGAAATCTTTGAAACACAGAGGATCGTCAACACGCAACAAAAACCTACCTTCTCCTTTTCAGTACCTTCTTAAAATCCCCATTGACGGCTTCAGCTACTTGTTGCTGAGCTTTGTCCTTTTTGAAGCCAACTGAAAACAGAAAAAATGGTGCTCACATTACTAATACAGTCATATAATTAAACAACATACAAGAGGGGCTGCACGGTGATAAGTGCCAGGATGAGTGTCATACACTCAATCATATCAAGTAGTGAAATGTCAATTTTGGATAGAAGTGCACTCAGTTTGAAGTAGATTTGGGCGAACACTTGAGTCTGCATGCTGTATCAGATTAAACAGACAGGCTTTACCTTCGATGACATTCAGAACAACTGTGACCATGGCTTGTCCATATTCATTTGTGGCAAAGCATTTATAGGTATCAGCTTGATCTGGCATAACATTTGGCATCTGGAAGATAAAAGACACACTAAATATCATAGACCCAGCGGCTGAAACAGTTGCCTCTGTTAATAAGCTTCACAATTTATAACTGTGGTTCCACACCTTTTTTGTCTTTTGAGATGTGTTCCTGCACGGTCTGATCAGCTCAAGAACCTGTTAATTCGTCACATTCTAAATGTGTGAAGTTTTACTTTTATTAGGGTGTTATTTGCACCATTAACTCTATAAAAGTGGATATTTTCCCTTTTTTGTTTTAAGTACTACAGCAACTTTTAGGAATCTTTTTAATTCAGTCTGGTCTCACTCCCAGGGCCTTAAAACATGTCGGTTGGTCAGTGGCCCTTAGTGTCAGATACGGACACACAATGCAATTAATTGAATTAATTAATGTTACTAGTTAAAAACAAAGCTTGCTGCTCCTTTTTATTGTTGTCAGGCAACCACAGACTCATGTTCTTACTCTAACCTTCCTGTGTAATCAATCAACTGTTTATTAATTTTAGTTATTTGACAGTAATTAGTATCTAGTTACTAAAACGTTGAGGCAGAGGGTACTTGCTGTAGCTCTGGTTGAGGGTGAGAGGCTGTCAGCAAATAGTTTGCTGGGCACAGGGAAACAGAGATCTGTGTGGGTACATGAGACCCCAAAAAAGAGGGTGGATCATGGGGAGTACCACCAGTTGGTCCAGGAGCTTCGGCTCATATGCGGTGTCACCAGCTTCAGACATATTTCAGGATGACTTTGGGGTAGTTTGACTACCTGCTGTCTATCATTGGCTATACAGCTCTGGGTATCCAGCAACCGCTACCACCAGTTTCTCAAAAAAAAACTGGAGGGTGGATCACAGGGAGTTCCACCAGTTGGTCCAGGAGCTTCGCCTCATATGCTGTGTCACCAGCTTCAGACATATTTCAGGATGACTCGGGGCAGTTTGACAACCTGTTGTCTATCGTCAGCTGTACAGCTCTGGGTATCCAGCAACTGCTACCACCATTTTTTTCCTCCATCGTTTACCAACTGTAAACTGTTGTCGTGACCACCACAGAAGGCCCATCTCCTCTCGTATCATCCGATTGGACAATGGGAAAAAATATGACGAAAAAAGGGATGACGTGGGGTGTTCTTCTAGCCTGGTGTTGCCAGACCCAATTCACAAAACGCAAATGGGTCTGGACACGGAGTGAACATTTCCTCTGTTCCTGAGGGGCGGTATCAACAGCTGTTACTCAAAATGCCCCTTCACGCAACTGGAAAGACGGAAAACCAATCAGAGTAAACAAAATGGGTGACGTAAGCTAGCACAACACCACTGTAAACGGACCAGCAAGCAAGTGCAGCGTGCAGCGGAGATGAGCTCTGATGATGTCTGGGAAAGAGTGTTGCTGTCTTTGCGGATTTCCTCCTGAAGTTGCATGGCTGTGATTCCCACCTTGGTCGCTTCCCTGACCTGCTCCTCCATGAGAGCAACTAGCGGAGAAACAACAATAGCCACTGGGTTTTCACTGAGTCCCATCTTTTTCCCGATCAGCGGAGCCAGTTGGTAATTTAAACTTTTACCAAACCCCGTAGGAAGGACGGCAAACACATCCTTTTTTTCAATAAAAGCTTTCAGTGCAGTCGTTTGTTCTGCTTTTAAAGAAAATGTACATTTCAGTTCGTTCAAAACATTTACCGTTGCACTTTCAGTATCCATGTTGGTTGTTTACGAAATGTGTTCACTTAGCTCCTTGTCCCTCCTATTCTGATGACATGCCCGCACCAAAGTAAGAAACGGTTGTGATTGGCCCGGTGAGCTTTAACCGATGTCAGAATGCGCCTTTATGATTGCATCGCCAGACTGATCTGCGGAGCGAAATGGAATATGAGCTCGCGAGATTAAGATGGTTTCACCAGGCTAGCGTTCTTCCGCTCTGAGTTGAATTTTTTTTAAACATGAAGAGTTGAGAGCACTTCCTGCAAAATGCCAGCTGCTAAAATGCTTTCTGTGTGATCAGGGCCTTAAGCATCTCCCCATCTGTGTTATTAGATAGTCAAACCAATGGACATAGCATTAAGAGCGACACAGTCTGCTTCAGATGGGTGTTAGTGTCCCGTTTGAAACTAAAAGTCAGTGTTGAATTACTTTGTCACGTGAGGCCTTCATCACTCGTTAGTCACAGAAGTTGACTGATGTGAATAATATCAACTATCTTTTCCTAACCAATCAGTTTTGTTCCCTGAACCAAACCACCGACCCCGTCTGCATCAAGATAAAGTGCAAAAGGCTACCTGTGAGCGAAAGCGTCAAAAATGCGGAGTAGGGACAAGATCATGTTGTTAAATTTTTCTGCTTGCTTGCTAACTAGTTTTCATGCACTTATTCATAGCATGTGATGTAGATGTAGTCAGCGTATCATAGTTACTTTATAGGTTTTTGGTTGTGTATTACAATAAACATATTAAAGATTAGCTTAACAAAAACATTGAATCAACTTCTCCACAGTCTTTCCCTGTACCTCCTGGAAACTGCAGAGGTTCCCACAGGAGTATAACGCCTGGTTCGGAATTACTACCACACAGTATCCAATGAATAGTGATATGAATAGATACGTATCCTTTGTGGCATCTTGCACATGACGCACCAATTTGATTGAAATACTCTAGAATAATTACAGGCTGTGTGCATTGCTTGATTGGTAGATTGCCTCCTGATGTGTTACCAGATGTCTCCTATTTTATATTTTCAGACAGCAGTGAGTTGACAGGACATGGAGGCGGATGAATCCGGCCCATTTTATGAAACTGACTTTGTTGAGCGTGCTCCTCTCAGAATGAGTGAAATCCTGTTATTGTGGAAAAAGTAATTGGCAAAGCAAACTGAAGGGTTAGGAGACTGGATGGCATTGATGTCTCCTCCTCTTTTATCTATCTATTTTATGTGTGCTATTTTTACAGCCCCTTTACATCAGCATGTTGCTGTATAGTATCACAGTGATCTGATAGGCCGTATCACTTGCCTCAAATAAATGCTCATTGGAAGCAGGATCGTGTTTAGTCTGATATCTTGACGTATCAGACACATCTCCATTATTTCTGCTCCACGTAACAGTTGGCTCTGGGTCTCCAATGACAATGGCTTTGAAAAAAGCAAATTTCCCTGTAACAAAACAAGGACAAACAAGTTCACCTCATGTTCTTATATATTTTGAAAAGACAGGGAATATATTTATTTAAATATTTCTGTATTGATTTGTAATATATGCAATAAAAATACAAAGAAAGATTAATGCTTACATCATTAAATCAACACCATTTATGTACAATGCAAATGCAAAAAGTTGTGGATTTGTCTTTGGGTAATCATGTCACTTTTCCTGGTTTTAAATTGGAGTCAGTGTGTGTTTAATTTTATCTGACTGACACAGGAGTCTGGCTGTAGAATGGCAGGGCTCTGCTCCCACTGGCCCTTTGCACAAGTCATGGATCTAATCCATTATGCAGAATCATGGAAATTCAACATTGGAATACTTTGTAATATTAATGTTTAAAATTATTCTTATACTATCAGTCCTACCCTCTTGGATGGTCAAAGCAATCGGCTTGCGGGTAAAGTCTGGATGGCTCTTTCCCTCTGGCAGCGTCTCTATAAACTGTGTAATCATCACCCCGGGGACCCTAGATTTTTTCTTGATCCCCACTGCTGGCATCAGAAAACAAAATGTCAGTGACAACAACAGAGTGAAAAACGTGACCACGGTCATCAATGTGTTGTTTTGTTATTGAATCATCACCCTCACGGACCACACTGAAACACATTCTAATACAGGATATATTAGAATGTTTAATGTTACTCTCTGCATCAGTTCATTATTCAGAGCTGTGGCTCTGGTGTAGACGTCTCTCGTGTCACATGTTCAGTACATTTACATTTCAATAACTTCATCTTGTTAACGCTTTCCTTTGGGAGTCCATGCCTAAAATTCAACCTGAGAACAGATATGTAGTGATGCACCTACATATCCACGCACAAAATATCTGTGCGCTCATACACTATATTATTAAACTCATTGCATATCAGGTCTTCATGCCTTCGTGAGCAGTCAGAGGGGGAAAAAGACAGGTGATGACAGCCTCTCTGTTGTGCACTAAGCCTACCTTCTCTACCACTCTCTGCATCGGAATCTGATAAGGCACATGTTAAAGAGCATATACAGCACATGTCAACATGGAATTCACATTTGATGATGTATTAGACTTAAACAATTAAACTTAGTGACAGGAAATCAAATAACAGAGCAGCATTTTGTACAGCACAGGAGAAAACTGTAATACTTTTAGCATTTTAAAAACATTTCTTTTTGTTTTTCCATGTCAGGTGGAAGCAAAGTACACTTGGATATGAGCACTGTATCTTATATAGGCACAAAACATCATATAAATATGGAAATAATCATATTCTGACACTCATGTTCAGATGCGCTGGAGTGTTAAAGGGATAGTTCGGATCTTGAGATGGGGTTGTGTTAAGCCCTGTTTTTCACCAAACACAGTTTGCTGATAAAACTCTCCACAGTATGAACAGTGGTTACAAAACCAGCCACAGCTCAGCCCTGAGCAGAGTGACCGTCCGCTATTGACCAATCAACGGACTGCAGTGTTCACAGCCCCAACAGAGGGGGGACCAAAAATGGGGACAGTACGGAGCAGTTACATTGGTACCTTCCACAACTTTTCAGTGGAAACAGAAAAACAAAGCATACCAAACTAAACTGTACTGTACAGTTCAGTGTACTGTACCACCTGCTCGGTGAAAATGGGGCTTATGGTATTTATCCATAGTCAGTGTATTACAAACAGTCGATGCTGGTCGGCACGTCCCCAGTTTTGAGCATTAGACAGGAATACAGAGACAGAAGCTGAGTAGTTTACTGCTGTGGAAGGATCAGCACAATAAGACAAACTAACTAACTGATCGATGCAGCTGTAAACTGGCAGCTCCTGTGTTGTGCGAGCTAAAATTACAGCTTTTGTCAATTGAATCTGGTGGCCTTGACCACAACATAGATGGGGAGTTGACACCGTTAATGGCTTTCCTGTTGGCAAGGTCTGTCTGCATCAAAGTAAAGTGGTGAAAGTTTTCTCAATATAGCGTACACTTAAACTGATATTTAAGTGATTGCTTTAGGTGGCTAAATACGTTGTCTTGCCAACCCCTCCCCAGCAGTACATTGCTTAGCTTCTGTGGTGGTACTCCTGACTACTTTTTCCAAACTGGGGGCGTACCAACAGACATCTACTGTATGTAATAAACCGACTATAGATAAGTACCTCATATGACATCACTTTAAAAGATTCAAACTATCTCTTTAACCCTGTAAAGTTCATCGGCTGCTCACTGTATAATGTTATGATCAGTCTGCAATGTATGTCTGCCTACTTTATGAGCTGGCCTTTAATAGACTGTGTATATGTACTCTTGTAAAGTCTAAATACGATTGCTAATGGACAGATTGCAGCCTTGAACTTTCAGAATAACGTCAGCCTGATTGGAATTGTATCACAGGGAGAGGAAGATGATGTGTTTGAGAGTGAGATGTGACCTTGATAATATCAAGTAATTAACCATCTGAGGCATCAGACAGGCAGAGAAATAGTCTAACAATGCAAACAGTTCTTAGGTATATTCACCAATTCCTTTAGATTTATGCACAAACAGATCTCCTTGCCAACCTCATTCTATCAGTTCTATAAGACACTGACTCTTGTCAGAATCTGTCAGCGAGATCAAACCGACTGAAACTTAGTTGTCAGCTCTGTATTGCTTATTGATCCTCAGAGGTTGGAGTACAAGAAGAAAAGTAAACAGTTTAGTTGTGCAGACACACAAGCTTGATATTGGATGTTTGTCCTGTAGAAAATGAGATCACATCTAAATGCGTACCTTGACCCGTGGCTGTCCCCTCGGACAGTTTTGACCTTTTAACCATCTTGGGTCCCTTGGATTCCTGGAGGGATTCGGCAAAATTTCTCCACCTGCAACAGATAAAGGAAGAGATTTAAGTACACTGTTTATGGCTCTGTCGATCTATCCAAATAGCAGGTGGTTAAAAGATTTTTTTGCTTTTATTTGAGAATACAACAAATATTTCACAGGTAGCTTTCAAGTGTTACTTTGCTCTAAATTCAATAGTCTTGCTAAAGGAGATGCATTTGTTAAAGGATTCAGATTAGGCGGAGGTCGTCCTGCAGGAGAACCTCAGTTGATAGCAAGAAAACTCCTTTGGCATTGAACAACTTAAGACTTTTGAGGTGTGATTTGATTTGGCCTTGACTAATTCTTTAGTGGATTGTTTTATAGAGAGGAGCACAGTGTTTGGCTGAATTGAGATATTGTGGAGATAATAGAAAAATTGTAAACCTCTTTGAGTAATACCAGGATTTAGTGATGCACTGATTGTGAAACTCTTGGTTGCTAAATATTTGGCGGATAGCCGATCCCGATGGTTTGTTGTAGCTGTTTATTTTGTTTTTGTTGCTATTTATTCCCCCTTCCGTGCCAGTAAAATAAAGAAATCTTTATTATGAAAAAATGCATTTAAAGTCCATCCATCCATCCATTTTCTAACTGCTTATCCTCTTGGGGGTCACAGGGGGCTGGAGCCTATCCCAGCTGACACTGGGTGAGAGGCAGGGTACACCCTGGACAGGTCACCAGACTACCACAGGGCTGACACATAGAGACAGACAACCATTCACACTCACATTCACACCTATGGACAATTTAGAGTCACCAGTTAACCTGCATGTCTTTGGACTGTGGGAGGAAGCCGGAGTACTCACAGAGAACCCACGCTGACACAGGGAGAACATGCAAGCTCCGCACAGAAGGGCTCCCACACCCGGGATCGAACCGGGAACCCTCTTGCTGTGAGGCAACAGTGCTAACCACCACACCAACGTGCATTAACCCCTTATTACCCTACCTTTTGAATAAGCACAAATTCAGGCATACAAATTTGTGAAATAACCTTTAATATGACCTCCTTTCATTTGGGAAAAAATAAATATCATTATTCCCCTTTCTGATATCTATTTCATATCGTAAAAACGTCACCAAATTACCACTTTTTAAACAACTGCATTTATTCAAGTTTCTCGCCAAAAATTAAATTTGATAAAATTACATTTGAAAACATCACAAGAACGATATAATTTACCTTCAAATAGTACTTATTTTTACTGAATAGAAGTCAAACGCATCATAATGTCACTAAGTGCAACCTATGTAAACTTATAGTTCCAGCCACCTGCTGATTACAGCTAAAGGCTAATGTCAACTAGCTCCCCTCTGGCTAGTTTCAACACAGATTCGTGGTTCACGATGAAGCATTATTGGGAAAACAACAGATGCGTTTACTAGTGAATTTACTGCGTCCTTTTTGTCCCGAAGGTGTCCCAATGATCTCTGTTTGTCCCAAACCTGTTTTCTACTGTCCCTATGATGATGGGATGCTGTTAGTTTTGAGCTCTGCTCTTTAGTCTGCACCAAATCGATGTGACACAACAGAAAAACCTCAGCCACTACCATTGGTGAATGTCGTCTTATTTGCTGAAGGACTAATGGCAGTCAACAAGGCGAGTATTAACCAAGACCGATGTTTGGCAGATATGTTGGTGCAATTTGTGTTAGGTTTGTTTTGATTTTGAAGATCACAGTTTCCTGGAGGGGCTGATTATTTGAACAGATTAATTCAAAAGTAAATAAGTGTCAGCCTCTCAAAAAACAGGCACAGAAAAAGTAAAGCCTTTTAGGGCAACAAATTTTAAATGCTTTTTCTTTTTAAAAAGCGCTTTAAAACATGACCTTTGTGAATGATTCCACTCTCAGTATTCAAAACACTGAAAACATGATCATCTGTAGATTTTTGCACTGTGGCTGCTTTCTGTGCACTTAGTGTTATCACATTGTCCCAAAATTAAAATCCCCCTCAAAATTAGGACTGCAGAATAATTTCATCAACCTCATGATGTAATTTCTTACCAGGCTTTAACTTCCATTATTCAAAGGGTTTTTGTTGTCACTTTATGCTGCGGCATCCTGGCGTGATGTTCAAATGATTACATGCTTATCAAAATTACATTTTTTATGATCCGTCAGATCCAGTCGCAGCAGGAATCTCTACCACTACACGGCAATCTTTCATTACCCACATGACTGCTAAACTTAGGTTGACAAATGTCACTTCACCAAAATAGACTGAACATTAATTGTAGTGGAGTCAGTGTTGCCGGGGCGTAAATAGATTTACAGACATGTCACTAAAAATGCATTTATTAAGTTAACATGACAGGGACATTATTGTACTAACCCGCAGAAAACATTTGCCTCTCTCCAGTATCTTTCTGTTGCACTGTGATTTTCTGAATGTATAAAGTGACACAGTCACACCAGGAGCAGTAACATCAGTACTGATTCTAATGAAGATGCTGTCGTCAAGAATTGTTAACTTCAAACTTCGTAACTTTTAAGTGAAGACAAAATGTATTTTCTTCACCAAAGAGAGATCATAATGAATTGCCTCAGTGCACTCTTTCCAGTGCTTTCACTTCATCATCATCTTCACTGTAATTGTGTAATACTCACTGATATGACTTCTGAGGCGATGAAGTGGTGCATTTGTTATGCTGCTCTGTAATTTATCATTGCCAAGGTCTCCAACACTTTAACCCCTTGTGTAACTTATTAAAATGCACACTGATGGTTACAGTTAGCTTGTGGATTTTTTTTCTGTGTTGGTTACCACTTTAGGTTTCAACATTTTGGGAAATATTGGCTTTGCAAATGTTGTAAGAGAAAGGAATGAATCCTACATGTTGGTAGACCTCACAGATACACAGAATACATTTTGTAAACAGAAACTTTGTTGCCTATAAAACTCTTGAGGGCACCTTTAACTGAAATTTGATCTTTGCCTTTTAAGACCCTGATCACACAGAAAGCATTTTGGCAGCTGGAGGAACCTTTTTACAATTGATTTTGATGAAAGTGAAGCTTTTTGCTAGTGGTTTTTGCGTTGCATTGCACCTCATGTTTCAGTGCTCGAGGAGCCTAGCGTTTTTGCAGGAGCGCTCTAAACTCCTGGAGTTGAAAAAACTTCAGCTCAAGGTGGAAAAGCGCTCCATGACATCTCTTTATTTCATCATCTTTTTTCCCATTGTCCAATCGAATGATATGAGAGGCGGTCCTTCTGTGGTGGTCGCAACAACAAGTTTACAGTCTATAGACAATGGAGGAGAAAATGGTGGTAGTGGTTGCTCCATACCCAGAGCTATACGGCCTCAAGATAGACAGCAGGTTGTCAAGCTGCCCCTGAGTCATCCTAAAACATGCCTGGAAATGACCATCATGGAGGCGAAGCTCCTGGACCAACTGGTGGTACTCCCTGTGATCCTCCCTCTTTTTTAGGGTCTCATGTACCCACACAGATCTCTGTTTCCCTGTGCCCAACAAACTATTTGCTGACACCCTCTCACCCTCAACCAGAGCTACAGCAAGTACCCTCTGCCTGAACATTTAAGGAACTAGATACTAAATACTAGTCTCACCACCAGACAGTCAGAGATCTCCACCTTCTGATAGTCTGGGGACACTCCTTTCTAAAGTGTGTTTAACACACCGGAGAAAACGGCCGGCAACAAAGCAACGCCTCTTGCATTTTTGAAAAGGACACGCCCTCCCTATTAGAGCAACCTGGCTGCTGCCTCTTTCCCCAAAGTGGGATGAGATTATATTTAGATGGTCATGTTGATATTGTCAAGACTGTCAGTCATTATAGCAGACCCCCCAAAACCTGGTATTTACCTGAATTTAGCTTCAGTAAATTGCTTGAAATCTCATCTTTCCAACTCTATTGGATGAGTCTCCTCAATCACAGTGCAGGTTCAAATGTGAGATCTGTAATAAAGGTGACTGTGACAAGGGGCGGAGCATTGCCTGGAGTCAGAATATATTTTCTAGTAAAGCTGCGAGAATTTCCTGTTATTCCCTGTACTGTTTGTTTGATCTGTGGTTTATAGCATTGGAGGATTGGAGATGCTCATGTTCCCAAGTATTGATTGTAATCTGCACCCACCACTGGCATCAATACCAAACACAGACATGCATTACACATACATACTCTTTGTAACTGTCTGATTGAAAATTGATTTAAACAATGCCACTGCAGACTAGTATGTCTGCAGAAACATTGATTTGGAAAATATGTTTCCTTAAACTAAACATTGACAATACTGTCTGAACTCTTTGCTCTGAAATCATTACCCTTGCGGCACGACCAGTTAGACTAACAGTCCTGATAATTCTCACCATAGGCTGTATACTCTTTATACCCAGCTGGACCAAACTATGATGTGTCTACTCTGCACATGCACAGCAGAGGTAATGCATGACTGGACTGTGCATTATACATGAGCTGAGTTATCCATCTATGATCTCATTGCAAAGGAGGTTATAAACACAGTACAGCAGCCACCTGAGGTCGTAAAGCTCCTTTTATGTCATGATGAAAAGAACAGACACACACTCTCACTGGCTAATCTGTCAATTATTTCTTTGATTAGTCGACTAATCATTTTATCGAAAAATGTGTTAAAATGTTGAAAAATGTCGGTCTGTCTCTCCCAAACCACAAAATTAAGTCATCTAATGTCTTGTTTCGTACTCACGCCAAAGGGTTTTAGTTAACCGTCATGGGAGAGTGTGTAAAGCTGCCAATATCTGAACGTAAGAAGCTGCAATAAGAGTATTTCGGGGTACTTTTATAGTACTTTTCTATGAAAAATGACCCAAACCGATTAGTCGACTACTAAAATAGTCACCGATTATTTTAATAGTCAATTAGTCATCGATTAGTCGACTAGTCGTTGCAGCCCTAGCTTATAACATTGCTGATATGCTACTGCAGCTTCCTGCCATAAGATCCCAGCAAGTCTTATTTCAGAACTAAATCCTCAATTTATCATCATCTTAATAACAACTGCTACAACAGGGCAATAGAGTGAGTACTTCTCCAAGGTTCAAAATAAATCATCAGAGATGCTATCTGTACAAATATTGAGAGACTAAAGGAAAGGAAGAGATTAATACAGGTAGACTTCTGTAGCCTTCTGCCTCTCTAGAAATGTCATAAAGCGTCCCCATATCTCATCAAAGGTAGAATATTTACCCTTTATTGTAAAGGTAAGTTTGAGGAGAGTGTGACAGTCCAGTAAGCCAGGTTTGTAAACTTGGTCTCATAGTTGATTTCCAGAATGTTGTCTTTTGCTTGCCAAGTGTCATTTTCTTATCTGCCTAGCTTAGTTTACAGTTTACGGGAAAAAATTCCAAGGATACACAGTTTGGGGCGTACCAATCTGGAAATCCATCGGTTAAAAAAAAAAAAAAAAATTCTTCCTTTACCTCTGGAGGCACTGCCTATAGTTTTTCGACTAACGGAAGTGCAGGGGCCCCAAGTGTTACACTCCTACCTGCAACTTGAACCAAACAGCGGTAAAAACGTTGCCACTAATGCCCTTTTTTTCCTGTCATGAGAAGTGGAAGGTGTGCTGGTGGATGCACAATGCTTGTAAGTTGTGCTATTGTCCATGTTTTTCACGCTGATGAGATGGCGTTTTGGGTGGAGCAGTCGCCATGGACGCGGAGCTTGCTGTTTCTGTAGGTACTCATTTCCTGGGGACACCTGCACGTCTCAGCCCCGTCCCTTCCATTGTGATTGGCTAAAGTGCAGCATCCTTCAACCTAAAAGCCCCGCCCTCCCCCTCCTCTGTAGTTGTCTTTCACACAGGGCTGCCGACAGATTCTACAATGTAAATTGCAGAATCTGTCTTAAGAGATTAGGGCGTACGGACAACCTAACACGTATGACAGTTCCTTTTATATTTGAGAGAGGGCAGATGTCTCTACGGCCGATATCTCCAACACTCCACAATCCAGACTGATAAACAGCACTACAGATAAGAGATCAAATATGTATTTTTTGATTTGGGTGTGAACTGTCCCTTTAACATCAACCAAAATAGACCTTCACATCATGTAATTTCAAGAAAGGTTTAAGATAAACTGACGTCCATACAGTGTAAGAAAAATGAACATGAATCAACAATGACACAAGATTTATAATGTTCGACCAAACTGTTGACACTGTTGCCACTGTGTTGATAAAGTAGACATATTGAACTTTAAGTTTGGGCATGTCTGACCTCTCTCGTGTATATGCCAGTAGTACATTATTTGCACAGTTCTAGCACCACCCAGTATAGGCGCGTGATCTTCTTGGGTGTCAACGGTGGCTGTTGGAAGATGAGAGAACTGGATTGTCTGTCATACGATATGTCACATGCCACATAAACTGTATACATCCCATCTGGAACATCTTAATATGCTTGTAAATCACTGTCGACATTATGAGTGTGTCATAATGTGGTGAAACCTGCTAAGTAAGGCGTGTTTGAACGCTGTAGATCACCTCATGCTGGTGTTCTCAGGCAAAATATAATGATTTAATTGATCTTTATTACAGCTCCACTTTTGACATGTCTTAGTAGTAACGTTTTGCCTGGCTTTGTGAGTGCAGCATCTAAATCAGTGTCTTTATAATTTCAAATTGTAAAGTTGTACTGACTAAATATGGTGTCAGAGAAAGTGTTGTGCTTAATAGGCTGTAACTGTATAAAGTATATATAGTAAATATAATGAGCACTTCACTACTGTGACTACTGTACATTCACAATGTGTTGAACTAGTTTTTTTTTTTTTTAAATTGTTGAAAACTTGTTATGTGTCCTAGGCTTCAGACATAATCCAAAGCAAACCGGCTCCTCACTGTGGGAGCTGGTCTTCATGGGTTTCATGTGGCCTGTGTTGCTCACCGCCGTTAACGCCACCAGCTGCTTATATGACCGGCACTGAAACACAGCACGGGACATCGTAAAGCATCATAAAAATGACTAAAAGCAAGAAGGCATGTTCAGAAAGCATGTGGCTATCTATGGAAGTGACGGTGATGTTAAGCATGTGAAGTGGCTGACAGCGGCAGGTTTGCTTCATTTGGGTCATTACCAAGCTCTCTTTTTGCCTCAAGTACAGACAGATTTTATGGTTTGTAATGTATCTTTTTCAGTAAGAGTCAAAAGTAGAGAATTAAGTGAAGAGATGAAGCTGAAACTGTCGTGGTAAATATAAAAATTAAAGCTAGGTGAATAGAAAACAGGATGCTCCTAGAAGCTGCTGAGAAAAAATCCAGCCATGAATTCATCAGAGGACTGTCGTCATTAACTGTTATGTGTTTATTATCTAACACTATAACAGAACATACAGATAGAATTATGAGTATTAATAAATTATTTAGATTAGCCAAAAAAAATTGAGCACACAGACTTCAGCAGCGACTGTAAAGTGTGGAAGAAGCTGTTTTTGCTTTTGGAAGTGTACATTAGCATATATTTACATTTATAAACTCTATTAAATGACTCAGATAACCTTTTGGCTTCTGATTTAAATTTGCACATACTTCATACCTAACACTAATAAAGCATTTTTAAACGCACTCATTTGGGTAAACAGTCGAGCAGGAAACCTGGAAGCCATCCTGCTACACTTTTAAATAAGTTTGATGATGGAAAATGCAGCTCTGTGGTGTTTATAGGCAAACACTCTCCACAGTTTGCCACTTTAACTCAGTGTTATCTTTGGACTTAAGATTGAATCAGCCACAGGATTATTTGTAAAGACTGTAGCCAACACTTAATAGTTAACACCTCCTGTGTGTAAGATGAATGATGAACTTACCTCAGTGCTCCTGTGATCCTCTTGAGTGGTGCTGCTTCCCAGTCTGATATTTGAGTGTTGCCTCCCTGGTCTTTAAGCCATTAAGTCCGTACAGGAATGCCAATGACTCCGCGACAAGCACCCACGTTGTCAGACATGGTGCCTGCCAAGACGGGATTGCTTTTTGGTTTTTGGCATAAATCACAACCTCTAGGAAGGGGGAGGAGGGAGAGCCAAGGTTGGTTTTAAGCCTCACGGTGGGTTGACCGTAACTTTGGCTTCTTCTGACACATGCATGAGCTTCATCAGGAGCGGTCTGAGTGAATGATATACATTTGCGGTCGGAATATTTGAATTTAGCTGAGTTCTGTCATGATATCAATACATAGAAGATCTAATGTTTGCTGTAGTGCTGTAGTGTGAAATTTTACTTTTGAGTTGACTTTGTTTTTGAGCAGTTTGTCCTCCTGATCAGTCCTGAATCTTTTACATGATCATTTACAACTTTTGCAGATTACTTCCTAAACTTTGTGAGGCAAACCTAAGCAAGAGAAACCAGGAAGTCCAGTATAATTTTGTTTTTTCTCTGTCTATCTGTCTTCTTGTCTGTCAGTCAGTGTTGTCGCACTTGGAGTGTGGAGCTGAAAGTAAAAACAAGACCTAAGTGCTGACAGCCGGGTATGCTTCTGCTGACACTCTAATGAAATTACGAGAACAGCAAAACATTATATTCATATTTAGGCGCACTAATGACTCCTTTTGACACAAACTAAAAATACAATGTGTTTATTAGGTGTCTAAGAAGTCTTGCATGCGACTGTAATACATGGATAACAGTGTGAGCTCAGGATCCTTCAACAAGCGTTATCTCAAACTGCATGCCACAGACTTGTCTTTGAAGATGAGCTGTTTTAACATTACAAAATGTCTTGTCGACTTGGAATTAATGTATTTCTTTAATACTTTAAAGTTTAGGACTTTTCTTATACTTTTTGCATACTCCACTGTGTTTGTACAGGCTTTACATTTAAATCCAGAAACATCCAACCTAAGACAATATTGTGTTTGGCAGGGAACAATTCTGTCTTTAAATCAACAACCAAAAAAACAGCGTATTGAATATTCATTCAGTTTGATTTTGTTTTAATTAGTAAGTTCCGACATCTGCCTGACTCTCTTTGTGAGCATTATTTAAGAATATCTCATTTTAATGAGAATACAACAATAAGAAAAGCAGGAGAAAACAATCCTCTCTTAGTTCAGCTGACGGCCAACAGCAATCTGTGAAGTAATTAAGGTTACTTTATTGCAGAGCAACTATAACCTATGCAAATCTAAGCACCAGGTGTATTTGATGCCATTCTTTGTAAGTGTCATTAGGCACAGGGACTTACAGTGCAACTAATTTAAATGTAAATGTGGCTCAGGCAGGTCTCTCATATATTTTCTCAAAGTATTCTATAAAAGACCAGCGTCACTGTTGGCGTTACAGTGTATGGAGAAAAACAGAAAAAAAGAAAAACACATCCCACCACATGCTCAATATCTACAGGTTGTAGGTTCTCTAGTATTTAATTTGGGCTTCATTAACCACATGGCTGCACAGTCTCAACTGTATTAGCCTGATAGATTTGACCAGCTGTGAGATAATTGTTATTTTAATAGGTGGCTGAAATGAAAATAAGGTAACACCAGTCTTGTGTAAAGATGAGGTGATTCTATGGTGGTGGGAAAACATGAACAGAAAGGCAGCTCTTCACTTTTCAGTTGTATATCTGTTTTTTTGATGATATTATGGAGGACATAATTAAATTCAGTTGATTTATCTCTAAGGAGTTGCAGTTGTTATTTGGTAAATGGTAAATGGACCGCACTGGTATAGCGCTTTTCTGGACTTTGGACCACTCAAAGTGCTTTTACACCAGGTCACATTCACCCATTCGCATACTGGTGGACGGGGCCACTGTACATGGTGCCACCTGCTACTCAGTAACCATTCACACACATTCACACTGATGGAACAGCCATCGGGACCAATTTTGGGTTCAGTATCTTGCCCAAGGATACTTCGACATGCAGACTGGAACAGCCGGGGATCAAACCGCTGATCTTCCGAGTAGTGGATGACCTGCTCTACCTCTGAGCCGGAGTCTTTCATTCATATTGTTATTATTACGTCACTGCCACTATCTAGCTGTACTTTGTTTTCCATTTTTTGCGTCACATATACACATTTTCACAGATTAAGCTCTGTGTAATCACCACGAAGCAGCAATCATCATCATTAATTTCCCTCTGTGTAAAAGCCAGTGATACCAGTGTTTCTATAAATCAACACCATTAGTTGACACTTTACACTTAACACACCACACCAAAGATATTTTGACATTGCTGGGTCAGAGCTGCATATCAGTCTTAAAAAAGGAATAAAAAAACAACAACTTAGAGTCAATTCAGGTTTTTATGTCAGTAAATTCTTTATTTGAAATGTCTGGCAGAACCACTTTTCAATAATGGGGCATGTACTGTGTATCTGTGGCCTCACCTTGAGGCTGTTAACTTCCATGTGAGAAGTCATTCAGACTCCTCCTGGAGCCTGTGTTGCTGGCACTTTAAACCGCAGCCTGGTTATTGTGGTGTTTGTAATAACAGAGCTATGCTCAGTTTGAGCACGATTATGTGTGTGCGCGGATATTTCAAGCAGTGTAATAAAAACGGATGCGTGGCCCAGGAACTATGACTGTTCCCAGGCATGGGAAACTGATATGAGGAGCCTGATGTTCCTGAAGGCATTTATTGCACAAGGTCACGGAAGTCAGGAGCTTTGAATGCTACCCTAAAAAACAATGACAAAACAACCTGACATTACACAACACAATGCTATGCAACATGGACAAAGAGTAACCCATTGGTGTGGTGGCAAACTTTATTTATGAACATCTTTTTTAGTAGGAAAATACAATTAATTAACCTGATTACTTATTATAAATTGAACTACGGTAAAGCGTCAATCCAAAGACTGAAAGGGATTTGTCCGATTAAAGGAAACCTCTTATGTACTGTCAACAACAGCCAGTATGTGTAATGTTTTGCTAAGCATGCCATTACAAGGAATTGGGAAATATGAGTGGCATGTGGTTAAAGGCTTTTAAATGCCAAAGCCTAATACAATAAACTCCCTGTTAAGACTCCTGTCTATAATAACAGGATGCCATGGGGCCACTGATAATATTAGTGTGTCCTGGGACTTAACACAGGAAGATGCACAGTGGTTTGCAAGGTTGCACTTTGTCATGCACATTAAATTTCATCATTTATGACTTTCCACAATAGACTGGTATTATCCTCTGAAAATGTTGCAAACACATGCTCGCAGTAAAAGAGAAATTTGAAGCCATGTGACAGTTGGCAAAGCGGAAGGGTGCATGTTAAGTTAGGAAATAGAAAGGCACAATAAATGCCTCACAGTATGACAGAGCTACGTTGTAAACTGAATGTGATCGGTGACGGTTTATAGTCAAATACTGCTTAAAGACAGCCACAAAATCTTGTATACATAATTACTTTATAACTGTTTACAAAATAAAAACCTAGAGTATCTTACACCTATATGAAAGACATTGGAACTTGAAACTAGTGATTTTTTTTTTTGGAGGGCAGGGATTCGGTGTTTCAGAATGATGAATGGTTGGATTGTACCTGAAGCAGCAATAAATTTAAGCAGAGACGATGCCAGTGCCTGAGTCTGTTTATCGACATTTTGGAGCACAGAAAATGTAGCCGGCCATGTCATTGTGTTTCTTTGTTTTTAAGCTGTGCTAGAGGTGTGGCTCTGTGGATGGCAGTGTCAGTCTGTTGGTCCCACACTTTGTTCCAGGCTGAAATATTTCAGCAACTGTTGGATGGATTGCTACCGTGATGCTGACATCTTTGTTTTGCAGTGAAATGTCTCGGCATCAATTCGATGTATTGCCATAAAATATGGTGAAAACACCCAGAGGATAAGCTCTTCTGACCAGACAAGATAAATTCTGACCTTTCTGCCACCATGGCGTTGAGATATGTGGTTCTGAGTGAAATGTCTCTGCAAATTTTCATCCAGCGCTATCATTAGCTCAACATTTTAATTTATATGTACTGTGCAAATTATTTAGACCAATATAATGGCTTTTCCCTTCCCCCTCAGCTGTACTTTGTGGTAAGATGCTAAACTACGATGATGAACCTGCATTACCTTCTAAACATCTGCATGAAGGACATTGTCATTCTGAGTGTTAGCATGATGGCGTTAGTATTTAGCTCCAATCACTGCAGTGCCTATACAGCCTCACAGAGGCACGACAGTGCCCGCAGACTCTTATGATGCTTTCACACTTGCCCTGTTTGGTTAGATTCAATTGAACTCAAGTTTGTTTGCCTCCTAAGTGTGGTTCATTTGGGTAGTTGTGAACATAGCAATCACATTCAGGTGTGCGCCATAACAGTCAGACCGAGGCCTTCTTGAAGAGGTCTCGGTCCAGTTACAAACGAACTATGATGCGGTTCGTCTGTGGTGAAAAGGTGTTCTGACCTCGATCGGAACCAGCTGCAGTCACTTTACATATTGTTTGGGTTAAGCATGAGCATATGACATCAGAAAGTGTCGCATTTATCTTGCAAGTGTACTCTTCTTCAACGTTTTGTTTACTTCCTGGATTTTCCCACATGGAAAGCCAGTCAAAAGCAGCTTTCAATTCAATTCAGTTCAGTTCAGTTCACTTAAATTCAAAGAACTTTATTTTTCCGTTTCTCACTCAGGTATTTGATCTGGTCCTCTTGCCGTGAGAACACGAGTCAACTCTCGTCAATTATACAACTTTGTAACAAAATTAGTCCCTGATTCGGACCAAAGCAAGACAACACAAGGTCTGAAAGCACCCTTTTTCTAAGAATACACAAGATGGCAAACAGAGGACCTACTATGCTCATTTTCAGGTTAATGCTTGTATTTTGAGTTTCTACTAGAACATGTTTACTTGCTTTATCGGTCAAAAAACACTCATTCTGTCTGTCTCTTTAAGCCCACTTCTCGAAAAAGCCCAGTTTGCTCTGATTGGTCACCGTTCCTGGTCTTCCACATCTTGTCATCTCTGCACTGTCATTGCAGCCCAGGCCCTCAAGAACGCAGCTCAACCTTGCTTCCAATTTTTCCCAGTGGCCACTCGAGGTATTGCAGCAAAAAATCCCCTGTGGCCCAAAAAGCATTTTCCCTGTAGACCACCGCTGTAAAAGAGACGTCTATAAAACTGTTGCTCAAACTGCAAACAGCGCCAACTGTGACTATTTATATTATGAATTTTTGATCAATGAAGGTTTGATATTTGTAAAACTTTTTTGGAGCTGAGAAAAGTGGTTTGAAAATCTGGGTTGTTATCACAATGTAAAGTCTATGACCCCAACTCATGGGTGGAGCCAGCAGGAGAAACACTACCGCACATATTCAGTGGGCTGTGTATCCTGAATGTAAACCTGAAAGCTAGAAACGTTTTTGGTGTATGTGAGCAGTTCCATTGAACTGAATAGGCACCAGGCAGCAACCTAGAAAGGCCGAGAAATGAAGCCAATGCGTAAGAGCGAAAAACCACAGTTCTTTGAATGGCCACTTAAGGCTGACTCCAAAACAGAGTTAATCCACAAAGACCTCCATTTTATAATTCTCAACTTTACAGCAGAAAGAAACCTGTTTACAGCCTGGTACAAAAAACTTTTGATTTCCAAAGCTAATTTCAACTGTATAGGGGATATACTCCCCTGTTTATGTTTTATTAAAACTCAAAGTTAAGCATATTTAAGGGCAGCGCTGCTTGATTGACAGGCTGTCTGTGAGGCCTCACCAGAGTCTCTGAGTCAGATCCACCCCTCTCTCCTACACAGCTCCACCCTCTAATCCAAATATGGTCACTTCTGGTTCCAAAAAACGAAGACAGCGATGGCCGAATGCTGAACCCGAGGCTTTCAAACAGCAGTTCACAAACTGATTGCTGACATCACAGTAGTTACATCCATTATTCATACAGTCTACGATAGGCACCAGCTCTGCGTCTGGTATCTAGTTATTAATGTACATCTATATTGCAGCTGGGGAATTACTGTAACAGAGAAAAGCGGCACTTTGTACCATGAAAAATCCCCATTAAAAGCTTCCAAACACCACCGGACATGTTCCAGCAGGAATATAATATAAACCTGGGGAGAAATATACAACATCTGCAACTATGTGTTTCCCTGACTTTAACATGTGACAGTGTAGGCCTGGAGCAGATGAGTGTAAAGAAATCCAGTGCACTATGATGTCATAATGTAGACAGAGTAGAAAAAAGTTTGGAAACTAAGTGTTCAGAGTGTTCTTTATTGTGACACTACATATAACACACAAAATAGAGAAAAGCATTACAAGTTCCCTTTGTAGACAGGCAAGTAGGGCACATCACAGTTGATCAGTAAAGATTTATTTACATTTGGCATTCTGATTACTAATTCAAACACTACATAGACACTCTGACATGCTCAGTTATAGCCATATTGTCATGTCGTCAATTTTCCATGAGGTAGTAACATCACAGAAGCCAGCAGATTTTCTGCAGACAGGAAACTAACTCTAATCACAGCTCAGGGAAAAATAGGTCAATGAATAAACACATTTGGGTGCAAGATTAGCATATAATTACTGTTGATTCTCGGACGTCTCTTGTCAAAATGCTCTTTGCATCCAGTAGATAAATTGAGTAAAATGTGCACTCAAACACAACAAAATCTAGTTTGAATTCATCACATTTGTTATTGTTGCTTTAGAGCATTTGTGGATGACATCAGGAGCTATTCCTTCATTACTCTCTTCTTTCTCATCCTTTATTTTCTTCACAGTTTATTGAAACACATTAATACAATAATTCACAAAAAAGCAGGTTTCAGAAATTGGCACATCCTTTGTTTCCCATTCATTTAAAATGGAGCAGCCATCTCCAGGAGTTTACTGCATCACCCTAGTCTGAAGGAGGAGAGAGGAGAAAACTGTTAAAAAATGTAACCAGAGGAGTAGACTCCAAGATGTAACAAATAAATTTAAATGTATTTTTACCTTTAACAGCAAGTTTAGTTGAACACTCCACTCTGCCCAGAGGGTTCTCTGCAATGACTGTGTAGTCCCCGCTGTCCTTGGGTCCAACTTTGAGTATCACCATGGAGCAGACCCCGCATGTGTTAGTGATGTAGTAGTTAGTGTTGGTGTTGAGGCTGATGCTATTTCTGTACCAGGTAACATGGGGTTTGGGGTTTCCCGTCACCGCACAGCTCATGTAGCACTCATAGCTCTCTGGACTGTTTCGCATTTTTAGTGGAACAGAGAATGAAGGAGGCGACTCAAAGCTGCAGTCTTTAGAGGGAGGAAGGCTCACGGAAAATGTTTCTGAAAGGACGCACGAAAAGAAAAGGGTTAAGGGGTATAAATTAGGGATGGCCAAGTCAGTTCTCAGAAATCGGAATCACGGCCGATCATGGTGTTTTTTAACTGATTGGAATCAAGTTTATTCAGCTATATAGAGGATTGATCCTTTGTTTAATGTTAGCTTTCACACAGGTGTTTTTAATTGTGAAGCTTTAATGCAGAGACATGCAGAGTGCAGCCATCTCCAACTCTCCGCTCTCCTTTTCTACTCCACCCAGCGGAGCTCCCGTGTGTGGGCCTGAGCCCCGCCTGCGGTTACACACAACATGCCATAACTGACAGCAAAATGCAGTATGAGACTGTTTATTATGTTGTTGTTTTTTTACCAAAGTTATGAGTTCTCATTTCATTTCAGCTCAGTGTGAAAGTCTCATGTGTTTATAGACAGACAGCGGTGCAGAACCAACGACATCTGCACTCACCACACCACTACAAAGTGCAACAAAAGCCTCAGGATAAAAAAAGAGTTTCACATTAACGTAGCCTAATGAAAATACAACAACACAGTTTTGTATCACGTTATTTAAACCTGCCTTTTCTTTTCTTCACTTCCCAGACTGCCGACTCTGACGGGTTGGAGACCCCCATGTCATTCTTGGTGTAGACCCGGAACTTATACTGCCGTCCTGGCATGATATTGATGACTGTGAACTTGTTATTGAAGAGATGATCGGCCACAATTTGCCAGGTGCGCTTCACAGAGTCGCGTTTGGTGATCATGTAGTGCAGCCTGTCGTCTTTCTTCTCATCTGGAGAGGGAGTCCAGGAGATCGACACTGTTCCTGACACGTTCTCCTCCAGCTCCACAGGGCCTGGAGGCTTGGGGTCATCTGGAGACAGGTAGGAAAGGATTTTTGAAATGTTGTTATTAGTCTTGCTCTCTTTAAACTTTCCCCACGCATCCCTCAACGCCAAAGTGTACACAAAATATAGCATGCACAAGATTTTGAACATATTGTCAGCAGTGACTTAATATTTTTTGCATTACATTAATAATTAAAAGCTCAAATAATTAATTCTGGAAATATAAGAACCATTTTTGCTTCCTCCAAAAACTACAGCAACTTTTCCAAAAAGATGTTGCATATGATATCACATTGCAAATCCATAAACCTTTGGCATTTTAACTTCTGTTTGTCATGGATACGTTTAAATATTATTTTTTAATGTACCTGTGACTCTTATCTCAACACTCGAGGTCTCCTGACCAACAATGTTCTTGACAATGATTGTGTAGATCCCCGTGTCTTGGCGTTCTGCTGAGGGGATCATTATCTGCGACGATGTGTCTGTGTTGCTCATTGTTACATGCTTGCCGACAGGAAGTCCGTCCTTTAGCCAGCTGATAGTTGGTATTGGAGAGGCCTGTCAACAGCAGCAGATACTGGGCTGAGATGTGGGTTTATACTTTTTTGTAGAGCAGCAACTTTAAACAGGACATTGAATAAAACTTAGCGTTTTTGTGTTCCTAAGTATTTGTATGAATACTATATCAAACCTCAAAGTTGAAGGTGACTCGAGCAGCGTTCCCAGCTTTCATCACCACAAAGTTCTTCATTTTTTTGTCAGTGAAGTGAGGCCTCACTGTGACAATGTGGGGAGAAATTGAACAGATTAAATTTAGGTTAGATGTCAAATGACTGTAGTCAGTTCATAATTCCCGGTGACTCACCTGGAGGAGGCATTGCAATGATGTAGTTGGGCAACTCTTGAGGCTCACCGTCTCCACCCTCATTGGTTGCTACAACTCTTACCCAGTACATGGCCATGGACTTCAGACCCATGATGGTATAAGAGTTCATAATGATAGCATTGGAGTTACAGCGACCCCATTCTGGGTTTTCTGCTGGTCTGAGCTCCACAAAGTAGCCTTTGGCCTCATCTTGGACCCCTTCCTCCTCTGTGGGTTTGTTCCAGCCCAGTGATAAGGTTGTGTATGTGGAGTCGGTCACCTTCAGGTCGATAACTTTACCAGGAGGCTCTGAAAGTGTAAGCATTAAAGCACTGACATATAAGCAGCTGATCACTGAGAGAAAAAAGTGATGCCTTCACACTTACTCCATGGTACAAAGGTTTAATCATCGTTATTTCTATCCTCTTCAGATCTTTGTTAAGTCAAAAGGATTATTTTGAGGATCCAAGTAGGATTGAAACGTTGGGGTAACACTCTGAAAACTGTAGCAACATGACTCCAGACACCTTTCACAAGTATTCTTTAATACTGAGCAAATTGGGTTGATTTCATTAAGAAAAAAGGACTCAGCAATTTGGCATAAAATGTCCTGCAAATAAAAGAAATGTTAGAAAATTAGCTGAGAGAAAGGGAGCATTATTAGAAATGTATATTTAAAAAAAAAACAAGGGGAGAATGCCCAGAAAATTCTATGTATAATGTTAAAATTATATATTTATAATTATACATTTAAAATTGGGTGGCATAAAAAAAAACACTGTATGCTTATGTAATTATTTTCATTTTTTTAGCCCATTTTTTCAGGTGATTTCCCGTTTTTTTGTTTTGTTTTTGTTTAACTTTTATTTTTTTCATCCAAATTTTCACTTTTTTTTTAATTTATTTATTTTTTTTACTTTTTTTTTTACTTTTTACTGATATCCTGCTTATGTTTGGGTCATTTCTTTTTTCCTATTTCCATGTTTACCTCAGGTTTCAAAGGGTCAATTAAGCCCTACAGATTACTTCCATTCTTGTGTTTCTTTGCAGTGTATCCCAGAAAGATTGTCTCCAGTCAAAATGATGCTTTTGACTCTAAGAAGACCCCAGTAGAATTGAAATGTCTTGATTAAACTTTGTGGCATGGAGTAGGTGTGCAGGTGCTGCTTTTTTCCTCATGTTCACTGTTTTTTTGATAGCGTTGCACCTACAAACATCAATCATTAAGATCAGAACAGTATAGCCTTTATTGGCTTATTACTCACTCTTTGGATCTCTTGCAAACACAAATTCAGAAGGCGCACTCGGCTCTCCGGCACCAGAAATGTTGATGGCTGATACACGGAACTCATACTCAAGGCCTTCAACAACATCCTTCACTGCGTACTTTTTCTCTGTTGGCATTTAAAAATATATAGTTAAGACTTAAACTGTAGGAAATAATCTTTAGTTTTGCACATTTCTGTATTCAAACTGTAAACAACGCTGTACCTCTGATGGGCTCCTCGGGTGGATTTACTAAGCCCCACAGATTACTGCCATTCTTGCGCTTCTCCACATTGTATCCCAGAATGTTGGTTCCTCCGGTGTTAGTGGGTGCAGACCAGGCAAGATTGATGCAGTCTTTGAAAGCACTGACAATTTTTGGTGTAGAAGGAGGTCCAGGGTATGCTGAGAGATGGATAACATTTTAGAAAGAGGCTAACACAAAAAGCCTTTTGTATTTGGGACACTGTCAGTAAGTGTTGCTGTGCTTGTAGGAAAGCTTACCCTTTGTCCCTGCCTGAATGTCATCAGTCTCCATCATTTCACTGATGCCTTGCTCAGTCTCCGCCCTGATGTGGTAGCAGTACTTTCTTCCATGATCCACGTCGGTATCCTTGTATTTTGGCTCGGGGCCAATCTTGCCCAGTTTCTTCCAGCTGTTTCGGCCAATTTGCTGGCGCTCCAGGATGTAGTCTGTGATTGGGGCACCGCCATTGTCTTTGGGAGGCCTCCATTTGAAGTCAATGCAATTTGCAGAACTTTCAATGATATCCACAGGGCCTAAGGGTGGTGTTGGTTTATCTGCAGTAAGAAAAAAGAACAAACACTCATATCCATGTCTTATAATATTTATATAAAATTTGTACAAATTAAGAACATACAGTTCTCAACATGCAGCGCGACCTTACCCAACACAAGGAGCTGTGAGATGGCCTCAGTTGTTCCACATTCATTCTTAATCTTTATCTTAATTTCCCCTGATATTTTGCGATGGCACTTTGTTAGCACTAGGCGGGTGTGTGAGGAGGACTTCTCGATTTTGGTGTGGGTGTCTTCCAACAGCTCCTCGCCCTCGCTGTACCACTGGATCTTCATGGGCTCCCGGCCAATGAAAGACAGCTCGAAGGCTGCCCCTTTCCCAGTTTTGATTACAACAGGTTTTTTGAACTCTTCGAGGTCCTCAGATTTAATTCTTGGAGGATCTAGTAGAAAAAGCACACAGCTTTTCAAACTGAGACTTTTATTGCTGAGCTGTGAAGAAAAATGTTTTACACACATTCTCACAGTGGCTGCCCTTTTGTTCAGCTTTAGTTGGAGTACCTCAACTTGAGTACAGTACCTTCAACACTTAGCGCAGCTTCTGTTTTACGGCCATCAGCTTCACATTTGTACTTTCCAGCATCCTCTTCTTTGCAGTTTTTGATGATCAGTTTGCGATAAGTCCCATCTTTAACAATGCAGATATCCTCTGTAGCTGTTATCTGAAATGCACACACACGTTACCACTTTTAAATCTCAGAGGGTTAAAGATGAAAGCTATTCCTGTATCAGCTCTTCCTCACCTCTATCCCATCTTTGTACCACACTCCATCACACTCCTCACTGCTCAGCCTGCAGACCAGTTCTGCATCAGTACCAATGATTGCAGCTACATCTGACAGTCCGCTGGTGAAGTACACTCCTGGGTCTAAATGGAAATACAAACTCATTGTTAACTGGGAACAAGAAGAGATGAACAATATAGCAGTGCTTAGAATTGAATGACTGTGTTCTTGCGCGTACCAATGACTGTTTCAGGGACAAGTGGGCCTGCTCTCACTCTCTTTCTTTTCTCTTGAGCAGGCGCTTCTCCTTCAGCATCAGCAACTTCAGTAGGGGCCTCTCCCTCCTGCTTGGGTTCTGATGTTGCAGGCTCAGCTGACTTTTCCTCAGCCCCTTCCTCAGCCTCTTCCTCAGCCTCTTCCTCAGCCTCTTCCTCATACTCTTCCTCATACTCTTCTTCATCCTCTTCATCGCCTTCTCCCTCAGCGGCGGTTGTTTCTTCACCTTCTACACCTTCTGCCCCTTCTCCACCTTTTGCCTTTGCCTTTGCCTTTACCTTGGCCTTTGTCTTTGTCTTTGTCTTCGTCTTTTCATCTCCCTCATCTCCCTTTTCCTTTGGTTTCACCTTAGCTTTAGCTTTAGCTTTAGCCTTAGCTTCAGCTCTGGCTTTGGCTTTAGCTTCTGCTTCTGCCTTTGCTTTAGCTTCGGCTTCTGCTTTCTCAGCTGCAGCGGCAGCGGCAGCTGCAGCAGCAACTTCTGCCTCTGCCTTTGCCTTTGCAATCAATTCTTCTCTCTCCTTTTGTACCTTAGCATTTTGCTCCTGAGCAATCTTCAAAAGTTCAGCTCCACCACCACCTGCTCTGGTTGTTTTGCGAGCTTTCTTCTTTCCATGTGAGTTTGGGTCATTGTCAACTAACAAAAAGATACACAGTACCAGGACATTTTTAATGCTTTATGAGACATTTGCTGTGTTTGATCAACTTTTTTGAACAGTAAGCGCTTTGGGGTTGCATTTTTGATGTATGAAAGGCGCTATATAAATAAAGTTTGATTGATTGAGTAATAAAAAAATATATCGACGGTACCTTCCACTATAAGCCAGGCACTGCAGGAGACAAGTCCAGTCACAGCCGCATAGATTCCTTTGTCCAATGGCATGCAGTCCTTCACCACCAGTGTGTGAATCAGCATATCCTCTGACACAAGGATGTCGTATTTGTCCCCCTGCTCCAGTTGGACATTCTTTCCCATCCAATTAATCTTTTTCAGGGGCTGTGAGACGACACACTCAAACACAGCGTCCTCTCTTTCCTCCGCTTTCACATCTTGAATCTTGACCAAGAAGTCCACTGGGGGAGCTAGACAAAGCCAAAATTATTGTTAGCATAACATGGTATCTGTTATAGGACAACTCCTAGCAAGCATTCTCAGCTCTTTTTGACTGTTGTGATGGCATGTAGATAATCAATTTGGTGCATTGTCTTACGTTTGAAGTCTGTTGAGAAGATCTTAACTCCATCAACCTCCACCTGGTATAATCCTGCATCATCCGGCTCAACACCATTGATGCTAAACACAAACTTCTTTCCCACTTGCCTCAGTCCATGTTTTACCTCTGTCTCCGCATCAAAAGGAATCATAACTCCATCCTAAGTAAACAAACAGTCGGAGCATTATGTACCGTGCATGTGAATGTGTTGCAGAATATCAAGGCTTTTGTTTAATTTATCAACCACTGAGTAAACAAGTAAATATTTAAAATGGAATAGCTCACCTTGAATAAGAAGATTTTGCTGCTGGGGTCTTTCAGTGACATTTCAAGTTCAAACTCTGCATCTCCACTGTCTTTCAGTTCAATGGGCTTTAGGTTGCATAGCCTTTCAACAACCTGTAGTAATAAGAAGTAAGGGGAAAAAGAGAGTTTGTACAGTGTGCATTCATTCACACAATGATGATTGCTGTGTCGGTTTAGATTATATATGTATATATAATTATAATATAATTTTCGTAACCAGCTAGAAGTCTCATTGAGAATTAAAATTTGAATTCAAGCTGAAACATACCCTTTCTTGCTCTTGCTGCCTTTCGAACTTCTTCGCGTTTAGTTTCGTGAGCATCCCACGAAAATCAGTGACACCGTACTGACTGCAGATGCTCTCATAATCTTTCTTGTCTGCACTCATCAACAGTTCCCAAAAGCTATCATCAATTTCACGTTTCTTCTCTTCTTTTGCCTCCATGTCAACCCTATAAAAAGAAGGAAAAGAACGATTAAGCAGTGTAAGGTGATAATCATACATGGCTAGGAAAAACAACAAAAACAAAAAACACAGTCATTTACATTTGCCTATTTGTAAATGTAATACTTACTTATTTTTTAAGGCCTTTTTAAAGTCCTCAGGCACCTCTCGGATGGCTACAACAAAACGAGCAGCATGTTTAAAATTTTTATTCAGTGGCTGACCCTTCTTTATTATAGATTAAACTTAGGCTGTGTACCTGTTCTTGATTCTTGCATGGCTCTGCTCTTCTTATAGCCAACTGAAATGGAAGAAAAGGAAGTGAAGTGAGACTGATGTAATTAATCTTAACAATTGGTTTATATTTGATGTGTAATGGAATAGAAGAGTAAGAGTAACTGACCCTCAATAACATTCAGTGTAGCAGTTACAACCGCTTTTCCATATTCATTTCTGGCATAACACTTGTAGGTATCGGCTTGATCCGCTGTTACATCAGGCATCTGTCAATCAATAAATGATCATCAGTGTTTTTGGAAAATCCCGATGGATGACCTGTCGAACATTCTGATTGATGAATTGATCCATCAGCCTTCATTATTATGTTATTGCAGGTGTGAAACTATTTTTAACAGGGTTCCTGCATAAGTCTTAAAAGACATTGTATTCATTAAAAAGGGCCTTAATTGTTATTTAAAAATCTTAATTCAATCTTTCAAAAGTCTTAAAAAGATACTAAGACATGGGAAATACAATTTGATTAATCTTTTTCATCTAACATTGTATTGTAAAAATCTTAAATCTTATATCTATTTTCAAAATAATTACCGTATATTTCCAAATAGCCGCCGGGCACCTAATAGCCGCCAGGGGTTTGACCGCATTTTGCGTATTAAACGCCGGCCCGGTTAAACACCTGGGCGATTATTTCCTCATTCATTGCCTCATGGCTGTCCCTCCATGAGGGATTGTTGTTGTAGCCCACTCTTATAAGACCCAATAATAATAATAATAATAATAATAATAATAATAATAATGATAATAATGATAAGTTACTGTGGACCTATATGCCATGCCTTTTAATAAAATTACCAGAAGAGTTCGTTGAAAAACAGGTAAAGTCAGCCTGAATTACTCACTTGCGTCCCCGGTGAAAATCGCTGACATGCATGGGGAATACAGCTTCTACAGGCTCACCATAGCTTACTGTCAGGACTCAGGGACCAGAATTAGGGATGGCGGACAATCGGAATGGCGATATTTTGGTGTGGCGGCCTGTAACTGTTGGTTAAATGGCCCATTCGGTTGGTATTCGGATAACTGGGGCTTTACTGGTATAATGCAAAAGCACCACCCAGCAGTGAAACCCGTGTACACGAAAAAAATGACCCACTCTAAACGTTTAGAGATTTTTGTACATGAACTCACCCCTACATTATACAGTATGTATTTTTGCACTAAAAACATACTGGACAGGAACTGTAATCAAATAACGGCCTGGTGCAGGCCGGTGGAAAAAAAAAAAAAAAAAAAAAGCCTTGAGCAAATAGCTGCCTGGTTCTTTTAAACGCCTTGGGTCAAAATCTATTTTGTGAAATAAACGCCCAGGCTACTATTTGGAAAAATATGGTAGATTTTATTTAATTTGTGTTCCACTCCAGAAAGTGACATTTTTAAAGGGCATTGTATTAATTTAAAAAAAAAGGGCCTTAATTGTTAATTAAAAATCTTAATTCAATCTTTCAAAAGTCTTAAAAATGTTCAGACATGGGAAGTATTATTTTATTTATTATTGTTTTTCTCTGACTTTGCATAGTAAAAATCTTAAAATGATTTCTGTCTATTTTCAAAATAATTTAATTTTATTTAATTTGTGTTCCCCAATGTGTTGTGACATTGGTGAATAAATATTTTTTCTCTGACATTGTATGTTTGTTTATGTTTGTATTTTTTCCCTCAATTTTGATTACTGTAAATATGGTCTTAAATAATTTCCTAATTGGCATTAAAAAAAGTCTAATTTCCCTTAATCTGTAAGAACCCTGTTAAAAATGTATTAATAAATTACATTGGATTGGATTGGTGCAAAGACCCTCATACTTGCTGATACCTTGTCCAGTATTTTTGGCAGTATCATATGTATATCCCATATTGGTATTGGTATCAGATCAACTGTAAAGCATTTTCTGTGACACATGGTCAGTGATCTTACCTGTAGCTGGTGTTCGCCAGAATTTTTATCTTGGACGATTTTGTACCTTTCTTCATCAATTTCCCCGTTATTTCTCACCCAGGACACAGTTGGTGTTGGATTACCAGTAATTACCGCTCTGAAGATCACCTGTTTCCCTAAAAAAAAAATGGCAGCAAGAATGTACCGTTTTGTAACTATGTTAGAAAATCAAAAATGTATGTGTGATTAAAGGTGGTGTTTTACCTTCTTGAATAGTTATAGCGATGGGTTTCCGAGTGAAATCTGGGGTGGTCATGCCTTGCGGTAGTTCTTCCACATACTGGGTGATCATGACTCCAGGCACCTTTGACCTCTTTCTAATTTTAACTGTCATTAAATGAGATCAGTTGCATTATTGACACTTTTATGAACCTTTGACAGCTCCGATATAATTCAAGTACATATGATATCATCAGAAAAAGCTGTATGTATTTAGTTTTAAGCACACACTATTGTCTGGCAGTAATTTGCAGTTGAAGACAAGCATTCAGACTCTAATTACTCACCCTGCCCTGGAGCAGTTGGCTCCTCATCCTTCGCTTTACGAATTTTAAACATCTTGATTCAGACAACAGCTTCCCTGTTAATCCAAAGACATTACAATGTACTTTTAAAACACTTGACACTTAATAAGGCGACACTGTTTACTTCACTGGTATACCATTTTAATTTGTCTACACTTTGAGCATTTCTTGGATTGTGTAATTGGGTTTTTCCCCCATGTCAGCGTCGAACATACCCAAAAATTCCAATGTAGTCTGGAGCTGTAAGCATGACCTGACCACTCTTAGTAACCATGAGAGTCCCCATCTGTCTGACATGCAGTTAATCTCATCCAGATGGTCTGAATCTGTAATGAATATCACTTATCATTGTTTTAACTAGTGGCTGAAGGCAGTGTGCCCGCTTTTACAACACGACGCTGATGCATTTTCAAGTAAAACACATCCTTTGAGAGACACTTAAGATGCAATAAGACACAATTTATTGCTCCCTCTAATAAAAAGGGCTACATATTGTGGCATTATGTGGCGTCAGTGTTAAACCTTGACGTTAAGACCTATATCCCAGTTGGTGTCAGGACACCTGGGTTTGTAACTCTATCTGTGCTATAATTGAAAGGATTCCTGCGATCACGAAATACTTAACATTCCCTTTGTAGATTCCTGTGAATGACTGGCCTAATTTTGCAGGCAGTAGGTCACATACCCCATAAAACATCCATCATGACTCAGAAAGCGGGGTACGTGGCCGACTGCGAATATAACAGTCGTATTTACCGTCTTTGTATTTAGGTTTTGCTTTCTTTTTAGCCTTAAATTATCTTAAGAAATAGGTGAAAAGATAAAAAGAGAATATAGAAAAGGTACCACCATAGGAAAAGGTTAACATTTGTGTGGTTAAAAATAGCCTCTTTTCCCTTTTTTTCTGTAGTTACACCATTAAATAAAGTTTTTCTGAAACTATTAAATGGTCATTTTGAACATCAGGTATTACCTTAATTACTTTAATCAATTCATAATTATGCAAAAGTGTATAATTAGTCAGGTTCCATGCTCCAGACGCTGTAGCCAATATTGCTTTATTGTAGGAGCAAGCTTCATTCACAGCTTTTCAGGATAATGTCAGATACTCTAGAAGCATTTTACAAGTATAGAAATGTATTAAAAATATACATATAAAATAATAATAATAATAATAATAATAATAATAATAATAATAATAATGATAATAATAAGTTCCTTTATGCTCAATAAAATAAGTCATATTATCGCAACATATTTCATCTCAAAGACTGAAAGGGCCACATTAGCAGAGATATATGTAAGATATAGCATTGTGTGTTTAAGACTGACAAATGGCTTCATTCAGAAAAGCATTTACACCCTAATTTATTCTAATTAAGATTACATTTGAATTAGAATACATATCATATGGTAAATATCACCTCTTTATATATGACGTAAATTAAACCTCTTATTGTATCTCACAGGCTCAAGTGCAAACTAATGTAAGCACTCCGTCTTCCCCATACTTCTGTTAGTCCTCTATTTTTATGATCTCATTAGTCTAATGACAGAAGCCTTTTGGTCTTGGATTACATTTGATAGCCACTTAAACTTATTATTATTAAATTTAATTAAAATAAATTATGCCAAGCTCTGTCAGTTGATGAAGTGTCTGCATATTTAGCAGTTTTTCCCACCCGGTGCACCGCTGCGAAACTATATTCGTCTGAGAGAGAAAATAGCTTTGCAAAGGGTGTGAACTGATTCATGAAACACTTGTCAGGTCTGTGTCCTAAGTCTCAGAGCAGTGTGTGTTTATAGCAGAGCATATACTTTTAGTGTGTCATTTCTTTTGGGATAAAACACTAAATTAAATATCGCATTAAAGCTTGGCAACATATTGTATCCCTTGTGCTAAACCCTGAGAGGCAAGGTGGTTTTTACTTTTTATTACCCTTATTTGCAGGAGGGAAGTGCAGCAGGGATTTAACTGTGAATACACAAATACTACGTTGGTATGGAAAGTGTATAGTTTCTATAGTTTGACTAGTGCTACTCTCTTGCTCCTGCGCAATCATAAGTAAAAAAAAAGAGTTGATATTTTTCAACATTTTTTGGATTTTATCATTTCTCATCAAAAAACATGTTTGTCTAAAAACATGTTTCATTACTATACATTAGTGCAGCTAATCCCATTGGTTCTTACCATTTATGTGCAAGGTTAGTAAATGGTAATATGCAAATTAGTGTCAGATTAGCACATATTTAAATAAATTAGCTCACAGATTTTAATAGTATATGCAATAATATAAGGAAATTTCCCAGTAGTTGATAAATGTACTTACTATCTTCACTCAAGTGAACTGCTGTTCTCTGTTGCCGGCCAGGTTCCAGCTGATTCTTGAGTGTGGGCTCTTCGTTTTGAGAGGCAATGCAGTCTTTCAGTGACACTCAAAGCAACCAAGCCCACTGCTTTTTCACTGAGGCTCCTGGGGATAGGTTTACTGACTTGCACTTTGGCCCCTCAAGTGCTATAGGTTCTTCAAAAGGGGCCACCAGAGGAAACGCGGCAGTAAAGCTTTCTAATCCCTCCCTCAAAACTGGAATTTCAGCAGCAGGGTGCTTTTGGCTGCTCTTATTAAAAAGGGAAGTCTCATGAGAAGTGACATAGAAGTGCCATGGGCTGAGCTGCCTCTCCATTAGTTTAATTTGCACATGTAGGCTGCCTGATTTCATCCCAGCATTTAACGAGGTAAGTGTCGATTAATTAATTGTGTTCTAGAAATGTTTAGAAGACAAGTTTAGAAATGCCTGATTTAATGAATCATAATTTAATGCTAAAGTTTACCCCTAAAATCAGGCAATATGCATGAATGTTCAATGTATTTACTCACTGATACAACTGGGGACATACGAAAGCAAACAAAACAAGCTAAACCTCATTCCAATACCAGTGGGCCACAGTTATTATTTAATGCCTTGTTAGACTAAAGCAGAACAGAGCTACAGTTACATAGTAGTATAAATTTTAGCATTGTAATGAGCATGTCACACTGAAACTGAGAGGTGTCATCCTGCACTGCTCAGACAAGTTTTAGCCCAGGGTGCAACAGTTGACCCTCTCTTCTTCAGTGGCTCTAAACTTGGACTAATGTCTGACCTTACAAAAAATACGCTCAGAGAGGTAACACAAGAAGACTGGGCATAAATTATTCACATAAACCTTCATGAAGGTGAACAAGTGGTATGAATTTTGATACTTGCCAGCCATGTCAAGGCTTGACCCATGGCCACAATATATGCCCACATCTATCAATCAGACAGGTATATACATTTTTGGTTTTTAATATTTCTACATTGAAATGTATTATTTGTTAAGCGTGAATGTTTTTCACAGCGACACACAGGTCAGATTAAAAATTCCACATCACAATAGCAGTATGAAATATTTATTTACACTAAACCCACACATATTCTTTTTGTGTAACAGTCAGTATCATATACAGTACATTTTTCATGTCAGTATTTTTTGCCATCTTGATTTTATTGCAGGGGGAAGACTGTAAATCCACAGTTACGGAAACACAACAATCGCAACCAAACAATCACCATTCATCTAAAAATAATTGAAAAACACAGATTGTTCCATTGGCTTTAGTCTAATCTTGACATAGCACTTTTAAAATCAGCAAATCACTGCAACAAAGTGTCTTGTACTGTAAATACTTTTCCTGTTTAACATGTGCTTTACCTCTGTTAAAATACGCCATATTGCACACTAGTATTTCAAGTGTCTGTTTTATTGAGATTGCACAACTGAAATCAGAGCAAACAAAACATGTTTGTGGCTTTCTTGCAAAATTTCTAGGTCTAAGACTTTATTGTGAGTTTAGTTAACAATCTATAACAATCAATCTATTGTTCTACATTTGACAGGGTTTGCTTAACTCTAAAATTACCAGCAACTTGGTTTCTCTAAGCATTTTAGAACAATTCTACCATCTTCAGTGTCTTCATTTATTCTGTGGGAAAGGAAGACAAAGGCAGTTGTTAGTTTCAGGTTTTGAAGATCGTCACATTAGTGTAGAACTTCTTTGAACTAGCTAAAGATTTACCTCTCACTGTCAGTTTGGTGGCACACTCTGCCCTCCCCAGCAAGTTTTCTGCAACAATCTTGTACTCCCCGGTGTCATTAGGTCCAACCCTCAATATGAGCAGAGAACAGACTCCACAGGTGTTGGAGATGAAGTAGTTAGTGTTGGTATTCAGACTGACGTTGTCGCGGAGCCACGTCACATGAGGTGTTGGGTCCCCTTTTATGGCACAGCTCATGTAGCATTCGTAGCCCTCAGGAGCGGTGTGCATTTTTAGTGGGACTAAGAACCTGGGAGGACACTGCAGATTACACGTCTTCCTTTCCGGCATGTTCAGAATGAACTTTTCTGGAAGAAAGTAGATTAGGCGTTGCATCAGATTGGAATTTAAAACATCCAACAGGAGGACATGATTCAACATTGAGCTTAGCGTGGTGCTACAGGTACAGTAGGATTGTTGATTTACAGGTACAATACATGCTGGCCCTGCTTATATAGTACAGTTCTTTACACTGATACAGCAAAGCAACGTGGTATTAATATTGTGTTCCAGTGCTAATAAAGTGCCATCTAAATGCTTTGCAGTATCAAAATTCTATGGATAGCGATTAAAAAGACTTCTCAAAGATACATGGTGTGATGATTGGATCAAATCAAGCCAACATATCATCCAGATTGACTGGCTGGATATCAACAGAATATCGTCATAAAGTCTTGACAGAAAAGAAATATTAAAGGGCAAAACAAAGACTGATCTTAGACTGATGGTGAGGCTTAAATCAGGGATGTCAAACATACTGCCTGAACCTGCCAAAGGGTCCAGTCAGGCCCACTGGATAACTTTGCACAACTAATAGTGATGCATTTGTGAAGACTTAAGATGTGTCCGGTTTTAGGAGCAAGTTAAACAGTGGGTAGCTTTTTTCATGTAACATGCTGCCTCAGAGGTTTTCCCACTTTTACCAGAATGCAGTTCCTGTGGTGATATTTTATAGATATTTAACATTGTGTAAAATATTGTCAATCAGCAGCTTCAGTACAGAAGAATCAGTATCAGATTTCTCTCTTAAAACAGTATTAGTGGAACCCTATTGCGAAGACACTTTTGATTTGCAAATGGTCTGTAAGGCAGGGGAAGACTTAACCTGCTTCCGTAATAGCTTCAACTTCAGTTTGGTGTGGTGATGTTAGGATTACTGCACAGGAGTGGGAATGTATAGAAAAATGCACATGTAATGACAGTGACATCACAGGCTGTTTGTCATCTCTTTTGTAAACTGATGAGCATTTTTAAAATGCACTTCATTAAACTAAAATAAAGGAAATACATTTGGAGGCATTTGTTATTTAAAGGATATTATGCAAGGGTTTTACCATCCGGCCCACCTTCGATCAAATCGGACTGTATGTGGCCCATGAACTAAAATGAGTTTTACATCCCTGGCTGAAATGATTGTTGTATTTGTCTGAAAATGTGAACCTGCAAAGTACATGTGTGGCCCAATGGCAGCCGTTTTTTTCAAATTAATGAATATAGTAAATAGAATTGTGTAACCTTTAAACATTGTTATGAAAGATGCACGAGGATAGAGAGTACGCAGACGGTTCAACTACTCGTAGCTTTAGTGCTTTGCAGAGGCAACTCAAGAGGTAGAGGAAAGAGGAACTGCATTTGCTTAAAGTAATGTTTTACCTCCCCAAAATGTTCATTTGTATATCAGTTTGTGAGGAAAATGTTTTTCTCTCATGCCTCCGGTGAGCAAAGAATCCAAAAACAGAAAAAATTGAATCGCAAAGAACTGCAAAACTATATCAAAACATCTGTTTACAAACTCTCACGCAACTCATGCAGTCCAAGTCTCATTTATCCAGGCGTATACTCAGTACAATTTAGACAGACAGCCCTTTTATATGTGGAACTGAACTCAAAGTGAAACTTATCTATGCTCTCCTCAATGCCAGACTCCATTGTAATATATATAATATATAATACTATAATTTTACCTCAGTGGTCATGGGAGTTGCTGGTCTACCACTGCCTTGATTACTTAGTTTGTGTTATTGTGTGACTTTGGTGTTTTGAAGGGTTAGTTCAGATTTAGCAAAGTCCCACAATACCAGAAACAAACTAACTGATCAAGGCAGCGCCCGTGTTCAGCCAGGTAAAATTACTGTTTTTGTTAACGGAATCTGGCTTTGAAGATAGCATAGATAAGTCTCAACTTTGGTTGTAAATACTAAGGTTTTAGCAAAAATGCATGTGTTTGAGAAGTTGTAAGCATTCGACTGGATAAACAAGGTTTGGATTATGCTGAGTGAGCTGTGTGAGAGTTTGTAAATGGATGTTTTGATATAGTTTTGCTGTTGTTAAACGTGGACCCCTTTCACTTCAATTCATCAAGAATTCTTTGTTCACTGAAGGCATTTTGGAAAAACAAATTCACCGTAACACAGGGTGAGTAATTTATAAATAATTATCATTTGGGGGGGTGAAGTATTCCTATAAGTCTATGTCTTGTTAGAAAATGCAGTGTTTCTCCAAATTTGTCCAGGATTCACATACCTTTCTTGTGGGATATCAGCCACTTTGGTGATTCAGAAGGTTTGGAGCAGCCCATATCATTCTTCGCGAAGACTCTGAACTGGTATTCCCGGCCTGGCATTATGTTGCAGACTGTGAATCTATTGTTGAAGATGTGATCTCCAACGGTGTTCCATGTTCTTTTACTTGAATCACGCTTCATTACCATGTAATGCAGCCTGTCGTCACGTTTCTCATCTGGAGATGGGGTCCATGAAATGGTCACTGTGCCAGGCACGTTTTCGTCAGTTTCCACAGGACCTGGCGGCTTCGGCTCATCTGGAGTTAAGATACAAAAGTTTTCTGTCTGTTTACAGCGTATGGAAATAGAAGGAATTATTTGGACTGTAAAAAGGTACAGTATAACACCAAACTCACCTGTGACTCTAATTTCAACGCTGAATGAGTCTTGGCCGACAATGTTCTTGACAGTGATGGTATAGATTCCAGTATCTGAGCGCTCAGAGGAAGCAATCAGAAGCTGGGATGTTCCCTCTGCGTTGCTGATGGTCACCTTTTTAGGCACTGGCACTCCATCTTTCAGCCAGGTGACCTCAGGCCAAGGGGAGGCCTAAGAAAAACACAGTACAATTTTGTCAGAGTTGTCAGAAGATGACATGAGATCACTGTGCCTTGTCATGGAGATAAGTCATCTTCATTTTAAATTACCTCAAAGTTAATGTTGAATCGTGCAGAATTTCCTGCTTGCACCACCATGAAACTCTTTATTTTGGCATCCGTGAATCTTGGTCGCACTGGGTGAAAAGTAGAATGAAAGCTGGTCATTATTTGTCAGAAATGTTTGTGTTAACAATTGCTGAGGAACCAGTTTCATCACTGCAGTTATCTTGATTGTTCAATACAAGGCTGCAATTATCCCGATCAAGGTAACTCTTACAGTAGAGTGATTTTTGGAGTAGCTATTAATCTCTTTAGGTTAACTAAATGAAGCCTTGCTTTTCTTTCCCCTCCCCACATCTGCATAATTGATCCAGATCAGTTTAAACATTTTAAACTCTGTGATTATACAAGGTCTTTAACTGTTGAATAGGGCTGTGAAATATATCAATATTATATCGGTATAGTCATATGAGACTTGATATCATATTCAATTTTGGATATCGTAATTTTTTAAGTGTTTTCTTTCTGCATTTCAGTAAAGTGATGTCATTTTTTTGACCTTATCAGACTGTTCTAGCTGTTCCATTATTTGTCTTTACCGAGGGTGCTTTCATACCTGCCCTGTTTGGTTCGGTTCGGTCAAACTCAGGTCAGTTTGCCCCTGAAGTCCGGCTCGTTTGGGCAGGTGTGAACACAGCCATTGCACTGGTGACACCAGAGCAACTCTAGTGCGTTTGTTTGTGGTGAGAATGTGTTCTGACCTCTATCCGAACCAACTGCAGTTGCATGACACATTATTTGTGTAAAACATGAGCATGTTACAGTCCTGGAGGATTATTAATGTGCGCCTCCTCCTGTACTGCCTTAATATGCACGTTCAGCACATCTAATGCATCAAAACATTGTTTTCTAGTTGGAGCCAAGGTCTTGTGCAAGGCATTTTATCTGGTCCGTTTGTAAATGCTGCCGCAAGAACACAAACCGACTCTCGGCAATTATGCAATTTTATCATCAAATTAGTCCCTGATACGGACCAAAACAAGCAATACTTCATTTTCTCCATACTGCCCAGCCCTGCTTTTAATTATTTTTACTGTTGAGTCCCTGTAATCACAATATTCAATATAACAGTTTGACATCAGTAACTTTGACTTGATTTTCTTACCAGGAGGGGGCATAGCGAGGATGTAATTGGGCAGCTCCTGTGGTAGTCCGTGTCCTCCATCATTAGTAGCAATGACTCTCACCCAGTACATGGCCATTGACTTCAAGCCTTTCACTGTATAGGTATTCATGGTTATCATGTTTGCATTGCAGCGTTCCCATATTGTGCTTTCTGCAGGCCTGATCTCCACAAAGTATCCTTTAGCTTCATCCTCAACCCCCTCAACATCCTTGGGTTTGGTCCAAGAAAGGGACAGGGTTGTGTAGGTGGAGTCTGTCGCTTTAAAGTCTATGACTTTACCAGGAGGCTCTGTAACACATGATTCACATTCAGTGCTGCAGTTTGTAGGCTGTATGAGGTGTTGATGAAATACTGACTGTCATAACAGTTCTAAATGTCCACCTACTTTTAGGATCTCTGGCAAACACAAACTCAGATGGTGCGCTGTGTTCACCTGCTCCAGAGTTGTTGATTGCTGCCACACGGAATTCGTACTCCACGCCCTCGATTAAATCTTTAACTCCAAATTCCTTACCTTTGTAGGAAAAATATGCAGTATAGGAATCATTAGATCTTTACCTTGTGTTGTAAGAGGCTGCAATAAGACGATCAAACAGAAATAAGGTATAAATAATAGAGTAACCTCTGATCATCTCATCTTGTGGGTTGACTTGGCCCCACAGGTTGCTGCCCTTTTTGCGTTTCTCAAGGTTGTATCCCAGAATATTGGTTCCTCCGGTGTCGGCTGGAGGAGTCCAAGTGAGCTTGATGCATTTCTTGGAGGCACTTAGAACCTTTGGTGCTGATGGAGGTCCAGGGTATGCTGTGCACACAAAAGATTGGGGTCTGTGAATGATTTCATAGTCAAAAATGCAGAATTGCTTGCATACTGCGGAATAAATTCATTGTGATGTTGGAATTACAAAGGCTTGTTTTGTCCTTGGTGATGTAGGGACTACTCACAGAGCTAGCTGATGAGCTACTGGTGAGCCAATGGCTACAATGCTTGCAAGATGGGAACATGTTAGTGCTATGGAATCACAATAGCTCTCAAGCTTCTGTTTACTATTTAATGGTGTTTGCATTCCCCTGGAATCTCATTTCTTAGGATTATATATCATTTTATTTAATAAACAGTTATTGAAGAGTTGCTAACACGACAATAGATAGACATAGTTTATTCATGAGATGTATTTGTAGCATCAACTACCGTCTTACAACTGTCTGAAAATCAAGCCTCTTTTGGAGTGGAGGAATGTTAATAAGTACATTACATTTACTCAAGTACTGTACTTAATTGCAGTTTTGAGGTACTTGGACTTTACTTGAGTATTTCAATTTTTGCTTCTTTGTACATCTACTCCACTACATTTTGGAAGCTACAATTGTACTTTTTACTCCACTACATTTATTTTACATGTTGGCACATGGTCGCCTCACAGGAAGAGGGTACCTGATTTGAACCCAGGGTGGGGGAGCCCTTCTGTGCAGAGTTTGCATGTTCTCCCCATGTCAGTGTGGGTTTTCTCCAGGTACTCCACTTTCCTCCCACAGTCCAAAGACATGCAGGCTAGGTTAATTTGAATTGACCATAGGTGTGAATGTGAGCGTGAATGGCTGTCTGTCTCGATGTGTCAGCCCTGTGATAGTCTGGTGACCTGTCCAAGATGTACCCCGCTTCTCGCCCAATGTCAGCTGGGATAGGCTCCAGCCCCCCCGTGACCCCCAACAGGATAAGCCGTTACGGAAAATGAATGAATGAATGATCCTTTTGGTGACATTGACAAGCTACCCAGTGGTATGTATAGCAGCAAAATTAGAGTGATGTCCACATTAAGTTATCAATAATTGTAATTTCATAGCCTTTATGATATTCTAGGGCCATTCTAGTACTTTTGCTTTTGTGCTGTTACTTGAGTAAGATTTTGAATGCCAGACATATCCAGCCAGACATTATTTCTATACTGATGTATTGCTACTTTTACTTAAGTAAAAGTAAGTACTTTAGTAAGATCTAAATACTTCTTCCACCACTGCTCTTTTGTGGAGCAATATAAAACTGGATAATGCAACACTACTGAAAAGTAACAATGGCCTCCTCCATTTTGGAATCTCGAGCTCTCCGTTCCATTCAAAGGTCAACAGTTTCAAGAGAGTTTGCCGTTTGTCAGTGGTGCACATTTGTGGGTTAATCAGAGTTGAAGTCAATGCAAGAGATTTGTGCGTATTTTCTTAGCTCCCTTAAATGAATCTGTCACTGCTATTCCACTGAAAGAAATTTTAAATGCTGGTGTGGCCTTTTTTAAAAAGTGGTATTTCTAATATTATAGGGTTTTCATAACATGGGTCTGACTTTACCTTTTGTTCCAGCTTGAATGTCCTCTGTCTCCATCAGCTCACTGGTGCCCATTTCAGTCTCCACTCTGATGCGATAGCAGTACCTCTTGCCATGGTCTACGTCAGTGTCCCTGTATTTAGCCTCCGCACCAATTGGCCCCACCTTCTTCCAGGTGTTGCGGCCAATTTGTTGTCGTTCAAGGATGTAGTTGCCGATCTGGCAGCCACCAGCATCTTTTGGGGGCCTCCACTTAAATTCAATTGCAGTGGAGCCAGCTTCAACAATCTCCAGAGGTCCCATTGGAGGAGTGGGTTTATCTGTCAGAAAACAAAGCAGCATAGTAAGAATTATTTTTCTATACTGAACATGTTACCTTAGGTGTAACAAAATAGTTGAGCTGGACAGGTACTGTATACATATATGCAAAACACCGTAAAATATTGTTTGTATACATACCAAGTACAACAAGCTGGCTGAAGGCCTCAGTAGTACCAAACTCATTTTTGAGTTTTATCTTGATTTCACCACTGTCCTTGCGCTGCAGCTTGTTTAGAAGCAGACGGCTGTAACCCTCCGAGTACTCTAACTTGACATTTGAGTCTTCCGAAAGCTCCTCACCCTCACGGTACCACTGGATTTTTATAGGTTCCCGTCCAATGAAAGGGATTTTGAAGGTAGCTTTGTGTCCTTTTTTCACGGTTACAGGAGTTTTAAATGCTTCCAATTCCACATCAGAAAATCTGGGTGGATCTACAATGATGGGTGAAAAAATACAGATATTTTAAGCTGCTTCATGCTATTTAAGTACTTTAGATAAACATTAGAATGATATGCAGTAAATCCTTCTACTAATCATGACCAGGACCTGTGGGCACTCTGACTAATTTCTAAAGTGTTTTTACCTTCAACAGCAATCACAGCCTCTGTCTTCCGTCCATCTGCTTCAAATTTGTATTTTCCAGCATGTTCCTCTGTGACTTTTTTAATTTTCAGCCTGTGGAAAGTTCCATCTTTTGAGATGGTTATAGTATCGGAGGATTTAATCTGCAAAAAACAAACATTTTACTGTAGCGCAACAAATAGGAACAAAGTCTCATCTGCAGCTCTACGTGAGTACACGATAATCACCAATGCCTAGTGAGTTATATTAATGAAACGATATCAGCACCTATTCGCTACATAATGACCACATTAAGACCCTGGGCCTACCTCCTCTCCATCCTTGTACCAGATTCCCTTACAGTCTTCACTGTTCACTTTACACTCCAGCTCTGCTGCCTCTCCAATAATGGCTTTGCAGTCAGAAAGCCCAGCTTGAAAGTGAACTCCGGGTTCTGAGGATTCATCAACCAGTAAGTTAATGAATGCAATGACCAACAGCTGTCACCTGTTCACAATTTATGGTTTAGTTGTTTCAAGTTTTTGTATTGCATCCATGTATGGATATGTACACACTTACCTCAAAGTCAAACATCACACATTTTCTTTCTGCATTGTTGTTGCTATCATGTATTTTATACCAATATTTGATTACAAAATACATGCTAAAATGCAGACGTGATGTCATAAAATATCAAACTTAAAGAGACCATACCAATCCAAGTTCGTAAGGGATGTGAAAAGAGAGCATTTTGAAGTTATTTAACACTTGATGAACGTGTCTGCTTGGTTAAGACGGAGCTTGATTGTCTTGTTTGGGAGTGGTGTTCTTCAGCTTGATAGCTTGCAGAGTTGAAGCTTGTAAGAGTATCATTGTCAAGGCTTTCATTCGCCTCTGTTCAATTATTCTTGAAAGAAATAATCACTCTTAAAATGTAAAAAAAAAAAAAAATCACGGATGCGTGACATTTCCTTGGTCAGTGGAAGAGTAAGCATTTTGTCTGGTTGATCAGAACATCAGGAGTCCATCTTCAATGTGCAGAAATCAGTCTTGGAGCATGTTCTTCCTCCAAAGTCAGTCCAGGTTGACTTCCATCTTCAGATTATGTAAGAGTGTGTCTACGCACAAGTGTTGGATTAAGATCGGTACTGCGGTTGCGCAGTTAAGTAATTAACCTCAATGCACCTATTCATCCTGAATTAATGTTTAAAAAGGCAAGCAAGATTGTTAACACAGAGCACAGATGCATTTAAACACTACTGAACACACACACTCACACACAGAGTTTGCAAACACAGTACATAAGAGACGGAGGTGGACACATCATTACTGCCTGCTGATACCTGTAGGTCATAGAGATGAGATTAAAAGATCAATACGTTCTTTTGTCTACAAAACATACTGTAAGACTAAAGTACAATATAACGTGATTCATTTTACTGTTATGTAGCATTCTGTTCAGTGGCCACACACTTTCTGTGTTAACTCTCAAACCACTGGAAAAGTCATCCGCTCATCAAATGACTTTGTTCAGTGACAGTGCTTCCCATGCAGCAGTTAATGCAGCGCCAGTAATCTTACCACTAACTGTCTCCACGATCAATGGGCCTTGCCGTACACGGCCTGAACGCTTGCCAGCTGCTGAAGGCTCGCCGCCGTCTGCACCCTCACCATTTTCAGCAGATTCATCACAGCCTGCTGCTGGCCCCATGCCATTATCACCACTGGCGCCTCTCGCTTCTGTGTGTTTTGCTTTTTTTCAGTTTTAGGGGATATCATCATAATTACCATCAATCCAATATTTCTCATTTGTTGGTTGATATGCCTTACAAATAACATTAATGAAAACAGTAACAGTAACAGTTAAAATGTCAACATGGAGCAGAAAAACAAGATCAGGAGCAACAACACCAATAACAAACATTAACTTCAATACAGAAGAAGAGGGTCATGGAAAAGGTGGTATACAAGATGGAGTCCATAATGGTGTCATTGTCAAGTGACTTAATTAACCTTAAAGGCCTTGTGGATTGTTTTTATAATTACGACTGTTTTGCTGTTAAGAATCACTTGTTACATGGGTACATGATGTCATAAATACTCTATAAAATAGTTTACCACAAGAAATAATACCAACGACAAAAGTGCTGATACTTAACTTTAAAGGAAATGGCCACTCTAGAATCTACAATCACAATCACACTCGTCACACAGTCTAACTGACCACAGTGAGAAATGATGTTATAAAGGTAAATTATGTCTTGTCAAGTCAATTTTGCATGTTGCGGCTTCAGGGCACTTGGATTACGACGGACGAGCCGTTCTGACGTTTTTGAAATGCATTAGCGGAGTTTTATTACGTTTTCAAAATGTGGGTTCCATGCACTTCAAGTGTAGCTGTTATTCTGGCTAGCTGTTATCCACCGATACCCCGAACAAGTTTTATGGATTAAAAAACTACACTGGACTTCTTGTCGGCATGAGGGTCAGTAAGTACTGTCTGTATTTTCATTCTAAAGTGGTCATTTCCTTTAATAGTTTTAAATACAAGTGCAGTAGTTTATGATATAACTGATTATAAAACATTATTTCTGTTACTTAAAAATACCCAACCTCAAAGTCTCTTATGAACAGGCACCTTTTGTGTTCTCAACTGGAATACATCTGTAGTAAAGTCACCTTTTCCATTTTGAACCCTCTGACATAATACACTTGCACATAAATAAAACAAGGTTTTTATAACAACAAAGAGACAAACATCTCGATGAACATGAAGGCAAAGCACACATAAAACACAAAAAACACAAATATAGAACATATCTATATTTATTTCAAGTAAAAAAAAAAAAAAGAGGATGAAGCAGATTTTAGCATAGCATATATGCTATATTGCTTTGCTTCTTGGCAGCGACACACAAACAAACAAAAACATAGACATGTAAAATGATTTATTAATCAATGTAGGGTAAATAATTGATTAATAAATTATTGATACATTCAACAGATAGGTAATAATGAATAATGAATAATGAGTTCTTTGGACTGAAAACCGTGTGAGGCATTAAATTTCCCAGTACACATAAATATTACACTGCACTGTATTTTTTGATGTAGGCTCTAAAGCTACAAGAGTTCTCAAGAATTACATTTAACATAAATCCTAACCCATGTTATCATCTTAAACATCCCGAGATGAAGTAGATTTAGTCACTGAGGCTTGATAAAACCTTTCTGAAATAGGTCTTAAAACTCACCTGGGCCACCTGAAGCTTTTAGCTAATTGCATGATCTGGCAAAGCAGAGCAGCGTGGAGCTTTGCAAATTGTCAGTGTCGGCTGTTGAATTTGTTCAGTATTATATACAACCCTGATAAGTTGGGACGATGCGATGATTGGAAATCCTTATGGACCTACATTCAACTGACCACAGTACAAAGACAAGATATTTAACTTTCAGACTGATAAACTTTATTGTTTTTGTAAATATGCACTCATTCTGAATTTGAGGCCTGCAACATGCTCCAAAAATTTTGGGCAGGGGCAGCAAAAGACTGGAATGCTGAAAAAACACCGGTTTGAAATATTCCACGGATAAACAGGTAATTACTAGCAGGTGATAGGATCATGATTGGGCATGAAGGGTTCCGTTGTTTACAACCAAGGATGGCGTGACGTCTAACACTTTGTGAAGAACTGTGAGCGCAAATGGTCAAACAGTTTAAGAACGTCTCTTAACACCCAACTGCAAGCAATTTAGAGATTCATCCATCTATAATCCAAATTATCATCAAAAGATTCAGTGAATGTAGAGAAATCTGAGCTGAAAACCAGTATCGAATGCCTGTGACCTTGTATCTCTCAAGCAGCACTGCAATGAAAATCAACATGATTGTGTAAAGGATGTCAATGAAAAGTCATTGTCGGTAAACACATTTCATCGCTGCATCTACAAATACAAGTTAAGACTCTACCATGAAAAGTGAAAGCCATATATCAACAACATCCAGAAATGCAGCTGACTTCTCTGGGCTCAAAGTGAGCTGTGGTCTGCTATGGTTGTTTTTGGAAATCATCACGTGTCCTCCAGGCTAAAGAGGAAAAGGACCATTCAGACTGTTACCACTTTAAAGTTTTAAAGCCAGCATCTGTGATGATGGTGGTGTGTTAGTGCTAGTGGCATCACGGGTAACTTGCACATCTGTGAAGGCACCATTAATGGTGAAAGGTACATTGAGGATTTGGAGCAACAAATACAGTCATCCAGATGACGTCTTTTTCAGGGACATCCCTGTTTTCTCCAGCAAGACAATGCCAAGCCGTTTTGCATGTTGTACAACCGCGTGAATTTGTAGTAAAAAAGTGTGGGCACTAGACCACCTAACTAGTCCAGCCACAGGGTCCAAGTTTCTCCAGTTGAACATATTCAGTGTCATACTTGTGTTTGTCAAGTAGCTGTCTGTTAGTCACTCACTTGACAGAAGAAAACAGCACTTCAGAATAAAAGCTCTGTGTTTCAGAAATTCTCTGTACTTCAAATAAAGTGTGTTTTTTATAAACTTGACACGTTCGGGTGTCATTTTCGATCTATTCAGAATGGACCTGCCACCCACTTTTGGACCATGACTCACCAGTTGGGAATCACTGTACTAAACTGACCTGCCTTCACTCTCGACCTGTCTCCTATTGAACATGTGATGTGTGTTATTGAACACAAAATAAGATCACAGAGACACCAGACTGTTGAGCAACTGAATTAAGAACGGGGAAGAATTTCACTTTCAAGACTTTAAGAATTTGTGTCCTCAGTTCCCACATGGTTACTGAGTGTGGTTACTGAGTGTGGATAAAAGAAAGTGATGTAACACAGTGATAAATATAATCCTCACCCAACTTTTTTAACATGTTGCAGACATCGAATTCAGAACAAGAATATATTTAGAAAAAAAAAGAAAGTTAATCAGTTTGAACATTTAGTACTTTGTCTTTGTACTTTATTCAACTGAATACAGGTCCAAAATGTAAATCATTGCATTCTTTTTTTAACAACGTTCTACACAGTGTCCCAAATGTATTAAATCAGGGCTGTACATTGATTGTTAATGCAGCTGCATTGATGTTAGGAGGTGTTAAGGACTTTCTACAGTCGTGATGTCAAACTTATTTTCATTCCCAAATGACTTTAATAGTCAATAAAATGTCTACAGCATGCAGGCTTTGACATCTCTTACCACCAACAGCTTCTTCACCCTCCACATCTTTCTTTATGAGATGTTTTCCTCTTTTGCGAGATTTTTTGCCTTGTTGATTTGCGGTTTCCTCATCAATATTATCTCCTATTAGTGACAATAAGTATCAGCTTCATAAAAAATTCATATTATTATCATTGACCTAATGATCACTTGAGTCTGACTAACATAGATTTGATGCTGGAATTCATTCTGAGCAAAATCATTAGTTTCTTTTTTTAAAAATAATTTGTTTCAAAGAGCTTTATAAAGGTATTGCTGATTAAAGATAAATGTTTTTAAGATATAAAAGAAAATTAAACTTTTGTTAAGAATCTAAAAGTTAATGAAAAAGACAAACAACAGTAACATAATAAACATCAAGACATTTGTAGAATGTAGACAAAAGAAATAAAGAGGAGACTAATGTCAAAACACAAAAAATGTCAACAACAAAATACAAATACTTCTGTTAATAAAATATAAAATCATGTTTCTGAAATTAAAGAAGATGTTTGTATCACATCCTGGTGACCATTAGAAGAATCAGGGACACACTGTGGGGGCAATATTTGTCACATCTCTCAGCACAGATTTCAAAATAAATTAATTTCTTACCTGTCACTGTATCTGGAACAAGTGGACCATCCCTTGCACGCTTTTTGCGTTTCCCGCCTTCTCCACCCTCTCCGCCTTCTCCATCTCCCTCTCCTCCTTCTCCACCTTCACCACCTCCAGCTCCACCCCCAGCTCCTCCTCCAGTTCCACCTCCTCCTCCACCTGCACCACCTGCACCACCGGCACCACCGGCACCAGCTCCGCCACCTGCACCACCGGCACCAGCTCCGCCACCTGCACCACCGGCACCATCTCCGCCACCGGCACCATCTCCACCACCTGCACCAGCTCCACTGCCTGCGCCACCACCTGCGCCAATTCCTGCACCACCACCTGCACCACCAGCACCAGCTCCGGTGCCTTCACCACCACCAGCACCGACTTTCATGCCAGCAGCACCACCTGCACCACCAGCACCTGCTCCCATGCCTGTGCCACCCCCTGCGCCACCACCTGCACCACCAGCACCTGCTCCCATGCCTGCGCCACCACCTGCGCCACCAGCACCTGCACCACCAGCACCTGCTCCCATGCCAGCAGCACCCCCTGCACCACCAGCACCAGCTCCCACACCAGCGGCACCCCCTCCACCACCAGCACCAGCTCCGACGCCACCAGCACCTCCTGCACCACCGGCACCTCCTGCACCACCAGCACCCGCTTTACCATTCGCAGCACCAGCTCCTTTTTTCATGGCTTTACTTGCGGCGGCTTCCTTGTCAGCTGCTTCCTTTTTAGCCTTTGCAGCAGCCCTAGCTGCAGCTTGAGCCGCAGCTTTTTCTTCTTCTGCTGCCTTTTTAGCCGCCTCAGCCTCGGCTCTGGCAGCTGCCTCTGCTGCTTCTCTCTCTGCTTGAGCTTTCTTGGCAATTTCCAGTTTTTCCTGCATTTCTTTCTGATATTTTTCCTGCTGTTCCTTAGCAATTCTTATCAGCTCTTCATAATTGCTGCTTCCAGCCACAGTAGTTTTGCGGGCTGCCTTCTTGCCCTTGTTGGCAGGATCTTTGTCAGCTGTAAAAGAAAATATGTCAAATGTTTGTATAATTTTTGTATCATATTTATATTTCTATGTATTCAGGGGAGGCATGAAGAGAAAACGTAGGAAGAGAATGATTTTCTCACAGTCAACTATAAGCCAGGCGTTGCAGGATTTGATTCCAGCTACAGCAGCATAGATACCAGCGTCCAGAGGCATACAGTCCCGCACAATCATCTTGTGGATTAGCTTATCTTCAGATACAGTAATTTCATATTTCTCACTATTTGGCAGCCGAGAGTTTTTGAACATCCATGAGAGCTCATTCATTGGTGCAGTCAGGACACATTGAAAGAGGGCGTCCTCTCGTTCTGCTGCTTTAACCTCTTGTATTTTGACCGCAAAGTCAACGTTAGGTACTGTGTGGTTACAGAAAGACACAAAATAGAAAAGAGAAACAGAGGGATTACTTAATTTTATCAATCTATGCCATGTATTTCCAAAAATGCTTTTTCTGCACAGGTTCACATTGGCCTGTCTCATTGTATGCCTTTAATTCAAAATAACAGTAATCATTGGACTGAATTTACGTAAATCTAATCCAATTTAAACCACTGGATTCAGAACATACCTTTGAAATCTGTTGAGAATACATTGACGCCCTCAACATCCACTGAGTAGAGTCCAGCATCATCTGAACCCAGATTTTTAATCGTGAACACGTATTTCTTTCCGACTTGTTTCAAACTATGCTTCTGCGACTCGCTTTCTTCTATCGTGAATGGAACCATGACGCCATCCTGCAGAATTTATGGGACATGTTACCATTTTAACATAGATAATAAAATGCAGTAAGATAGTACCGGTGGTTAACGACCCTCACCTTGTACAGGAAAATTTTGCTGGTAGGATCTTTGAGGTCCATGTCCAACTCAATTGTTGCACAGTCGTTGTCTTTGACCTCAATATGTTTCAGTGTACTGATGTGCGTCACAAACTACGGTAGAGATAGAGATTTTAAAAACCTACACAATTATAATAAACATTTAATGAGTGTGCTCATAGTGTAAGATGGACACCAAACAAATACTCCTAGGAATAAAGGTTCTGATAAAGAAGAAATAAAGGTTTGTCCCCAGAGAACCCTTTTTGGTTCCTCGTATAACCTTTAATATAGGTGCCACCTGGAACCCTGTCAGAGGATCCAACCTAGAATCCACCATAAAGGATTTTACCTAGAACCCACCCAGGGAGCTTTACAGAGAAACTTTTATATTCCACCAATCATGACTTAGTTTAACTGTTTAGCCTGGGGCCAAGGGAACCATGACCAGCATCCTTTGGCTTCATGAGGTTCCTAAGGGGCTGTGGTTGATGTGGTCTATGGAACAACCATAGTCTTAAGTATTTTAATGGCACAGTGGATCTAAACCAGGCTGCAGTTGGACACTATCTCTCATTAACCAATAAACATATTGTATGTTCAATACAGGTATATAATTAACTATTGTATGGCATGAAATAATGGTAAACATATCAGCTATGGCAGAACACAAGTGGCATTAAGTAATTTGGGGGATTCCAGATACATCTACACCTAAAAATACCATTTAAGGCATAGATAAACATTTAAATATTTGAGGGTGAGGATCTTTTAACACCCATGCTTTTAACAGTCATGAAAGAACTCTTTCTTTCAAAAAATCGTTCTTTGGATGAAATGGGTTCTTAATATATCCCTTAGTCTCGAGAACCAAAGAATCCCTTAAGAGCACTGGCTTAAAGAAGCTAAGGTCATTCATACTCGATGTTCGTGATATATATTCATTCCATACATCACATATGGGACAAGCCGCGATACATCAACACCCCTAGTTCTGGGTAGAATTGGGGTTGGGTATTCTTTTTAATACTGATGCTAAAACAGCACTTTTAAAATGGTACTGGTGCCTAAACAGTGCCTGAACTGATACTTTAAAAGCATCAGTTCAGGCTATGCTCACATTCTGGCACTGAAATCTGTATAGTAATTTGGTCCAGTAACCAACTGTAGGTAGAACCTCAGCCCTTTAGGAAGAACCATTTTGGAACCCATATTTCTTAAGACCAGTTCAGACCAAAGATTTGTGACAAGACAAAACCATTTTAGAACGTTGCAGAGAAAAGTTGCAGCAGTGTGAACTGGCCGGTCTGAGCTCGACTCAAGCCGGCTGATGGTGTCACCTGCAACTCAGCTGGTCAAATCGCCGGCGGCTGGTTCTAGAACGTAAAGCATGTCGCCAGTCAGCTTGTAGTGAAGACTGCTGGTCAAGTCAAAATGTCCACAGACAGCGTGTTCGCTTGCTGCAGCAGGTGCTCTGTCCCTGCCGAGCACCCCCCCATGCATACACTCTCATTCACTGATTAATTGGCGCTGGTTCTTTGGCGTATTCCTTATGAATCCAGTCCATCTAATGCTTGTTTTGTTCATGTTTTTCACCGTTTCATCACTACTATAAATGCAACTGTAGCCAGTATCTCACTATCACTATCCTCATTCATATTTTAAGAAGCTACAAATTATATTCAGCCACAAAATCAGCCTGAAAATCTGGAAATCACAACGGAAGTACAGATTTGTTGCATAGAGATGATACACCATCTCATCTAGTTGCATTGCTGTGAACCGGCAGGGTTTAAGAGCGTTGCAGAACGGCACATTGCAACTCGTCTCATCGGAAATCTTTGCTCTGAACTGATCTTTAGAGTGTAGACTACGAAAACAATGAGTGCCATTAGTAGATGTTTGGTAGAACTTGTTAATGATAGATTTAAAGAATAATCAAAATGCCATATACCTCGGCAATCTCTTCCTCTCTCTCTTTCTTCATTTCATTCAGTTTCTTTAGCATGTAGCGGAAGTCTGTGATACCGTACTCGGCACAGATCCGCTCGTAGTCTTTCTTGTCCGCGCTAAGGAGAATTTCCCAGACCTTCTCCATTGGCTCCATCGGCTTTTCCTCACGTGTTCCATCAACATTACTGCAGAGAGATAATTATCATCAAGCCCCACACACCAATGGCATAGAAAGGTAAATGTCATAAACAAATACCATAACAGTTTATTTTAACAGACAAACAGCTATGTTTACAATGTTTCACTCACCGTTTCTTGAGCCTTTTTCTTAATTCCCCTGCGTCTGGGGAGCGATAACAAAAACCATCAGTCCATTTCTGAATGTACTTTGTCTTTCACAATATTATTTAAAGAGAACAGTTTCCAATTAACTATACTGACACTGTACACATTTATATTTATAGTAAAGCCCCGTAAGAGTAGCTTTGGTTATAATTAAATAAAACTGTATTTTCAGATTAATGGCTAATAGAGAAGAGTATCCTATCTGTTGTCAGCTCACAGAGTATCCCTTCATGCCCAAACAATATTCATATCCTCACACTTGGAACTGTGTCGAATGTAACACAGCAGATACCACTGAAGTTGTAATCAACATTACAATCTGTTATACAGAAGTTGAAAAAGCTCCCAGTGTTTCCGCAGGTAATGTTCTGTCATCAGTAACAGTAGTTATTGGATGTATCTTCAGTTGTATGAGTACGAGAACTGCACAAAGCGGAAGAAGGACTGAGACTGCGCCTGCCCGAGGATGAGAGATGTGACCAAATTATCATAGGTAATAAAAATGCAGTGCAGTGATGATGTAGACATTTCATACCACAGACATTTATAACATGGACCTGCCAATGTGCATTCAACCCGTGCTGGACCCGCTCATACGAGTCAGTCTTCCTGTCACTCAGTAGAGAATCCAGTCTGCAGTGCAGATCATACAGCCTGGTAAGACCGTTCTGATGATGTGAGCTCAATACTCTGTCTGCTCTCTATCCGTCTGGACTCGGGGCCACCCTAAACACTTTCAGCAATGAATTTTGGGGGGGGGGCCGCCATAACAGCCCTGCATGCTGCGGCCTGCATTTTATGTCATCAACTGCAAAGCAGTGCCAGATTAGCTTCTTTAGTTGTCCACTACGGTGCAGATTCCTGATTGGCCTTGAATGGATTTTAATTTTAATTTCTGGATGTGAGGCAGGGCAGCACAGAGTCCAGCGAAACAGAATGTTAAGGTCACATCAACAGGATGATCCTGTCAGGCTACAGACCATACACTTCACTGATAAACTAGAGAATTACAGCAGTAACATTCATGATGTACATAGCCATAACACATGTGGTAAACCGCCACACTTCGGTGAAGCATCATTTTTTTACTGTAGTAAGAGAAAAAATCCATTCTGTCACAGCCTTAGTTCTGTTCGTACCCTTTAACATGATTCTTGTTGCTGATGGTCACATTTTTTAGTCAATTTCTGAGAGAGCCATTAATGTGTCAAGTGACAGCACACAGTGGCACTGCGCTGGTATGACAGATGCACCCTGACAAGCAGATTTTTCCCAATAATTCCAATTAATGAATAAAATGTCTTGTTGCCATGGAAACAAATGGGTTGGTTGTAGCACAAAGAAACTGAGCTGCTATTTCATTCCAAGTATTGATAGTTTGGATGAAAACCATCAGCCTCTATTCATCTTTGTACTCAGCTGGTTGCCCAATTCCCTGAAAGTGACGTTTTTAAAAATGTGATAAATTTGATTTTAAGTGCAGAGGTAGTTTGTCTGCTACTGAGTGCTATTTGTGTCTGACAGGGGCAAGCACAGTGTATATTAGCTCCTTTTTTGTGATGACATTGGCCTTAAAATTGTGAGCCTGGACAGCCACAAACTGAGATTTGCACATCTCTTTAGATAAAACTTTGAGGGTCAACTATTTCAAACCTTACCTTCTGCCTGTGTCTTCTGGAGTTCCTTGGTCTTAGAGAATCCAACTGCAGACAAACAATTACTTAAATTTCCATCATCCATTTGTCACAATTCAATACAAATGTGCCAACTTAGAGGATATATAACGCAACTATTATTTAACAGATTTGTGAAACACAGTGATTCAAACAATAATAAGGATCGTACCCGAAATGACATTCAAGACAACTGTGCAAACAGCCCTTCCATATTCATTTGTTGCAAAACACTTGTAGGTGTCAGCATCCTCTGGAGCGACCTTAGGGAACTAATAACATGCAAACAAAGTTAATAGCAGTTTTATTGTCACTGAAGGCAGTTTCTGTCTCAAGACATTATCACTTTACATTTCTGGTGTGTGAATATTCACTCTGTCTCCCATTTACTTCTTGTGAAGTCCAAACAACCGATTGCTGATCAGTGCTTATTTGTTATCTGCATCAGGAGCCATATTCATAGACACTCTAAGAGAGCTCCTAACTAAGCCTAAAATTTTTTAGTAACGAGTCCTAGCTTAGGAGTGATTTAGGAATGTTCTCAGAGTAAGGAAGGGACAGAAACTTTTATCTAAGTGAGGAGGTGTGGTTGGCCCTGTTGCTAGGTATGACACATTCTTTTAACAGATGTGATTGGTTGTCACAGACACGCCCTTTTGTGAGCCTACAAGGTGTGGACACCCAGTGAAAATAAAATGAACTGTGTCGTCACTGTTAGTGTGATCACTCTGCTGATGGACGGTTTTGATAGATCCAAGTCATCACTGCTGCATTTTACCGTTTTTATTGTGATCATTTTATTTCTAGCTTTATAACATTATTGGGTTGGGTGGGAAATATGTGCGTAACCCTGATGAGATCGACCACAAATATCTCTGCACGATCTAATCTGTACGTTTCATTTACTCACTGTCATCCAGCGTTTGGAGAATATTTCCATGACCTCTTTATCTTTCTGCCATTTTCTCCTCTGCTTAAGAAGCTCTTCCTCCCTGCCCCTAACTGTTTTTCACCTTTGGAGGTCTAAGATGCTCTGTGAATAACTTTTATCTTTACAAGGACCTAGTCTTAATTGTAAGGGGAAATTCTTATCCGACCGCAGAGTCGTAATGTCCGTTTTAGCGGCTGAGTGTGGGTGAATTTTGTTAAACAGAAACATAAAGTGACAATGCCTTTAGAGTTTGTTGTAGATTGTCATTATTTATACCTCAACTGCTACAGACAGCTTACCTCAATGGTATGTTCTTGAGATGTCTCGTCATACTTTTGCATGCACACGTCAGGGTGATAATGTATTTCTCCATTTGCTCTGCTCCATGTTACAGTAGGTGTCGGCTCGCCCACTACTTTGGCTTTAAAGACTGCGAATTTACCTGGAATGAAATGAAACAAAGATTTCTTAATTAGTGGCAAATCATTCATTTATACGTTTTCAGTAAAGATGACAGAGACATGGCATTTTACCTACATGCAAACAAAAGATTTTTGTTGTTATTGTTTTGCTTGGTACTTTAGGGTAAGATGCTCTTAAAAGGTGTTTCACAACTTGTAGACATGCGCTCCACTTCCTTTAATTTATACACAAAGCTGCACGTGATTAAGGTCAGCAGTGTACTGGGAAAAAAATATGCAAATGTTAATCACATTTTGTGTCATGTTTTAAAGTTAATAGCACTCCAGAACTAATTCTTACTTACTGAAAACAAATGAAACAATGTCATGAATAAAAACATTCCCTGTGGCTAACTTCCAGTTTAGCCCTGTGCTAACTAGGATGGGAATAAAATGAATTGTGTTGCTATTTTAGACTCTCCAATTGTTATCGGGATGAAAAGATCCATTTCTGATAGTGAAAGGAGTCATTTCATGGGGATTATAACGCTTAAAAAAACTTATCAACCATTTTACAGCCACAACAGTAGTAACAGAGCAGGCTACTGTGGAGACTATGATGTAATCACAAGTTTGTCTAACTTAGTTGTGATTGGCAAGGGAGCCCAGGTGAAATATGCACGCAGCACGCTCTCATATGCACCCTATATGACAGGTACACAAAGTGGGCCAGTAAAGACGCAGACAGGGCCGGACGGCAGGTGAAAACTTTATGGCTTTTTTGATGGTCCACTAATGTGGCATCCCACTGGGATTTGTCCTGATATGCCAGATGGCCAGTACACCTCTGATTCAGCTCTACTTAAGAAGTGTCATCTCATCAGGAAAATAAGCAGCTGATGCGCGTTTGGGAAGATTTTCACCCTAATGATGAACGAGCAACATTTCAAAAGTTGGGAAGGTGAAATGAGCCTCTTAGGTCTGTTCCTGTCTGAGAAGTCTGAGAAGTCTGTTGATTCTACTGCTACTACTGCTGTTATTATTAGTCATACTTCTACTATTATTATACACATATGATTATTATTGTCACATACACATACTGTCATATATTAATATGTACTTACAACATATTGTATCACAATTACCATTATTATTATGATAATATTGTCACTAAAATTAATGTTACTTTAGCTATTGTAGTTACTGTCTGTCCTGCATCCCTGCATTTTTGATTAATATCAATATATTTTCCAACACACGGGAGTATAAAAAATATAGCCTTTTAAAAAAATTCCAATGGATCTGAATCTGTTACAGACATGAAGACTTACCCTCTTGAATAGTCAGAGCGATGGGTTTGCGGGTGAAATCTGGAGTCGACATTCCTTCTGGAAGTTCCTCCTTAAATTGTGTTATCATCACACCGGGCACTTTCGACTTCTTCTTAATGCCTGATTAAGTAAAAGAAATAATAACAATTAGACAACCTTAACGTATAGAGAGGGGAAGTTGAGATAAAGTAAATACAATTTAATAATCACAACATGATGATGAGTATATACAATATACTCATCACAGCATGATGATGTTAATGATTTGTTTTGAGGAGCCACCACTGTTTGTCAGTGAACTTCAATAAGTACAGTATGTTTGAAGAAAAAAGACCTATTTTTTTTTTACTAGTTTAGTTAAATGGATGATAAATACATGTCTAAAACCCAGACAAATTCTCCAGTTAACATTTGTCAGTGTAATTTTACAGGTAGTCACATTTAAATAAGTGTTTATCAGAAGAAAGCAACGTGTTTGTGGAAAAAAATGCCACAATAATTAAACAAACTTCTAAAGTCTTCTGTTCAGTCCAGTAGTTTGTGATGATTTGTATAAACTTAATCCTCTTTTTTTCATTTTCAAAGTATTTGAAGATTGGCCAGCATTTGTCTGAATAAACTGAGTGGCTAAGGATAACACGAGCCAATACAGAAGTTCTCAACTAAATTAGCATAACTCTCCGCCACCTTAAATCTGACCCCGCTAAATGTTTGTTACACTTGTTCTTCCAAAAACTCTTCTGCTCCTTTTCCAAGTACAGGGTTCAAGTTAGTTATTTAACATCCCTACTCTACATCCCCAGTGTGTTGACTCTGCTCTGACACTGTACCCTCCAAACAGAGTGCTGAAAAGGAGCAGTACATACTGTACGACCAACAGTGTGGTCAAAAGTCAGAGACATTTCCAAAGGGAATGTGAATGTCTAATTTATGCATCAAGATGATTTTCCAGTGTGTAAAAACATATTTTTTCAACTAACTCTGCAAAAGAATTTTCCAAGTTTTCTGTAATAATGTACTCTGGGCTCTCCCACCTCGTGGGCCTCTCTTCATAATATTAGTAGTGTTTAATCTCCATATGAACATGCACCCACATGAGACTGTGTTTATGTAAGTAGCAGGCGTAATGAGGTCATAGGTGGTGTTGTAATTAACTGAGGAGTCTTGCCATAAACATGAAAGTTTATGTCATGTTGAAAACATGAGTGGAAACTTTGAGTTAATGTTAATTAGAATATCGGATGAATTATATTTAACTTTAAATTCATTGTGTTGTCATTGAAGGTAGTTGATAGGATGTTTCTCTCTGGCTAAACTGGCTTAAGTGTATGCAGCTTGCATTATATATTTGTTTATGTTTATTTCAATAGAGTCTGATTGCACACAGCTGGGCGTTCCTGTTGCACTCCTGGTCGCCTTTTTTTCCTTTACTGACTGCAGTGTTGTTCTGTTTGGGAAATCAGTAGCTATTCATTTGGTTGTAGATGTAATTTAATTCAGGTTTCATCAAATTCTTAAATCCTGTTTTGTGACCTTGCAGTGGGGCAAACTAATAATCCTTAGACTTACATTAACAAAAAATGATTTTTAACAACTCGAACAAAGCTAGCTAGCTTTAGCTAGTTATGCAATGCTAGTAACGAAAAAAATAAGGTGCGAGTTTGCTAGCTAGCTTGCAGGCTGTACCCCAAAAACGAGATTCCTTTCATCAGTAGCAGTTACATCTTTGTTGAAAATTTCCACCTGGCTTTCACTGAACGCAAGACCCGCCATCACGGGGTGAGTGATTCAACTCCATGAACATCCCCATGAGTGGATGCCTCTGAATAACCGTTTTTGTGCCTCACGAGTCAATCATAACAATGAGTGTTCCTAACCTATGTAAATCAGTGATCTGTGTTCATGGAACACCCCGCCGTGGCTGCAATCAGAGCCATCTGGTTTATTTCATAGATTACTTTTAACTAAATTACAGCTTTTATTTCTAGCTTGCAAGTTTTAGAGTCATAAAGACAAAAATTTACCCGAAGATAAATCCTTCATCTTCATCCACTAATTCTTATTTCATTTAAGTGACATCTCTAAAGTTTCATACATTCTGTGCACACCTTCAAATGTAAATGGATCAAGTTTCCCAGCTGGCACCGGTCATCAAAATGACGTCAGACGTTGGACTCTTATGTTGAACAGTTGTTGAATTTTGATTGGAATGAATATCGGGTTTATGATATTCTAAACATCTAACAACATTAGAACTTCACCTTATGTGGATGTTAATAATATTATGTTTTGCAGATGTTGGGTTTTGTTCTCCGTACTTTACGACTAAAGGTTGTTCGTCTACGTGAAGATGAGGTTGGCATGAGATGTGTGAAAGACATTGGATTCTGGTTACTTAACAATACATCTTTAAACCAACAAATTATCAACGTCATCTGTCGTCAGTATCTCACATCAAATTGATGTTGGCATTAGACTATGTCTGACATTGAGTTTTGGTCACCTGACGTCATAGCCTAAATTTGTCTTGATATCAATATCTAATGACACTGGTGGCCAGCTGGGTTAGTGAAGCCTTGTGCTAAATGTTTTTGTTAAAGTAGGCGGCATAGTGCTTTTACTTTTGAACATTTAGAGGAGACTGAATAAATATATTTAATGAGTTGTTCCTGACGTATGTACAGTCATTAGGGTGATCTGTCATCTGTAAATAATGAAACCCCCTATGTTTGTATTTGTAATTTAACAGTACTCATTATTCTTATTTATAGCACAGTTCAGTCTAAATTGTGAGTCCTCAAAACAGGGAAAGTTGGGCGGAAGTTTTCTGTGTGGGGACAAAAGCGCTGAGGTCCACCCAATAAAAATGATGAGTCCAGCTCAGCTCACATGTATAGCTCACTCTAGAAATAGGCACTGAAGCAGGTTTAAGTGCTTTGCACAAGTCCCAGAACACCTGAGAGTACCAATATGGACTAACCCATAGCAATCTCGAGGGCGGCATCACTGAATGCTGATCGCAGGGCTTCAGCTGGTCCGGGGATCTTTAATTATTTTCTCTTGGCATGAAAGACCTGTAATAGGCAGAATATAAACTATGGCATATGAAGTTTAAGTAAGGAGAGGTGAGCAGGGTGCCCCAGCATTTTGCAGTCTTAAGCGCTTTGGAGGTGAATTGCTTGCAGCAGGAGCTACAGAACAGTATGTGCTGTATGTGGCAGAGCACTGATAACGTTACATGAATGTTGATGCTGTTAACAAGCTGAACTTTATTGCTATGGAGTCACGAGGATGACACCGACATCGTTAAAAGCGATTTGTTTGCGTGGAAATATTGATCAGCCAATTAATGTAGAACAGCAATTAAAGCTGGGTGTTTAAGCCAGGCATTGATTTCATGGGTCAGTCAACAAGAGGTACTACATGGCATATACAGTGTATACTTATATATAGTTCTATTCGGTTCACATTCGCAAACATCACCAGACTCTTTATATCTTGTTGGCTGAGCATGTACTTCTGATACCACTAAAGAGCCTGTGCACCATGTTAAATTAGTTTTAACTCCGTCATTGTAGCTGCACTTCAGGAGAATTAATTGTCTTTATAAGCAGGTATTCCTTAAAAAGCAGTGGTTAAAATTTCTTCAGAAGTGAAAGCTGAGTGTAGAAAGTTTTGTTTCTCTTGTTACACATTTATTTATTTTTAATTTGAACTGAACAGTAATGTTTATCCTGCGCTATACACACCTGTGACTGGTGAACCGTCACATTTACTGTATGTTCACCACAGAGCTAGAACAAACTTAAAGAAGACATTACAGTTTCCTAACTCTGAATATTAAGTACTTATACACTGCACTTGAGTGCTGCACTTTCCTCTCCACCGCTCTGTGCTTTCATCTCTTTAATTTCTTTTAGCTTTTTGTATTTATGCTTTTCTTATTTCATATTCTTTATGGCTTATAAAGCTCTTTGAAAAGCTTTTGCATATGAAAGGTGCTTTATAAATACACCTGGCTTGTCTTGCCAAATAAATAAATAAATAAATGAATGATAAACTTTTCTAAAGCTGCTGACTCACCAACGTGTTTCCACTGTTGTGTGATGTTGTATTTATTCCTAAGTACTCCGTTGCCATTGTTGGCTGTTAACTGCAGTAACTTTGCAGTCATTTGCTGGTCAGCTGTAAAGTTTGTGCCTGTACACTGACTGACGCTGAACTCTTCATTTATTCATGTCCCAATTTAAATAGATTTTGTTGCCGGTCTAAATTGTCCTAAACTGTATTAGTTACAGAATTTCATTCTTGATATTATTGCAACGTTATCAGCACTTTTCTTTTTGTACATGTGAACTAATAGCTTGTATTATTTTCTTGTTTCATTTCATGGCCATGGCCAACAGAGAATGATTTGATTCCTCAAAAGTATCACTACTTGTGCTGACCCAGATTCCCTCAGAGTCATTGTCAAAGGCATACAAGAAATCAGAAGATATCGAGAGTTTGGCGAGGCTTAAGGGCTCCCAGAGTTCATGGGTGTCGTTCCAGCTGATTACCTTGGGACCTCAATGTTCTGTGTTAACTTGACAGCACATGGTTCTCTTAGACCTGCTTTGAACTGCTAGGATCATAGAAATTGCAATTTTGTATCTGTGACACTCCTGGTCGTCACAGCGAAGCCGAGGAGAGCACGAGGGTCAGGCATGAAAAGGCCGAAAATCTCCAGGGAATACAGAAAGAGTTGCGACTTAAAGGGGTGACTCAGTTTGCCTCGGTGTTCATAGTCTGAAATTACAGCCTCGAATACGCTTTACTTGTAGTCTTTTTACTGATACTAAATTCATGCTGTTTGCAAGTGCTCAGTATTGATCTAAATTTACAAGTTGATCATGTTTAAAGTCCCCCTCCACTCCACAGTGTGTTTTTCTTGTGTTTGTGTCCCCTAAAATGAAAGATCTTGACTACACTGACTTGTATCCGTACAAAGTTTTCACTACGGAGGTATTTCACATCCTTCTACTGGAAGAAAATTAGCATTTTCTAGGAAAGCAAAGGCATGACCTGCTTTATTCTGCTTTACTCTGCCTCTCTTTGGCTAACCCTAACATTTTTACTCCAATCCCACTCCTCTGGCCTTAATCTAACCAACGAAGACAGCGAGTACTAGCCAGTTGGAGGGAGACAAGGGCAGGTCGTGCCTTTGCTATTCTAGGAAATGCAAATTCACCTCCTGAGGGAGGTGATGTCTGTGCCCTTTCCCTAAAATCTGACTTTCAAACTTACGCCGGGCAAGCTAGATTAGGTACGTCACTAATAAAAAAGCCAATTTGAACCTGGAGTTCGCATTTTACCACTCACAGTTCCCTTGTCTGAAAGTCGATATATATTTTTTTTAATGGGTTTTTAGTTAGATGCCTGAGATAAGGTCTGTGGTTAACACAAGCTTAAAAGACTTTCATGTTTTGTTCTACGACATAACGTTTTTCAGTAAATACCCTACTTGTGAACTTTTTAGCTTTTATGTGTTTTTAAAATGGCAGTTGCTAACAAGTGGTTTAATGATTACACAGAACATTACGCCGCAACAAACACGACTTTACAGTCTTGTGGTGGTGGTGGTGTTAGTTCATGGGACCATAGTGTCATTTGTTTATAGCCTAAGGTTAGCTTTTAACTTCTGGCGATTGAATTTAGGCTTCAATAGTCATGAAAGTGGTGTTCGTTTATCTAGCTTAACAAAACATGTAAGTATCATAAACATTTGTTTGCCACAGAGCTCATTTTCTGCAATAATCCAAAATCCAATGAAAAATTCCCATAGGCATTCTAACAAGAGAACCAGTGCGATGCTAACTTCTGCGCCGGCCTACAGAAAAACGTTATCCCTGGGGCACTCTATTGCTGTCAGGTTCGGGAAGCACATATTCAAGCACCTATCGGGAAACAGACCTTGGTACAACAACGTCAAAGAAACCTGAAACCACCAGCGCAGAGCAGACTTGTCAGTACGGAGGGCAGAGTTAGCATTAGCATAATGAAAGTTTTGACAGCTAACATGGCAGAGTGTGCAGTTTTTGGATGTGAAGTGGACCCTGGAGCTTCCTTCGACTATCGACCAAAAACCCCATCATAGCGGATATTTTTGTACGTTTCACAAACGATGTGTCAGCCACTGACAGTTAGCTCACAAACTAACAAGCTAGCAAACAACATAGGCTGAATGAAAGATGCAACAATGTCTGCTAGTTGCTGATTTTTGGGGCACAACAGACTCCTCATCTGAGTCTGGGTCTGACTGAGACTCAAACATGTACGCCTGAATCTCTCTGATGTTTCCGCTAATGCTAACACTAGCCATCTTGATGCCCACTGCTGTTTGACCGATCGACGTAGAGCAAGCAGCGCTGAAGAGGGCGGAAAGTGAAACTTAGAGAAAGCAAATTTCTCAACGAGGTAGAAAGAGTAGAAATACTTCCAGCCCCTTTTCAGAGTTTTTGTAACTATTGTTTTTATTATTTGCTAAACAGATATTAGTGAAGTTTAAAACGTGTCTGGAGAAGGACTCTAAGCTAAGATGCCATTTTAAGGGGACACTGGAGTGACCAGTCGTATTAGCTTGATTTTAGGAGAGATCATGCCGCCCTTTGAAGATGCTCCTGTCGAGCAAGTTCACTTATTGAGACTGAACTGTGCCAACATACTATACAGGACTCATCAGCATTTGGACATACAATTAAAAAGTGGCATTTTTCCTTTAACTCACAAGACAAAGTAGACACATCGAAATCAACCGCAGTGCCCTTTAGCAGCAGCCTTGAGCTATGGAGGTTGTTTCAAACGTCACAATGAAATGCATCTGTTGTGACACTGAAAGTTGAATCATCCTTTTCGGATGACACCTTTCAAGGCGTGATGAAGAGCACATCATACATGCAACTCACCCAATGTGGAGACATGCACTTACAGAAGGTGAGTCGTTTGTGTGATTTGATTTCTTTTTTGCTCGCATACCTTTGTCGTCGGGTTGAACTCCCTCTGAACCGTCGACTAAACACGCAACGTGACAGCAGGAGAGGGAACAGGACAGGTAAATATTAATCCTGACAAAAGCACCATGGCAGGTTGGAACTTCGACAGGATTATGGACACAATAAACACAAAACACCACAGTATACAGTGTACCCCAGGAATGGGAAGCACAGACACAGACACAACTCGGGTAGAACAAGAAATTCAGAGACACATCACACAACAAAAAACGGTTAGTCATAGACACAGTATAATACAGTATTAGCAATATGTTGTTACAGCATGTGAATAGTTGTGCTGTGCAACTGTTGATTAGACTTAACTTCAAGCTCACTCAGGCATTTTCTCACGACTCTCATGACATCTCAGGATGATTCCAGCTCGGTGCTTGAGAGAATCTCTTTGCAAATACTTTGTGGAGAAGCAACTTAGCTTAATAGATGCCTTTATTTTGTCTTCTATGACGAAAGGACGCCATTTCTCTTCCAGTTTTCTCTTTAGTTGTTGCAGCAGCTGGCGACTGTTGCATTGTTCTTCAGATATACTCAGAGTAATCCTGAGTGAGGATACTCTGAAGATTTTTGCTCTCGTTGAGTGATTACTGCTTATTTGCATCTCATCTTCCGCCATATGTGTTGCCTGCGTTCATTTTCTAAACAGACATCTTCAGAATCACATCCTTGATGAATGAAATGGCCAGCGCTACATTGCAACATCTTGCTACTTGTTTTTTTTCCCCAGGTAGCATAAAGCTTCCGTTGCAAAGTAGCATCTGTGTCCTCCTTAACACAAAAATGTTCTTTGCTGTTGAGTGTTCTTGGAAAAACCATGAATAATATTTGGACTTTTTCCACTTGACAAAAGAAATAGCTGAGGTGCTTATCTTCATTTTCTCTCAGTGGAAATGGTCAGCCCTCAACATAATGTAGCATATTTCAGATGCCTTGGGTATTTCACGTCTTCAAAAAAGATGCATTTTGTAGACACAGACTTTATGTATTCTTCGATGTTGAAAGCTTCCCAGGAGTTTTGTGTCTTGCAGGGTTTTATTTCCTTGAATGCAACGTCACACGAGTCTTTATTTTTGCGTAAGATTAGATGTGTAAGTCAAACAGATCCTGTTCATCATCATTCCTTGGATAAGAGGAAATACAGGCGGACACAGCTGCAATACAAACACTTGACTGACCTAACCGGAGAGGGCGTCTTATCACCCTGCACTTACCCGCCTGCCCAGCGGCAGTTGGCTCCGTCACCTTTGACTTCTTCCACATCTTGGCTCTCCTCTTGAGCTCTGCTGATTCAAAAGGCTCTGTAGCAAAAACAGATATGAGATACAAAGGGAAGTATTCAGCACCGCACAGTATGTCTGGCTCAACAGCAAATCATTGATATTCTCCTTAAAGTTTGAAGTGTTTGAGGTGTCAGTCTTTAGGGGTTGGTTGTACTTTCACTGTTGCTCATTCTGTTTGAGCAAATGCAACTCAGAGTTTGTCAGATTCAATTAAACTTTTGGAGGAAAATCAGCAGCTCTGACCTGCTCAGACTGTGTCTTCTAAAGCTCATTGCAGTGACTCTGAGCAGTCAGTAAGAGGCAGCAACCAGTGTCATTTACAGTAACTGCTGGCCTTCACTAGGGCTAAATGTCTATCTTGTTGAAGCCCTAAATATGCAGGGTGAAGAGTTAAGCTTAGTTTTTCAATGCTCACACACTGCCACTACTATATCCCCTTACCCCTGATTAATATCACCTGATTCATGGTACTATTTAAAAAAAAAAATATCCATAAGTATTAGTGTAAAATACCATGTTTTATATTACCTTTTATAAAGGCTGTAGGAAAAAAAACAGCTAAAAGACACAGCATGGAACTTTATTTTTTCACCACACCTGCAGTTCTCCCTTCTCTTGAATAAGATATACATGCATAAATATAAACTCTATTACCTAACTACCTAACTAGTTTTAACCCCTTAGTCTGAGAGAAATTTATTATTGATACCAGAGGAGTTTTATATAAAAACATCAGGTGTTATGTGACACTTACAGTACCAGGGTCACAGCTGGCTCACATGAAACTTGTTTAACTGTTACATGAGTCATGTCTCTGTTTTGAAAGGTCACATGCATCACTTTATGTCATTACTATTTTTTGTTCTTGTAAAATTTGACCTAATGACTCTCATGTTAAAGGGGTCTTAACCTTCTTATTGGACAGGGACTTAAAGGAGGTGGGGTTACGTACGGGGATTAATATTATTTCGTTATTACTTTGCAGCTGAACAAAGATTTTCGGAAAATGTTGACATGAGGAGGTGAGTTCTGTTTGAATGCTGCTTGTAGAGCTCAGTGTGGATGTTGGATGACCTAACAAGTCTTTCCCCTGATACCTGAAAGCACCTATGATTAGGTTTTTGATTAACGCCTGCTATTGTGCTTTAAAGAGTCCTAGTATCTAGCATGATTGCATGATGCTTCAAACTACATTGTCATGTCCGTCTAACTGTAATAGATACAAACCTACTGTAGTTTACTGCATGGTTTACCCAACAGTTTTACATTTTTCCAGCAGCATGTGCATTCAGACTGCTCCAACTCCTCAAAACCTTTAAAGCCCCTGAAGACTTTGTTTCAAAGTTGAGTGTTTGTGACACTCAAATGATGAGCTAGTCTGTGGTCACATAAGATCCAGTTGCTTATAACAAACTGTTGGAGAAACTAGCGTCTTAGGGGCTTAAAAAGGGGACTTATTTTGCTTTTCCACATTTTGTGTTTTATATGTAACATTACCAATTTTGGATGTTCATATTAAACATGGCTAAAGTGTCAAATAGTCAGGTAAACATATGTACAAGTAATCCCTGCGGGCAAAATCGATAAATGTTGGGACCCCCCTTGGGGCACATCTCAAGGGGCTTTATAATAATAAATAATAAATAATAAACAAATTTTAACCACAAACCTCAGCTGAACCATTCTGAAGACTCTGTTTCCAGCGGTTTTTTCTACTATGGCTGAAGTATAACATCATAGTGTGCCAGATTTCTCCATAAGATCATCTGCTTTAGGCAGGCTACTAATTGTTTACACTACGGAGCCTACACTGCTACATGTAGCTACATGCTAACGTTGGGGAAACATGTAATCGTGGCTGCTGATGTACATTTGTTCTCGCTTTGGGATCGGATTCCTGCTGGAACATGTCTGGCTGTTTTTAGAACGTTTATTGGTGATTTGTCATGATAAAAAGTGCCGCTGTTTGCAGTCACAGTCATTCCTGCAATGACAGTGCAGAGGTGGCAGACAAAGAAACTTTGACCATTCAGAGCAGAATGGACTTTTCCAGGAGGGAGACTTAAATGGACAGGTGCTAAAATGGAGTGTGTCAGAGGATACAATAATCAGTCCTCTTTAAACAGAGTATTGCCTTAAAGCCAGAATGTCTATTTGGAACATGAGTCTGGCTTTGCTGAAGTGAAGGCTTCTGTTTTTGACTTGCATCATAATTTTTAGTGAAAACTGAATTTTAAACACTTCACCTCCAATTTTAAATATTTACAGTCTGTCGTGACGTCCCACTGGATATAAAACCTGCTGTCTTGGAAAGTAAGTGTTTTATTTTTAGTTGTACTCGTGCCCTAGCATATGTTCAGAACGGCGCTGGGCTCCAGCAGCGATCTTGGCTGTTGCTGGATCTTGAAAACGAACTACACAACACATATGGTAAAAGCAAAACAGCCTGCAACAGGAGACATTTTGGCAGGAGGCCTTTTGCATTAAAGGAAACCCACTCCTCTTTCTCTCCCACTCACTCGTTTTGCTGTTGTAGCTCATTACATTTATAGTTTGTTTGGCTGAGGCGCTCATCTGATTAAATGAAATCTGACTTGTGGGGGAGGGGAAGCCGTAGACAAGATGACGGTCAGTAGATCCTGAGCATCTCTCTCAGCCACCGTCCCTCAGATTTTAAAGATTTCAGCTTCAGGCTGCATTACAGTAAACACTTATGTTGCTTTTCTTCTTAACTGCATTACATTTAACTCGTATGGCATCAGGCTGGCTGTCACTGCAGGCAACATAACACGTCACCAAAATTAAAATTAGAGACAGGCTATCTGAAATGTCGGACTGCTGTTGCAGAGAGACATTAAATCCAGCATTTAACTCTCAGAGTTCGAATTCGCCCTCCCATGTTTTTCTTTTACTCTTAAAGACATACTTCGCCCACAAAGTGACCATTTGTACATCAGTTAGTCACGCTGTGTTACTGTGAGTATGTGAGGAAAAGTTTTTCTCGCATGCCTCCACAGGAAACCACAGTTTGCAACAGCAAAACTATCTCTTCCCACATGCACGTTTCACTAAAACCTTATTTAAAACTGAAAGTGAAACTTATTTATACTCTCTTCCAAGCCAGACTCCAGTGCTCAGGTTTTCGGGTGAAAATGCATGTGTTTGAGAAGTACTGAGCACACGACTGGATGCACAACTGCACGTGTTGTGTGAGAGTTTAAAAATGGATGTTCTAATATAGCTTTGCTGTTGTTAAACATGGTCGTCAGTCAATTAATAATTTAATATTTGCTGTTTCCGTGATAGTAATTTTGTGGGTAAAATATTCTTGTAACTGTTGACATCATGTTCACATATATCTCACTCTGTTATGCTCTGCACACACTGTCATAAAGGAGGAAATCGTGTTTACATAAACATGATAGGTGTTTACTGACTATGATGTGTGTGTCTTAATTAAAAGTATCCCTGTATTTATTTCCTCCCATAGTGTTTTGACACTTTGTCTTGTAACTAATTTCGCTTGATTTGTCGCTGACATGAACAGAACGATGTCTGAGTTTGTGTGAGCTTCCTTCTCTGTCTATGCACGGTCAGATTCTGTGATGTTTGCGTGTGTAAAACCCTTGACATTACTTGAAGCTGACCTCTTCTCGAATTCACAATGTGAAAACAGTGACGGTCATTAGAAGACGCCTGTAGAGTCCTTTGTAAGAAAAAAATAAGACACTTGAGAGGCTGCACAGCAGACAAACAAATTATGCCTAATGTCTCAGATGTACGTGACATGTCTCAGGGATTCAGTCACCCACTGCAGATGACTGCACCGCTGACCGCATACTCTTGAAATGGCATCTGGTAGCTTCTCAAATGTCCCTCACTGCATTTCTCCACACGTCACTGGCTGCAGTGGACGAGGCAGAAAGTGGCTTCAGCTGTGTAACCCACATGAAACTTGGCCTGGCGACAAGGCCTTTTGGTGTCAAAGGAGCGCTAATGGTGCTATTTGAACTTCCCAGGGGATTTGCTCATTTGTTCAATTGCTGTAAGCGGGCTGACACGCTGATGCATATATGTTGTTCAGAACATGTAAGAAATGCTTAAGCTATAGCATGTTGTGTGTGGCGGCATGTTTTGATCAGCCCGTGTTTATTCTGTTACTTTCTAGTCTTATCTCCTAAATTGATCGTGTTCTTTCAGATCTACGAAGCGTAACAGCATTGAAGATAATTGCTTTTTACAGAAACACATTCTGCATGTGAACAATGTGAGACACAAGCACAGAGAGAACGACTTCAGCGCGAATAGTATCAACCACAAGTCCTGCATGTTTCTTTTAATGTGAAAAGAAATCCTATTTTCTGCCAAAATACAACCCACAGCCTGCACGCAGCTCCCTGAATCTCAGGCTACATATCGATTTGATACCTCCATCTAAAGTTAGTCATCATCACCCAACAACCTCACAGCTCTGACCTCACTGCTGTGATCCAGCTCCCAAGATTTAAAGCCGTGAAATTCAAACTGAGGAGCCTGCATGCCTCACTAAAGTGATTTCATGCATCGACACCAAATTTGTGTGTCCTCTGTGTAACTAAATCCTGTACAACATTTAATGAATATCAGAATTATTAACATACTCTGTAATTCGAGCAACTGAAAATAGATAGCACATAAAATTGTACTCTTAGTCACTTTATTGCTCTTTAAGCACACAGCAAGTTCAGCTCTTTGTAGAGGAAAATAGAGGCGTGTATTCATTACACACAGCATGTACTATTTAGTTTGGTTTCCTGCACCTATTTGTGCACCTGCTAACAAAATGCTGACGTCTTTCTGATGCAACCAGTGACATTGTATTTATCCTGATTATGTTCGCAGGGCCTGACTTACAAAAAAAAATAGGCTGTCTGTAATCCATTTCTGCTCTCTGCTCAGAATATTTCCTCATCCAGCCTGCCTTCATTTGAGGGCCACCTACCTGCTCACAGTCCTCAGTGCTCTCAGCTCTGTTCCCTTTCAGGCAGCAGTCTGGTCACACTGTGCCTTCTCCTAATTTTTTCAGTGTAATAGATCCTTCCAGCAGTGTGCAAGTCTGTGCTTGATGCTCCTCTACCGACTAGACCAAGCGACTGCCAAAAGCTGTTTAGGCTTTTTTGTATTCGTGGTGACTCCAAAGACATTGGAGGTTGGGTGGGCGGTGAGACACAGAGGGGGCACAGTGAAGGGAAGGTCAGGGAGCAGGTTAAATACCTCTTTAAGAATCATTTGTTCCCATGAGCCAGATGCAGTGGCGCATAAATGAAGATGAAGTTTGTTTACAAGCCTGAAATTTAGATATATCAGAGTTTGCAAGTTTAGGATTTGATTAGGGCTGCTAAGTGTGTGTGTGCTGTCAACTGGATTGTTTAACTCTTACTCTTACTTAACTCTGACTTATATTGTTCATTATGAAAATAAAGACTCTAACAAACAAACTCCTGTTGTTTCTGTTTTTGCAAGAAAATTTAAAGTGTCTTCATATTGAATACACACAGAGCGCAGCCTTTAAGATACTGGACATATGATTAAGGATGCACCTGCTCATCTAACCTCTGAAGACTTTTAATGCAAAACACACCGGAAAGTACATTAACATCAAACCTGTCAAAACAGTAAGGTGGATATTGTGACTGAAATCAGCATTTGTTTGTGTGCTGGGATATTGTCAGAATGCTGTCTTGTAAAGATGATTTCCTGTAATCATGTTTAGTGGAAGTGACGACTGGGACGTATTAATTACCATCCTGCCAACTTCAATTAACAAAAGAAGGAACTTCTAAATGGCTGATATTGATTTGACAAATTGGAGTGGAAATATATAATGATGATGTTCACTGGATGAAGTTTGATATCGAGGGCCTCTTTACGGCAGGCATTTGAAAACATTTATCATAGCAAACATACTAGAATTACAAGTATCATGTTAATAATAGGTCATCTAAGGACATGTCATTCTGTATGTGGCTTGGAATAAAACCCGTAGATGGATACAGCAACATCTAAATCAAGGTTCAAGGCTGCAGTGCTGGAATGCTTTCTCCCGTTGTCTTTTATTACAGACTCTGGTATTCCAGTTGCATGTCATGTTGAGAGTTGTATTATTTTAGGACGTGCCATAAACATTGCCAGCCACTGTCCTTAGAGGCTTAAATAAAGAAGTGATGTGTAGGTGCTTCAAATTGCCCCCCCCCCCCCCGCCGCCCCCCCCCCCCCCCCCCCCCCCCCCCCCCCCCCCCCACTGGGTGTAAGCCAAACACGGAGTCAGCTGTTACGAGTCTGTGTTTCTACGAACATCTGAAACCTGATCAAGACTATTGACAAGTGTTAATACCTGCAACAAATACATCCTTACTAGAAATACACCTACAGTAAATGACACTAGGGAATAAATGAACTCTTCCTTATACAAATTATGCATTTATATATGGTAGTAACAGTAAATATTGTTTATGTTTGTCTCAGTATTAGGCAAAACGACCCTCAGACAAATTTTAATCTAAAAGACATGACAATAGCATGAAGTATGACAGACCTCCGTGAAATATGGTTTGATTGTATGACCTTCTTGTCCCGACGGTGAATCAGGTGAACTTTGCCTTCAGCAGACAACAACAACCATAAATCTGTCTCACTTAAAGAAATATGCCCAAGGTATCATTTTCTAGCAGGCGGCCATAGTTCTGTAAGTCACACAGGATGCATAGTGAATATAAAGTCATTGCTAATATCAGTGTGGTCTGCTGTCATGTTTTATTTTGAAATTAACTTTTTTTTTTACTGAGGAAACTTTATTTATTCTGCTTTGAAGCTGATGATGTCTAGTTGCTCAGAAATACACGATATGTTACTATGTAATCTAATACACTAACACATCAGAAGTTTACATGTTTCTGGATGTCATACAATCATAAGTACTTAAGGATTAGGCATACATACATTTTCACCAGCTACTTAAGTGGCTTACTGGTCCCTGTGCATGGAAAGATGACACCACTGGCATGTTCTGCTTTATTGGCCGGAGGGTTAGCCGTGTCACTTGGTCAGGTCGAGGTCGGGCAAGGGTTGATGAAGAACATAAAAATACTGTCTCATGCTATATTTGGGCCACTGTGATATTTTTAAACCACAAATAGAGCAGGATGGTGTTGATTTGATAAGACACCGAGATGTCTGTGAAGAATAATTTGATTAAGGCGGCTTGTGACAATTGAGTCATTGTATTATATCATTTGGTTGATTGCACACTTGAAGATGTATTTGATTTGTTTTTGTTTATTTTTCATTTATTTTGTAAGAAATTCTTTCTAATAAACTTGATTTTAAACAACTTTGTTAGCTCCTGAAGCAGTACACACATTGACATAGGTAACAAAAGTAAAGACTTTTATTAATTAGCTAGTTTATAGCTTGGTCAGCAGCCCTACACTCCAAACTATGATGCTCTACGTGGTCGAAGTAATTATGATGATAGCAAAGGAGGAAATCAGGCGACACAGTATAAATGAAGGAGGTCCAGGTGGATGGATAGGACAAACAAACACAGAACTTTCACCAAGGAGACTGCTGTTTGTGTCCTGTGTGAAAAAAACAAAGGTTACTTTGACTAACTATGTCATGAACTTGGCCTACTTATTTTAGCCCACACCCTGATCTTATCCTAAACCTTACCAGGTAGTTAAGGTGCCTAAATCTAATCTGGAATCAATTTATTTTTAAAAGACATGTATGCATGTAACAAGTGGAAATGGACACATGCAAAACTGGCACTAGAGGGGTTACTAGGGCATCATGGTTTGAGGTGTAGAGCCACTGACCAAACTGAGTTGGGAGTAAGAAGTTTTGAATGTTCAGTTTTTGTTAAACCTGTAATAGGGAGGTGTTCATTCAACTGTGAGATCATTTTGGAGCATACTGACAGGTGTTTCTGTTATTTTGTCCACCCCATTTTTATTAATGAGGATAGACTAAAAACAAAAAGAGAAACGCATCTTAAACATACAAATATAGATACAAAAATGAATGAATACCTGTGATTCTTATTTTTGATTTACTACATTTACAGTTACATTTAGATTTTCTATTAATGCTAGAACTGTTTCATAATGTCTATAAGACATGATTCAGCAGTTCTGAAGTGGCTGCCCTTTTTTGCCTTAATTACACAGCCCAATTTCACAAATCACAAATTTGCCTCCAGGGGCTTTACGATCATTACAGCATGCAACACCCTCTGTCCCTTAAAGTGGAGCCTCACCCATTTTCAAAATTCATACATGTTATTCCTATGGTCTATGTCAGTCCAAAAATTATTAGTAAACATGAACAACTCTCTCCCAAATCCAAAAACTAGAGTGCTGAAACTCAAATTTGTGATGTCATAGGGTAAAAGTCTGGAGCTGCTCCATAGACAGTGAATTGGGAAAAATGTTCTACATCAGTGGTTCCCAACTGGTCGGTCGCTGTCCAAAGGTGGGTTGTGGGTCCATTCTGAACGGACTGCAAGTGACTCGCAAAGTTTGTAAAAAAAAAACAAAAAACACCTTTATTTTGAAGTGCCATTTTCTGCTGTACAGAGAATGACTGACCAACAGCTATTTGAAAGAGACAACAAACTAGCTCAAAGACATGGCCAAATGCAAGTGTGTAACCCTCTGTATTAAACTGTGTGGACCTTGTACTAATGACCAAATAGAAATCTGGACCCTGTGGTTGCACCAATTGGGAACCACTGCTCTAGATGACGGCTAGCAGCTAAAGGTGCTAACTCCATAAACAGTGCTATCAACAGCTACAGAGCTAACACTGCTAACCTAGCTGATGGTTAACACTACACTTCCACGACAAGGCCTTAAGTTCAGACAGAGTTCAACCAGTGGATCCACCGTATGGGTGCAGTGCAGAGCAGCAGCGATTAGCTAGCCCCTGGTATGCACGAACAGCCCTCACATGGATTAACATGCACACCAACTGGACTGTCTGCCACACCATCAAACAGAGAGCTTGAATTACAACACACACAGAGGGAGCATGACATCATCCTCTGCTCAGGACGCCATTTTTCAACTATACTGTATGTCTTTACATAGCAAATAGTGGTCTGTGCCTATATTAATGCTTTAAAAGTTTTATTCAGCATCTTTACCAGTAAAAAAAAAAAAAAAAAAAAAATCTTCCATCTCCCTGGACAGACAGATATACAATAAATGTCTAGGACAAGCAACATAGTAAAACTACACAGTAGAAAATCTAAATGACAAAGATTATACAGAGAAAAACAACTTCATTGTGTTAAAAAAGTTTTAAAGTCTGCCTTTTAACAACAGACGGGTGCCCATGAATGCACTGAAACAGGTTTTGCTTGTTGCAGTCACTTTCCTTGTTCATGACTTCCCTTCCTAAAAGACTTCAAATGAGAGGAAGACAAAATCACACAGTTCTGATTCTGTGGGAAAAAAAAACTTTGAAGCCGGTATCAGTCAGAGGAATCAAGGGTGGGTATCTTCCGAAGTTACAATCCTGTTATTACCAAAAATCCCTGTTTTTGTTTCCCTCGGCAGTGTTTCCGTCCTGAACTGCCGTGTAACACAAAGAGGGAATTTGCACTAAAAAGACAGCTTGTCTTAGATTACCTCCAAGATCTCCCCTCCCTTGCCACTTCTCGCTTCCTCGTACTGCTGTTTACTGTTTTCCCGACTAAAGCTCTCAGTTATATGTATCCAGTGACGGCTTTAGCATTCTCTAAATTCCTTGACCCACATGCCTACCGGCTCCTTACAACTATGTCTGCATCTGCTTCTAATGGTCTTTGTCATAATTCACACTCCACCTCCTCTGGCTCCCTGTTGCCTCCCTTCCACTTCATTTACCGTCCATATCTACCTATTCTTTGATATTCCAGTCTGTCCTTTGAGCCTGCTCCCTCAAGCAACATCTTATCTCGCTCGCTTTCATTTTGATCCGTCTCGGTCAATGTAGCATTTTACCGCTACATTATTGCCAGACGTAGGTAGCTGTATTAGTTTGTTAGTTTGCATCATTTGTCATGAAAGCAGCTTTTAAAGTTGCCAAGTGTAATTGC